GCTGGCAGAGGTTAAGGCCTGACTTTTCAATCCGCCTGCCGGCTTCTCGGGTGTTTGTGGAGTGTTGAAATGGGAGGTGGCCCCCTATTGTATGGACGATGTAGGACGTGATAAGATCAACTTGCGAGCCAACCAGGAACTAAATTGATGCGCCGTTGATCCGCTAGATTTGGTTGGATCCCAATGGCATACTCCAGGCCGGTTCCGGCCCGGTTCCGACCTAACGGGTCCAGTTAACGAGATGGGTAACCGGTCGGTAGGATTACCGGGCGAACCGTTATCCGTTAACCGTCCCCAGTAATCGGTAACCGATGTCGGTAACCTGGCATGAGCAAAAATGCATTTCTGATTGCAACCAGTTTCTTTGTGACAATGCCCATTGTCACAAGGTTCATGCCCACGTGTCACAACCCGACAAGCTTGAGGAGGTTAAGGCAATGTGAATGCCGGGTGACAGGGGTGACAGTCTTGTGCAGGCACATTTGGAGACTAGTTTACACTGAGATTGGGGTGATGTTGGATTAGAATACTTGCAGTTCATGAAATTGAGGAAATGTGTTGCATAGGCATATCCAAACGTTTCAGAGGGACGTTGTTTCGCCCGTAACAAACTTGTTACGGGCGAAACAAACTGGATTTCCACAGTCCCACCACTCAAAGAGCTCCCCACACCATCGCAAAGTCCCTTTTTTATTACAGACACATGTAACAAGTTGTCATAGCTTGAGATTGTCGATATATGACTGCTGGATTGTGACCAGGCCATCTCCTTACATGTCTTGCTGCACCAGCATGAGCAGTGATCCCTTCTGTTCAAAATTTTCAGGCAACATCGCAATGAGGCAAAACATTGTGCCGAATCTGCCGATGGTGGTGGTGAGTTGTCGAACCCAACGAATACATTCTGAAGTCGGATGGGGTGACGGATTAGGGTGCCCCTCTAGCAGGGGAGAGCAGGGACTGCCCCGGGAAAGGGGCCGCTGGCGAAGTTAACCACCCTGTAACAACACACATAATAGCTAACAGGATGGCGAGACAGGAGGCCACATATCCAATTCTTCAGCAAGAGGACAAATTTTCCTGACTGCCTTTGACCTTACATACATGCACCCACCTAGCAGAGGGCTGCGCTTGATGTCCTCTGAGACGTCGCCTATGGCGCCCAAGCCCGGCTTGTACACCAGCTGCTTGTCAGGGTTGCCACGAATGGCGTCCGGCGGAATATCCGAGACATATCTCCTGTCGGCCGCATAGCATATATGCGGTTCTGCTTAGAAGGTTGTTCAGCTTACACATGTATAGGAAGCCTGGCGGTGCTGTCGTAACGCTGTAGGCAGTCCTCCTTTTGGCAGATATGCCAAAAGTTTGCATGAAGTATTTTACCGTATGTATGTACGTATGTATGCATGTATGCAATCCAGGTGGGAAGCGCAGCAGTGGCTGCATTCGGACACACGCACATTCTTACCCCCAGCATTTGACTTGCTCGGCCTGCGTGAGGGTGTCCACCACAGCACATGTAAGGGCGGGGCTAACAGCCACTGCCTTGACCCTCGTCACGTCAGGACTGAGCACTACAGGCTGCAATGAGGCGCCCATCTCCCCCGGCTCATCACCGATGGAATCTGTCCTCTGAACAGCCGGCCCGTTGACCACTCGTCGCACTCCGCGGCCCAGCTGGTCGTCATAGTCCACACTGCACCGGAGGGTAAATCGCATCCGAGGTGAGCAGTTAACAACCGGACATGGAGAATGAGAAGGATAGAGAGGAGAGCAAACGCAACGGTAGCGCAACAATGTGTGGCATGGGACAAACGTCAATTTGTGCTTACATGTCGGCGATATTTGGGTGGCATTGATACATTATCTATATACACATATAATGTTGAATAATATGTGTATATATAAATGTTACATAATATATATACGATATACGATCATAATATAATATATATTATATTGTATACGATCATACCAGGGAGGACATACAAGAACATTGAAGGTAAGAAAGCCATGGGCGGCCTTTACTCGGAGTTTAAGTTGGCCGGACGGACGGACGGAACCGGGCAGGTTACTCATCTAGGGGACGCAAGTTCTTTACTCACTCACCCCCAGCACTTGAGGAACGATCCGGGCTGCAGCAGTGCGCACGTGTGATGCAAACCAGCCGCGATGGCGGTGGCGTTGAGCCCCGGGCCCAGGTCCACAAAGGGAAGTGCGGCCCCCATGTCAGTGGGCTGCAGTCCTCGGGTGCGGTTGTCACCCAGACCCAGCTGTCCTCCTCCATTGGCCCTGGGGGGTTAGGGACACATATACATCGGACAAGCGGCAGGCTGTGACTCGGATCCAGAGCTAGCCGGCATGCATGGTGTTAGCAGAAAGTGTAACGCGAAACTTTATTAGAGCAGATTATCTAGCAGCTGGTTCAACGGCAAGCGAGCAAGTCAGCAAACCAGTTGCCTTGTGCAATCTTTGCTGGACGCACTTTACCTAGCGCCATCAGCCGGACAGCTCGCTAAGCCGCTGCTTTCCTACAAACCAGCAGGTCAGCTTCATAACACCGAACTGCAATTTTTCCCCCGTACACCAGGTGTGACTTACCCCCAGCACTTGACTCGGCCTCCGGGCTGCAGCAGTGCGCACGTGTAGTCCAGGCCAGCCGCGATGGCGGTGGCGTACAGCCCCGGGCCCAGGTCCACGAAGGGCAGTGCGGCCCCCATGTCAGTGGGCTGCAGTCCTCGGGTGCGGTTGTCACCCAACCCCAGCTGCCCGGCAGTGTTGCTCCTGTAAGATGGAGATTGTCGCCATACGGGTGCGAAAGGATCGGTAGGTTAGGTGCGCATCTTGGTTGCAAGACAGCTTACCGAAGCAGGGGGTGTCACATGGTGTGCTGGACGTCACACTGGGCGGCCGCAACGATTCCACAACTACCACCTTCCCCGATTACACCGCCTTCCCCGAGGGAAGGTGGTAGTTGCGAGGGCAATGACGATGCGCCTGAAAGCATGTGATAACCACCTACCTGTTGTGGGCGTTTTTTAAGATGTGTGCTAAGCTACATGCTATTGGGAACTATAATGTGTCTTAACTTATATGGGACACCTTGTCCACTTCACTCCCCCTTCACTCACCCCCAGCACTTGACTCTTCCTCCCGGCTGCAGCACGGCGCATGTGTGTGCATCCCCCGCCGCCAGCGCCACCGCCGCCAGTCCCGGACCCAGGTCCACGAAGGGCAGGGCGGCGCCCATCTGAGCGGGATCCGTGCCCCGGTTGACGTTGTCACCGAGACCCAGCTGGCCGAGGTTGTTCATACTGTAAATATGAAATATGAAAATAGAAATGTAGTGAGCAAGATGTGACACCTCGTGGACACAACTGCCATGGGGCACACAACAATTAACCGTGTGTCGCGTCATACGACTGTAGGTACCATCGACAAAACACGTGCGTACGGCAGACTGCACCACAGCTACCCTCCCACCCCACCCTCTGATGCTGCCCCCGTCACCATCATTATCACGCGCACCCATACCACCCTCTACCAGCCCACCACGCAGCAATAATCCCTCACCGACTTATAGATCTGCCACCCCATATGACCATGAAGTACGCCAGTCCCGCCCTCCTGCTGAAATCCAGCTATCTTGAAAGCTACACATACAAATTTCCTTACAAAGAAATCTACTTACACCACGTGTCGGCCCCAGTGGTGCGTGACCCCAACCCAATTTGATATTCGGGTGCTTCTATCTCGTCTCGGGTGCTTCTACCTCACTACGCGCCTCAACTGCAACTCACCCCCAGCATTTGACTCGTCCCTCCGGACCCAGGATGGCGCATGTGTGGTACTGCCCAGCTTCCAGGGCAGTGGCCACCACAAGGCTCCCGGGAGAGGCCAGTGCGGCGGCGGGCATTGTTTGGTTGGAGCCCTGGGAGCCGCTGCTTGCGGTGTCGGTGCCATGTCCCAGGCCCAGCTGGCCGTACCAGTTGCCACTGTAAGCAGGCAACAAACAGTTGGGGAGGCCAGAATGGCAGCGCACGCATATACCATCCTCGCAAGGCAGTATGATTAGGGAGAAGATATGCAGGGCGATTACTGTATAATGCAACCACCGTACACATCCCAGGCAGCCGGGTGTCACATGAGGGTGCTCTTCATGTGCTGATCAGCTTCCAGTAAACACCACCAGGGATGGGAGTGTGGAAGGCCTGCTGCCTTAACGCATCCTCTTTTGGACATGAAGAGGACTCCCACCCTCATGCAGGCATGGCACTGGGAGCTTCTTGGCTCATCAACATATAGCTACGTCGGTGCTGCGGAATGAAGCCCATGGCGTCAGCGAACGAAGCGTGCACTCCTTAAGACAGTAGTGCAACCTCGCGAGCTGACCAATGATACACGACACGCATATGCATAAGAAGATCACGGCGCTCTCCTATCCATGCACTCTTTCCATGCACTCTTAGGACTCTTGCTTTGCTTCCTTTTGCTTGCCTCGTTCGCGCCATCATCATGTGTGTGCGTGTGTGAGGGAGACTGTGAGAGTGTGTGATGAGAGTATGTGTGGATGTGTGTGCATAGCCTTAAAGGAATCAACGCATACATACACACCAAGCACGCAAGCTGTCTATGGGCACAACCTTTTATGATAAGCATTATGATTAGATGAAGCATACGGATACAGCACCTTAAGGTTACACCTTACGGTTACAAGCTTGTAAGGTAAGAGGGCAGTATCGATGAATGCATCATGCTACGGTCCTGCGAGCTGCCGCCGAGTAGGGGCTGGAGGGACCTCGTCAGCATGGCATTACTGAACTGCTGTCAAGCAATGAAACAAAATGACGCCCATGATGCAGGCGGCCTGGGCCGGCGGGTCAGGGCCCGGGGCGCTTTGGACAGACTGTAAGGGACTACTGCGTGCTGCAGGTTGGTGCTGCCCAACAAGTACAGCCGTATTACTCACCCCCAGCATTTGACCACACCGCCCGGCTTCAACAATACACAGGTGTGGGTCCATCCCATGGTAATTGCCTGGACTGTGAAGCCGCTACCAACGTCCACCATGTACAAGCTTCCAGACCTAATGGGATTGATGTCACGACTGAAGGAAGGGATGCAGGTGTTGTTGTTGTTGTCAGAAACAGAGGAAATGAGAAAGGAAGAGATGAATCCGACCTGCGCATACAACGTGTGTGTGTACGCATGCCCCTGGTGGGTTGCTTGGCCAAAGATGCAGATAACGCATGGAGCGTATGAGCAAGGCAGCCTTGGGGTCGATTACGCAGGTGGCGGTGACAGCCCCTCGCTACAGGACTCCGCTTCGGAATTCCTTTGCTCTATGCGTGTATGGCCATGCGACTGACCCCCAAAAATGCTTCCACGCACGCCTGTAGGCCCATGACCGCTTGGCCAGGAATCCCCCAAAGGCATGAATGCATACATGCACTATTTCATGTACTCTTGCGGGCATGAACGCTTGCTCACCCCCAGCACTGCAGCACGACCCTCGAGGTCCGAGCCATGCAGCCTACGCCACCGTTGACGGCCAAGAGGAAATCCCCCACCGCCTCGGTGGCACCTGCTAACCACATTATTATTGGGTACATGTATGAATGGAGCATAGGTAAAAGCCGCGGAATTGAAAGGGCGTCGGGGAAAAGGTAACGAGTCGGAACTAATGACAGGTCCAGCCATACATGCTTAGGCAGCGAACACACTGCAGCCGCCGTTGACGGCCCTGATCACCAAGCTAAGTACATCGATGTACTACAGATTACTAAACAAATGCGACTCATTGCATGAACAGGTGGATCGACAAGGAAGTCATCTGTATATATTCTTCTACAGTAGCTGCCGCGTGCGGACCAAGATTTACACATGGAGCAACCACCCGATCACTTGCAGGGGCAGGTCGGTGTAGTATCCTGGAGGGCATATCACGGGATCTGCATCCACCGATCGGTTCTTTTCTATAAAAGTCGTGATACAACAGTAGGTAGGTAGGTAGGTAGGTAGGTAGGTAGGTAGGTAGGTAGGTAGGTAGGTAGGTAGGTAGTAGGTAGGTAGGTAGGTAGGTAGGTAGGTAGGTAGGTAGGTAGGTAGGTAGGTAGGTAGGTAGGTAGGTAGGTAGGTAGGTAGGTAGGTAGGTAGGTAGGTAGGTAGGTAGGTAGGTAGGTAGGTAGGTAGGTAGGTAGGTAGGTAGGTAGGTAGGTAGGTAGGTAGGTAGGTAGGTAGGTAGGTAGGTAGGTAGGTAGGTAGGTAGGTAGGTAGAGTGCAACCCAAAGGAGGCGGCCGAGCCCATCGTCTGTGATTTCCACAGGGCCCAATGTAAGGCGCAACGTGAAATGCAGATGCATCAATGATGTCCATACACAAACTCATTCATGGCCCCATCCCACCTGTCGATATCGCCGGATGAGGTGCTGATTGTGTGGGCGGCGAGGGGGTGACTGCAGTGATGGCATTCGTGGATGGCGGTTAGATTAGCAGCAGATTATGAACAAGCACCAAGCAGAAGCAATAACCCAAGCATTAGGTATATGTCGATGTGGCGGCGACCATCGGTGTTGGTCACCGGCTTTCCTTCCATGGCCCCTGCCCGGCTGTACATCGCAACCCCGCTGTACCACATCGTGCTCGCATGTTAATAACTTCACACCAATACTCATACTCAGAAATTCATCCATTAATGCATCCAGGAAGGATGGCTTCGTGTCGTATTAGGTTGGGCCAGCCACTCGCAACACACACGAGTTGCGCAACACACACGGCACACGGCACACGGCACACGGCACACGGCACACGGCACACGGCACACGGCACACGGCACACGGCACACGGCACACGGCACACGGCACACGGCACACGGCACACGGCACACGGCACACGGCACACGGCACACGGCACACGGCACACGGCACACGGCACACGGCACACGGCACACGGCACACGGCACACGGCACACGGCACACGGCACACGGCACACGGCACACGGCACACGGCACACGGCACACGGCACACGGCACACGGCACACGGCACACGGCACACGGCACACGGCACACGGCACACGGCACACGGCACACGGCACACGGCACACGGCACAGGTAATGCATGCAATTGGTACGGTTTCGTGCGCAAGGCGGTCGTGCGGCTCATACTACTTTTACGGAGCATATGTAAGCATGGCCGTGCAGTGTGTATACGTACGGCTAGGCTGCTGCTTACCAAACGGCGGGCCAAGGTTCACGGCAGGAAGCGCCGTCCCCATGGATACAGCCTCCGTGCCCCGGTCCGCGGCATCCCCCAGCCCCAGCTGACCCATGGTGTTGCGGCTAACGGTATAGAGCAAGCAGTAAGCAGTAGCGACGGGGTGTGAATAGATATAATAAATAGATGAATGAAGAGGTGCGAGCAGCATCGGGTTCAATATGCAAAGGATCCTTCTAGACATTATTACTTTGCTTCATATGGGCTCCCGACTATCGAAGGTGTTAAGCAAGCACCTTCCATAAGGAGTAACGGGCAGCGAAAGTTTAAGGGGTGAAGATGCGTATGGATCAAGAAGGCGGAGGGGCTGGCACAGCATTCATCACATGGCGCATGCTGACAAGTCATGCAGCGCATCTGATTCTTCATGTGCGGCAGCACACCTAGCTGCACGATGTGCTGCCACAGATACAACCAAGCCGTCTTCCACAACGTTGTTGGAAGTGTGGAAGTTCCACATCACAGAACGCACACACATGCATGCCTCACAGACAGACACATACATACACACACACACACACACTATCGCCTCCAACAAATCCCTCCGATTACAGAGAACGCAGCGTATCAGCCACCGCGCCATGCCTGCATAGTTCGGTGCGATGTACGTACCATTCCCTGAATCAACTTCATACCGATGCACAATTATTAAACCAACACCACGAATCCCAACATAACCCGTCTCACCAAGTATCACTCACCCCCAGCACTTGATCAGCCTTTGCGACGATGAGCGGCTCCGCTTCAAAATAGCACACACGTGCAGGCCACCAGCCGCAATGCTCTCCACTCTCAGACCGTACCCCAGATCCACCGGGCGTATCTGGTTGCCCGGCTCATAATTGTCATCACCGAAAGATGACCAGCCCCAGCCGCCCCCCCTGCCCTGGCCCAGAGCGCCATGGGCATTGCTCCTTCCACGGATGTAGCACAACGGTGGTATGGAGAATGGGACGTTTGTTGAGATGGGACGGAATAATGGGGAGCATGTGCTGATGATAGGCACGGACCCACGTGCGCCTCTAGCAAAGAAGAAAATTAGAGGTGGCTGGGCTTCCGTCCACCCGCATAGCGAAAGAAAGGCAAGGGGTTATGGTATCTCGCCCCAAGAACCGAAAAACAAACCAACCGTGCTCTGAGTTAGTCGTGAGCCTGACAGCGTAACCCCGACATCTGTACCTCCCTAGGTGTCCAAGACACTCCAGGCCCTTATACGGTTTTCCTGCTGTTCGTTTCTGCCTTCTGTTCGTCCCTGTGCCCCCGGCAAGCTGCCTGCCCGTAGCCCACCCCCTATCATCCTGTCACTCACCCCCAGCACTTTACGTAGCTTCCGGGCACCAATAGTGCACAAGTGAAGAAGGCACCCGCCGCCGCAGCCGCAGCCGACTCGTTCAGCCCCAGTCGGGCGTCCTGGAAATAGGCGGACGTCTCCCCGGGCTGGTCGCCACGGTCCTCAGTATCACCCAGGCTGAGCTGACCCGCGCTATTGCGACTGCGGCACAGAAACGGGGATGGGCATAGGAGTGAATCTGCGACTCCACTTGCAAGCCATCCAAGTCATCGGTGTCCACTAGACGGAAAGCATGGTTTCCCTACGTACACCCCGCAGCTGCCGTCGCTAAGCAGGTGCCCAAGATCTGGCTTATTGCAATGCTGCAAGCAAGCGCTCAGTCGCTCAGGCCGTTTTGTCGCATCCTGACCGCATCCATTGGACCCACACGGGGGGGGGGAAACCGCACGCACAAGCATTATTACAAACAGACCTACATACCAAGGCACATATTAATCTTGTTACAGCTGATCCGAAAAGCTGTCATCGGTGGCAGCAAACCACTGTGCATGTGGCAATGCGCATTACGTTGGATTTTGCTAGGGGGCCCCATCGAATCAGTTCTCACCCCCAGCAACGAACGCCGCCTCCGGGCTGCAGGACCGCACACGTGTGCCCGGCGCCTGCGGTGATAGCTACCGGAGTCCGGACCACAGGCCCGAAGTCCACGGGCCGCAGCCGTGCGCCCATCTGGCCGGCCACCATGCCCCGAGGGATACGGTCACCCAAGCCCAGCTGACCGTGCCGGTTGTAGCTTTGGACAGGGAAACGAGTTAAGTAATGAGAATTAGTAAGTAATGGGGCACGGGGCATGGATGCGTTTGGGTGCTCGGTGCATGCACTGGAGGGCAGGATGTGTGGAGTTTGATGGCCTTCCCTGCTAGCAACAAGCTATGCAGAAAGCCAAGAATACGGTTCCCAGCCAGCTCTTGATAACAAAGAAAACAGCGGTCCAGTGTCTTTGGGCGCCTAGAGTTATATAAAGCATTTTCCCGAAGGCGTGGTGAGCGGCGTATCACTTGTAGATGGATTTCGCGGGACCACGTGTCCAGCTTGTACAAATGCGCAAGGGCATTCGCACCAGAACCTGCCGTTATAGTGGGTGTGAGTCACTCACCCCCAGCACTTTATCAGCGAACCCGGCTGCAGCAGGGCGCAAGTGTGGGCCGACCCGGCCGCCAAGGCCGTGGCATTCAGCCCCGGGCCCAGGTCTACGAAGGGCAGTGCGGCGCCCATGTCAGTGGGCTGCAGGCCTCGGGGCTGCGTGTCGCCAAGACCCAGGCGACCGTTACGATTAGACCTGCGCGTCATTTGCAAGTGTACGTGCGTTACAAGTTACATGTGTCAAGCGGATTGAAAAACCGTAAACCTTTGCGGGTCCGTACCGCAAGTATGTATGTTGTTACAGGGTGGTATAGCTTCACCAGCGGCCCCCTTTCCCTTGGAGGCAGTTCCCTGCTCTCCCTTGCGAGAGGGGCACCCTAATCCATTCACCCACCCGACTTCAGAATGTATTCGTTGGGTTCAGCAACTCACCACCAGCATCCAACCAAATCTAGCGGATCAACGGCGCCACAACTTAACTCGTGGTCAGCTCGGAAATTGCTATAATCACGTCTTAGATGATCCACAAGATGGGGGGCCACCTCCCAATTCAACACCCCTCACACACCGAGGGGTCGGCAGGTGGATTTGAATCCGGAACCTCCGGGAGCAGAAGTCAGGCCTTAACTTCTGCCACCCACCTGCCGTAAGTATGCATTATGTATGAAGACAGCTAGCTCCAAAATGAAGGGTGAATTCTGTGCTGTGAATTCGTAGTGTGTCGTACGATGCACGGATTCTAACGTGGCTTTAACTGTAGCAGCAAGCGACAGTGCTGATCACTTAGGGATTTGCACAGCTACGCTAGGAAGCAGTTAGCCTGCAGGCCTAGCTAGTTCTGTCACTTGGGGGTAGTGCACCCGCATCCGGCCCTACCCTAACACGAAGAGTTCGCTCTTGCCTTCGCCGTGCCGACCCCAGCGCATCCCAGCCTCAGCCTCTTCAAGTCCTCTTCCAGTCCACCTTAGCATGCCCGCCACGCCAACCACCACCTTAGACCGTATACGGGATCGAAGCTTGGTACGTATGAGGTAGGACCCACATTATGCTACCACTTACATCACTAAGTTTTAATGAGAAGTCTTCATTACGAAAAAAAACCCTTCAAACATTAAGGTAAGGCAGCGAACTTCGCATGCGCCTTGTTCTGACTTGATACTCACCCCCAGCACTTGACTCGGCCTCCCGGTTGCAGCAGCACGCACGTGTGACGCGAGCCGGCCACGATGGCGGTGGCGTACAGCCCCGGGCCCAGGTCCACAAAGGGAAGTGCGGCACCCATGTCAGTGGGCTGCAGGCCTCGCGTGCGGTTGTCACCCAAACCCAGCTGTCCGGCGGTGTTGCTCCTGTAAGGGGGAAATGAAATGAAGTGCCAGCAGATGGGCGTGTGTTTACCTCGTGACCTTGGAGCACTGGATTACTGGTAACATGAGTGTGCGGATGAATGTTTTGGCCATCGCAATAGGTCACCAGTATTTTATTCATCCTCGCAGGTGTTTGTAATGTTACAGAGTGGGAGGCTTCTGGGCCGCTTTTATCACATTGTCAGTTCTACGATTTATCATCTTATAGCACCATCCACCACTACCACACTATACTTCGCCATACGAACTGTAAGTCCAAGGCAGCGGGTCCAGCCGTCTAGGACCCCTCCTCATCCATTCACCCGAACAATCGAAGAGACGGAGGGTTCGGCAATCGCCACCAATCCAGCGTGCGAATCTGGTCCATCATCTGCGACCTCAACTCCACATCTCAGCAGCTAGCCATAATCTCGCGCTCCCGACTAATTCGGGGGTCTCCCCAGGAATCGAACCCAGGACCTTAAACCGCGAATCGCAGTAGTGTCAACCCAGACCAGACCAGGTGTGCATACGCCTGCATACGCCTGCGGTCCCTATCCGTGTTGCCAGTCTCCCGAAACCTTCCAGTGGAAAGCCTGTATATGGTTGGATGGTGTTCAATCAAGCACCCGGTGCGACTGATTACATGCTATCAGCCGCACACTTCGGACGCTGCATTTGACAGCGATGCACGGCCACTAACCAGCCGGGGCAGGACTCAGACCCCGGGGGCTGAAAATCTGGCCCATCCAAGCTGCACTTCCTTTCTGTAAGAGCTTAGATCTAAGGAAACGGATGAGACCACAACTGCACTGTGTTTTCGGTGCAATGATTCATATGCGCTGTAGATGAGGCGTGGTTTGACAATAAATACGGATCCAAATGAAGCTATGCTCCTAATTCGTCGTATTTCGTCGTACTCATCCTAAAATGCTCACTTACGTCAGAAGGCGTGAACGCCCTAAGATTGTCGTTTTAGTTTTGTGACCATATTTGGCAAATGGGTCGGTTACGTGAGGGGGCGAGCTTTTGCTTTAAGCCCTGGTAAGTGCAAGTTCAGCAGGAAAGGCCGGATTGTGAAGCATCTCTGCTACCCGCCCCCTTCACTCACCCCCAGCACTTGACTCTTCCTCCCGGCTGCAGCACGGCGCATGTGTGTGCATCCCCCGCCGCCAGCGCCACCGCCGCCAGTCCCGGACCCAGGTCCACGAAGGGCAGGGCGGCGCCCATCTGAGCGGGATCCGTGCCCCAGTTGATGTTGTCACCGAGACCCAGCTGGCCGTTGTTGTTCATGCTGGGTCGAAAACAGGGTGGGTGTTTTGTGTGCATTGGCAATCCATCCGAGATAGCATGCGGCTGACCAGGATAATCGTACGATGTGCATCCTTGGCATGTCGTAATACTGATACGCGTGCAGACGAGGCGTACGTGTTGTTGCAGTGCCCGCACGTCAAACGCTTATCATCGCTGCATGCGGCGGCCCTTCCATGCGGCGGCCCTAACTCACCCGAAACACTTGACTTTGCCGTACAGCGCCACGCATGTGTGGTTCCAACCCGCCACCACAATCAGGGAGTCTGTAGGTGCTGTGGGCGGTTGCAATGGAAGTGGTAGGGAAAGGGAAGCAGCCATCAGGCAGGGGGTGAGGCTGACTGCAAGGGTTTGAGGAAGGGCTGGGGGCCAGGGAGGCTGGGAAATTACACCTGGGGGATGAATTAGAGGCAACTTTGCCGCATCGATTTCAGCCAGTTGCCAGACATGCGTGCGTGATGATTTGGTTCACAACGAGAGGGCCCTAGCTGACCGCGGCCAAATGCATGCCAATGTTTCGCCCACATGCATGCATGCATGCAGAACGCGTGGCGGGAAGCTTTAGGAAAGCTACCACGAAGGAAGACTCGGGGAAGGTCTCATGCTGGAGTGATGTAAAGAGGAGTCCCGCAACCCAGGGCTAGGCAACCCAGAGGATGCCATGTCCGCCCTTTATGAGTTCCGGAAAGACATACATACACACCCTGTCGACCCGGCAGATTCCATTGGATGCTGGTGGTGGGTGCGGAACCTGAGCGATCCACTGAGAAGTTGACTAGGGTGACTGGATGAGGGTGCCCCGAAATACCGGGGAAGGCAGGGTTTCGCAGGGTAGCTGCCACGGGCGAAGATACACCCCCCTGTTTCACACATCATACACACACACATATACACACAAACAATGACTGTAAGGTGCGGATCGGACTACTGTCTGAACAAACCGCAAACATTCAAAGTCAGGCTGTGATTACCCCGTACGGCGATCACCCACGTTCCAGGAATCGAACCACAAGGCCTTACCAGGTCTTGGCGGCGGTGAGGGCGGAGGCGGTGAGGGAGGCTCCAAGGGCGGGAAGGGCATGAAGGGGCTGTGCGGCGCCAGCTGTACGTCACTGGGTGGGATAGTCCAGAAGCTGTCATCCGGGGGACCGCCACCGCCATCATAATCACCTACGTAATGTCAGTCAGCCAACCGGGGGACACACGGTGATCTGTTAAGGAAGGCAAAGTTATTGGCAGCGCTTGTAATGAAAGCGCTATGCTTTCTGTCATACCTGTTCCATGGCTTGGAGGAGGAGAGGATGGCAACGGAGGCGGTGGAGGAGGCGGTGGAGGAGGAGGAGGGGGAGGCAGGGGCGGCAGGCCAGGAGGGGGTGGTGGCGGTGGAGGAGGCGGGGATGGAGGGAGAGAAGGTGGAGAAATGGGTGGAGGTCGGGGAGATCTTGGACGTGGAGGAGGTTGACGCCGGGGAGGGGAAGCTGGAGGACGTGGACTGGGCGGCTGGCGAAAGGCTGGCGGTGCAATAAATTCGCCCCAGTCAACGGAACAAATAGCCGCCATAAAAGTGTTCGTTGGCAGTTGTTCGTTGTTGTTAAGATGGAAAGGGCAGTCGGGTGAGCGCGAGAAGGCAAGGCTGTCAGGTCGTTGATGCGTAAACACTGACATCGCGATAAATTACAGCTGATAAATTTATCCAATGCGTGCTCCCTCAGCCACAAGTGCGGTGCGCAGAGCCCAGCAGGACGTGCATTTGTATATGCACGGGCACATGGTGGAAATTGCCCGTCTAGGTGGGCGGGCGACGGCCACAGCGGCCACCGACAGTTGAAAGCACACACGGCGGCATGCCGCTGAGAAGTGGCACCTGCCACATTCACGCTGGGCATGGCGCCCCTGCTTCCGTGCACAGTGCCTTCTGGGCTCTGGGAAGGGTGCACGTATTGCCAAGACAGGCAAGGAAGCCATCCCAGCCCCATCCCAGCTGCCTGTTCATCCCGTCATGTATGTGGGCAACAATTCTCCGTTTCACTTCTCCTCCTTCCTTTTCCTCTTCCTGAGCTCTTCAACTACCCACTTTGCAAACAGGTGCAGTAACTGGCCTAGGACCTTGGCGCATGTACCCGAGAGATTCAACCATTTACAAACGTTATTAATACCCTTTCTGCTCCCCAAACCGGAAGCAACGCGATACCTGGCGAGGGCTTGCTAGATACGGAGAGAGGCGTGGACCCGCCAACGGCCAGCGGCGCGGTGAGTGCTATTGCCGCTGCAAAAAGTTTTATTGGTTCAATCCAGGGAAACACATTACAGCTTATGCAAGGCGTAGTGCGATGATCTTCATCGGCCAAGGTATGTGGGCGTCGCGCAAGCAAAATATTCCATTGCAAGACTGTTCGTGGGTAGACATGGCCCTGATATTAACATTGGTTATACGCACGAGCTTGCCTGTTGACGTGACCAAATAGGTGAGGAAGAGGTTCCGAAGCATGGCCGTGTTAAGGGAAAAGAAGGAACTGCCCTGACGTAATTCTGCGCAGGCTACCATTTTCGAGATAATCTTACATGCGCAGCCTTATGTGCGGTGCATGACTGGAAGGTTCGCAACGCTTATCGGCGGTTTGACGCGCGTTTGCGGTGCAATGTAGGGTAGATCCTCGATCTATATGAATTCGTATGATTTATGGTGAGATTGATTGTAGTACCTTTATTAACTCGCCCGCCTTCTCGATGATGACTTACAAGCTTTCAGCGAATTCGTACGGCTCAGACGAATCCGGAGGCTCATAAACCGCTTTAACCTGGCAGAGAAGGATACAAATATCATCCAAATCTCAACCAGAAAAATAAGCATAAAAAGCTACGCCGACAAAAAGCGTTAACCTAAGCCCAAAAGCGCTAATCTTAGCATAACATAAACGATATTTAAAGCCCACTCAGAACGTTCGTCACACAAGTGAAAATTTGCCTTCACAAGCAGGTAGGCACCCGTGCTGTATGCTACGTCTTGCACAGAACATGCCGTAAATCGCTTTAAATAACCCACGTTGGTATTTGGTATTTAGTATTTGGTATATTGGTATAGTTGGGAAACCCGTTTTCGCTAATCCGCCCCCTTTCGCTTCGCGCTGGTGGCATCATGGAGTAAGGACGGTGTTAGTGATGTCCGACAAAAGTAAGGAAAGACAGAACATGGGATCTTGGAGATTTTTATGGTGTTGCGGTTATCATGGATTACCGTTGTTAGTGTATCAAGTATGCCATGCGTGCGCCGGACAGCGCCCTTCACAAACCCAACCGTGCAGCGCGTCACGATACATCCAGAAGTATACTGGCATACATGCTGCAAGCCAGACGCTTGTCTGAGTCTGAGCTTTCAAGTCACCATGCGCACGCGCAACTCTTCCAACACCCCAAGTTATCTACCAAGCAACATTTCAAGCAACTTTTCCTCCTCAATCCAATATGAATTCTGTAGTCAGTTTCTGAAATACTAGTAAAAATTACCTCAGTACAAAGTGTTAGGATGGTGTCGGGAGTACCCTGTTAGATGCAGGCACCTGCAGCTGCTGGATAAACGGTGCGCTGTGTAAGAGCGCCAGGTCTACTGCGTTTTTTAGCCAGGCGCAGCTAGCAGCTTTTGTAGCGCATGGAGATCCCAGCAGCCTTTCGTGACACCCAGGCATCGGCCGGAGAATATCCTGGCATAGCTCAAACCTCGAATGAAGAGGCAGTCAAACACAGTCCCATTCACTCCCCAGCGCGAGATCTGTAAAGGGCCCTTCACCAACCTCCAAAAGCCTCAATTGGGGTTTCGAACAGCGAGCAGAGGGTAATGGGGGGGAAGGCAGGACGCGATTGAAACTGTGCATATGGCTTAGCACGCTTCTTGGCAAGTGTTTCGTTGCCCGTAAATTCCGCTCATATCTAAGACACATGAACAACATGTGATATTCTGAGAAACGCAAAGGCATAGTATTTTCACTTGGAACTAACTTGACATGGATCATTTTACTCCGTGTTCATGTGGAAGACCTTTGCAGTTAGGCAGGTAACTGGTAACTGGTTAACACACCGATGATATCGCCGACCATACATCGACGACTCCCTGTTGAAAATGCACTAAAGACTAATATACAAATTAGACAATCACCCAGATGAGGCCGTGTTCGAACAGGATTCGGACAACAACTCGTAACAGCAGGTACGACCCTTCCTTCATAAAGCAGTTTATCTGGAGCTTGGTACATGATAGAAAAATGGAGTATTCATATTATCACTTACAAGTTAGGCTGGTTGGCCTCACCTAACCTAACGAGCAAGGTACCTGCCAGCTTCCAACTGAACAACTTCGGAACGTAGCTCGCTCCAGGGTTGGAGATGGAAATGGTAATTCAGGGGGAAGCTGTCCAACACATGCTATAATCATACTCGTAATATACAACTGCAGTTTCTGGTCTCTCCTGGCATTGAACAACCTGGCAAGTGCGCGCTCGACCTTTGCTGAAATATATATTACTCACAGGCTCTTGTGATTTCGACGATCGCCGTACAAAGAGCACAGCACACCGCTTCGCCGCGGAAAGATGAACAACAGCGCGATGTGTTGCCCTTAACTTTTGTTTTAAGCCTTGACGGCACGCACTGCGGCAGCAGCTCCGCCACCGAAGCCACGGTCCCCACCAAGGCTGTCCGACTGCCCAGGGAGGTCGCAGTTCGAGCTCTCACCGCGACAGTGACATAGCTAGATTATTTAGCTATGGCTTGGTTGAGCAAAGCAACGGCTACACTGATCCCGATCAATAAGCGAAGCTATTGCACAGAGATAGATGGTTAGCAGCAGCATTGCAAGGGCTTGTAGCGTGTTTGGGCCTATGGATAGCAAATGAAGCGCGCACGGCGGGGCCGCCTGGGGTGCGGCTCCCTGCCCAGTCTCCCTCCCTTACACAGCAGATTGCAAATGCAGCAGCATCCGTAAGGCTAGCCCGCAGTTAGTGCATTCGCCTGCAGATAAATTATTGCGCAAATAGTATTTAAGCATCGTATGTCTTATGTGCCTGTGTGTGTGTGTGTTACATGGTTGGGGGTGCGTGACCCCATACCTGTAAAACTACTCATACGAGCCGAAGGCCCAAGGCCAAAATACCAAAACGCCTAAAAGCCACGGAGAAAAGGAAACACTGCACTATCAGCCCAGACTAGCGCCCAAAGGGGGTAACTGACTTTCGGTGAGCCCACAGACGCTCCAACATCCTCGCCAGACGTGCTGCTGGCTCCCATTTCATGGCCTCCAACATACTCTGTTGATTAGCTGTAACACAGCAAAGGCGTAACCCTGGATGCTCAGATTGGCATTTGCGTCGTTACATTATCGAACCCCTCCTATGAAGTATTAGGTCTTCTGAAGTAGCGGTTCTCAATCAGCAGGCGCGAGAGTGTCGATTACCCCCCGGCGTCGCGAGTACGGTTGGCGACTGAAGCTGCAAGAAGGGCCTTGGGCAGTGCAAAAGGGACAAAGGGGTCCGCAGAGCATACAAGCGGCCATTGACGCCCAGGTAGCGGTTGTAAAAGCGGTTAGGGCTGAGGGTGCTACGGAAGCGGCACAGGTTCGGTTACAGTGGATACGAGAGGGTGAACGGCCTAGTAGAGGGCTGGCCACCCAGTTGCATCCGTCTAAAACTTTACAAAAGTCGTATCAGCATTGCAAGACACAGAACAGGCCCGTCTTATTACAAGAATACGATGGTACGATGAAGTTGCCACAAATGATTGCGAATTTTTGGGGAGGGATTTGTTCCTCCCCAACGAATGTGTGTGTGTGTGTTACCTGGTCGTGGGGTGCGTTCCCCGTACCTGCAAACCGCCAATACGAGCCGAGGGCTCAAGGGCTGCCAGATCGCCTATGAGCAGCATCCTACCTCACATCCAACGTATGTGACTGAGTGGGCCAGAATAGCTGTTATAGGGGCGCTGAGTCACCTTTTGTCAGCCCGGAGGCGTATGTGTGTGGTGGTGTATGGAGGTCGGAGGTGCCCGACGCTGAAGTGGAACTCTTGGGGCCGCCTCCGGAGTTTCGCAGATCCGGAAGTTGCACGGAAAGGATGGGATTCTGTTGGGTCACATCACCCCTTCTTGCGAATTGTGTCTGACAAGTTAAGTTCATGGGAACGGCTACCGATGGACGATGAGCTATCACCTGTTTTGCATTTTGTTTTGGTTTTTTGGGGGGACTTTTGGGGCACAGGCCTCGTCTAGTACCAACGTGCAAGTTCCTGTCAGTAAATTGTTGGTGGGCCTTCTGGTGGAGGTCCGGGTACTTTTACCAATTAGGAAGCCTAATGGCAAATTCCCCTCCTGGTTGTGGGTTTTTGAGCCTTCCCTTTCGGGTTCGCTTTCTGCTGTCGAGGTGACACTTGCGATGTCTGGTCTAAGTGGGAGTCCTGGCTGCCCTGATCATCTCAGGTGCAGTGCACGGCCAGCTGGACCGCTGGCTCTACTCTTCGTGAGTCTGGTGCCCACTTAACACACACACACACACACACACACACACACACACACACACACACGCCCACGCCCACGCCCACGCCCACGCCCACGCCCACGCCCACGCCCACGCCCACGCCCACGCCCACGCCCACGCCCACGCCCACGCCCACACACACACACAGAGAGTACTTATCAAGGTTATATGGGACAAAATTGGTTTGGAAACAAGCGGCAAGATTGTTGAAACCTTATCCGCTGTTTGCTTACTGCGACGAAATGCTGTATCAAGCGCGGGCATGGATGTAGTATCTTTGTGCGTCTATGCCTTTCATGTCATTCTGCGGCACATCTGTAACTGATGGGCGGAGGTTTCACAGAGATCTCTAGAGCAGTCTAGAGCAGTCAGTCAAGTTCAGTCTGACTCCAGTACGGACCAGTCGGTGGGAATATACTGTAATAACAGTCTATAAACTGTTTCCATTGTCCGCTGCCAAGGCTGCGGCAATGCTGACCGTAGATGCGTTACTGATGCGTTATTATTGTGCCACTGCGAAGTTTTACACTTTTCCGTATGCGTACACAGACTGACTGGCTGCCGCCTGAGCTAGCCGAGGTGCGCCCGATAGCGATGCGGTAAAAAAAGCACCGAACAAAACAGCAAGCTGCCGACATATCGACATAATGAATCAATTTATTGAGGCATCAGGCAAAGTTACTATGAGAGGCACACGTTGAGATGAGAGGCATACAGCATGACAGACAGACGTACATGCTGAACACACAGCAAAACGTGCACTAGATAGACACGGATTCATCAAACCGCACTTCACATCCTGCAGTGGATGATCGACCAACCCTATGATGTACTCGCCACTCAACCATGTTGAAACATATTCTTTGTTGTCCTGTTTGTCATCATGCTGCTATAACTTCAGTCACCGCGAGCATCTCTGCTTTCCAGCTGCGGGGCAGGGGCAGGGCTGCCACCCTTACAAAAACCGGCACCCACGAACCAACGAACAAGCGTAGTCACCAAAAACAGCGAACATTCGGCCCAACGATTAGCTTTGCTCCGAACCATATATGTGCACATATTACAGTCAACAGAGTCCCACAAAAATCTGCATCCAGCAGATAGAGCTCTATCACGTCATCAAAGGGGGACCGAGCCCTTCTCAATCCGCTTAAGAGGACGGTGGCCGCAGATGGAGAGCCCCGGAATCGGGCAAGACGATAACTACGACAACCGACCGGCAGGCGGCGAGATCCACAGTCTTCCATTTACCTCATCGTCGTCATTAACTCGACCATCATAACCACCTGTGTCATCCCCCAACGGGATAACTTCAAAGGTGCTAATGCATTGGTTTCCACGCGACGCGTTCCTCCGGTATATATATACTATTGGTTGAATACAACACATAGGAAACAGCTAACACAGCATATACAGCACGAGAAGCGAGCACGGAGATGGCGGAACCGTTGCGCGGCCGCTGAGTCTGTGGCACATCAGCACTGGACAAACGACCTCATAACTGCGTAGAGACTACTATAGATTCACCATAATACATGGACCGATCCATAGATCGTCCATAACTCAGGTACAAGAACATGACACATGGCCGGTAGAAGGCCGTTATAGCTGGTCATTATAAAGCACTAAACTAACTGCTGTCATAACAGTCGATAGAGCGAGCCAAGCAGCAGCAGCCGATATGGAGGGATGAGCAGCCGAAGGCCGCTCATCGCTCAGTGGATGCCTTTGACCAGCGTTTTAGACACAAAAAAGCCGCCCACAAACGCGCGGGCCAGACCTTAGCTGCACACTAAGGTAATGTAAGCGAAAATCATGCATCAATCCTCGCTAGCCACAAAGAGTTTACGTCTACCTGGTATCGGTGCAAATTAATAAATTTTACGAGGACAAGTCAGTGAGGGCTTATGGGTTTAGACAAGAAGGCCCCTCCTGCTGATGCCGCATAGATCAACAGGACACAGAGCACCGGGCAGGTGCGGAAAACCGCCAAATCCAAAAACCGCAAATCGGCCGCTGCCGCCGCAAATCGGCCGCCCCGAATCGCGCGCCGGCCCTGCGCGCGAAGGGAAAACTCAAACGATTGCATGGCCAATGTAAGGGAGGTGCACGCCACCATGTGCGACACACCGCAACCACGCTGTATCGCGAAGCCACCGCAACCTTTCCCTCCTTGGAGGAGGCAGAGGGCCGCCGGAGGAGCCGATACAGCGATACAGACATCTCTTCTCCTTCCACACAACCTGCCCCTTGTCTCTGCACGCACCGATATCCGTGCCGTCTGTGTTATATAAAACCTAAAAGCAGTACGGAAAGCCACCATGCCCCCCAAATTCAAGCACGTGTATACGACTACGACTACATACACCATCTTACACACCAGATAACTCTTCTGCATCCGGTGATATTTAATAATTCGGCTTTCGGTCGATTTTTGCCAGACTTGTTAAGTGTTGGCGGGTACTAATGGTCCGCCCGTGACGCCTACGTGGACATTTCCCTACCGTTCTGAAGCGAGCACCCAAAATTCAATCACGTCCCAAAAGCCGGCAACCCTTACAAGCAACATACGTCCAAACACCACCAAAAAGCGGTTGGAGAATCTTCTTCGTCCTCGCTTTGTCCTTCCTTTCCCCCCTTCCCCAACATGCAACCCAAAAGGCACACGCGTACATGGGTGCGCGACCCCAGGGAAGCACGCATGGCGCCTCCTTCCCAGCCCAACCCTTCCCCTCGTTATCCCCCGCCCTAAGTGAGCAACCCCTACCCCACCAGACCCTAACAACACCAAAACCTGAAAACATACACGCGTCCCAAGAACCACACCCCTTCATTTCAGCATGGTTTTTTGCCCCTGCAGCATCAGCAGTGGAAGCAAGGCATTCCAGACATCATCCAGGGCTCTGCGAGGTGTGACACGACACGTTCCGCCAGCAGGGCATCTGTGTGTGTGTGTGTGTGTGGAGGGGGGAAGCCATCTGAACCTCCAAGGAACTCAACCTGACAATACCTCAACACCAACACCGCATGTACGTACTTGGTGCCGTACCAAGGGCCAAGAAACCACCTCCCGATCCTCCTCGTATATGGATTGCTTCCGCACCGGCCCGAATGAAGAGAAGACTGTGCAAGAACGCGGCTGATTGAGCTCGGCATCCACCTCCTCCCCGCCTTCCGGCAATCCCAACCGCTCCCCTATCACCCTCCCCCTCAAGAATGAAAACGCATACGGAATGATGCAGTGCATGGGTGCATACGTATATATACTTTATACATGTCATATATTGTACAAGTAAGGCCTACCCCCCCGCCACGGCGGAGGCACACCTCGGCCCCCTGGATAGAGCAGGCTGACTCACCTCTCCTAACCCCCCCCCAAACCCCAGGGATGATGACGCCAATCATCAAGCATCCAACAAACTATCAAACCAACCAAACAACCAACCGATCCTGATTTCCACCGGCCAACACCGGCCAAGAGACCACCAACCGATAACTGCACCGTAACCGTATTCTATCGGTCGGAGGTTGTGGATGCCGTCATCATCGTGCCGAGGAAAGGTACATCAGCCACGGTACGCAAGGCCACACAGCAGGCCCCCCGCACACGCCGACACTGCCGACCCGAGGATATTGAAAGAGCTCCCGCAACAGTGTTACCTAACCCTGAGTCTCCAGCTCGCCCTTGGGACCCAGATCCGCCCTCGGGGTTCTGTCCCCAGCGGCCAGGGCTCGGGAGTATCTCTGCCAAGTCGCGCGCACACGTACACACACACACGTACACACACGTACACACACGTACACACACCACCAATAACACGCTCGCTCGCCTAGCCGCTTAGCCGCCAGCCAACAAACGGCGGCCTCTGTTGGGGGAGCCTTTGAACAGCCCCAAAACGCAAGCAGGCCGCCCGAGTGGTGAAGAGGTCGAACATATCGCGTACACGCGCATGTGCAAGTCAGGTAGAGGGCATAGAGAGCGGTCATAGACCACATTGCCAATATCGCCACACCAGCACAAATCTGCCTGTTGCTGCTGCTGCTAGACAGCAAGTTTTTCCGTACTGCTCACCAAGTGGGTTTTGCATCACCGTGGTGAAGTACATTGAGGTAATACGCGCGGTACGGCAATGCATCCGTATGTGTACATGGCAATCCGTACGGTACGGCACGGTATCGTACCGGTATCACCCACCCATCAGGCCCATACACGTAGTCTTGGCGTGTGTATGTGCGTGTGTCGTACGTGCGCATGAGGAAAACCTGATAAGAGAAGAATACCTATTAATGTGGTCCCAACATTCTAAGAAATGGAGGAACGTCGCTTACGTCATACGATTCTATCTACAGCACCTCTCTCCGTAGCCCTCTTCGAACAATGTGAAGCACACATTCACAGACATATACACCTAACGCCACTTCAATCTCACGGCTCAGATTTGAAACGCACTGAAACGCACTGAAACACACACACACACACACACACTGAAACACACACACACACGCGCGTAAACGAGCGCGCGCATTCATACACGCGAGCTAACACATCCGCCCCCGCCGCCATAAGCTCCTCCTCTCCTCCGCACCCTTATATATGATGCCGTACGATACGAGAGAGCCTAAAACGCCAGCGCCGTGGGCGGCTTGCCCAAGTCAAGCACCGGCAACAGCATCGGCCCGGCGCCGCCAGTCCCCGGCGCAACTTGCCGTACGCCCGAAACGGCCCCACCGCCCAACCCGGCATGCGGAGTGTAGCCTGCCCCCTGACTAGACTCCCTGGGGGCCAGTTGCAGCTGCCCCGGATGCGGGTACTGCGGCTGCTGCTGTTGATGATGATGATGGAGATGCTGCTGTTGATGTTGGTGCTGCTGCAGAAGCGGTTTTAACGCCTTTCCTGCCACCCCTCGAATGAGGAGCATATCCAGAAGGTTGTCCACGTAGGACGTCCCACGGGTCGGCCCCTGCGGGTCTGAAGGTTCCGGATCCGACGGCGGTGCAGCGGTGGCGGCGGCGCTGTCAGACACACACCTGGCCCGTGGCGTGCCGCGCGGCGCCCCTGACGATCCGGTCGTCGCAACAATGTTGCCAACAATCTTGTACGGCATGCCTTGGTTGTAATGACGCGTCATGTCGAACTGATCGCTGATGGCAGAGTACGGCATGCCCGCTTGGCGTCCCTGCGACTCGGACGCCGACGCCGACGCGCGGCCAGCTGCTGTTGCGACCGCTGCTGCGGCAGCTGCATTGTAGCCGTTACCGCCACTCGTCCTCTGTTGCTGCTGAACCAAAAATGCCCGGTGCTGGAGGTCACGCATCAAAATTCCGCCTCCTCCCCCTCCAGCGCCTCCAAAGCCACGTCCGCCGCCGCCGGCAGGCACCGTGTCATACCCCCCACCGTCATCGCCGCCTCTATAGGCCCAGTCCATGTACTCGTGTCGCAGCTCGGAGGTGTCAAGGTCTTCGCCGCCGCTGGCACGACGGCGGACGGTATGTGCATCCCGTTGTCGCTGCTGCTGCTCTTGCTGCCGCTGCTGCTGTTGGTGCCGAGGCGCCAATGCCTTCTGCTGCAACTCCTGTTGCTGCGCAGCGTGCGCAATCGTCTCCAACAGCGATCGAGCGGGTCGAGATCCGGCATCCGCGGAAGCGGCCCCCATTGGTACCTCCTGCCGCTGCTGCTGCTGCTGTTGTTGCTGCTGCTGTTGTTGTTGTTGTTGTTGTTGTTGTTGTTGTTGTTGTTGTTGTTGTTGTTGTTGTTGTTGTTGTTGTTGTTGTTGTTGCTGCTGCTGCAACGTTTGTTGGTGTCTCTGCTGTGGAACCGATCGTTGTTGTTGTTGTTGCTGTTGCTGCTGCTGCTGCCGATGCCGCCGCTGCTGCTCTTGAAGCTGCTGCTCCTGCACCCGTTGCTGCTGCTGCGGCTGCTCTTGTGAAGCCACCCCCGCTTGTTTGCTGCGTTGCAACATTGCGGCCAACACATGGGCCAGCAAAAGCTCCTGAGGATGCTGCTGCTTTTGCTGCTCCTGAGACTGCTGTTTCTCCACGCCCATGTCCTGTACCTCCACCTCTTTGCTCGGTCGCCGCCCAGTAGCCGCCTTCAGGCGTTTCGCTGGCCGCGGCTCGAAAGAGCCCTGAGCATCCGCGGATGCCATCCCTGCCTGTGCAGGGCGGGGACTGCGTCGCTGGCCGCCCATCATTGCCTCGTGAGCTTCCATGGAGACATTCGCCGCCTTCGAAGACAACCCAGACCCGGGCCCCGGACCCGCGTCTCGACCCGGGCCGGGCCGGGCCGGGCCTTGTGGCCTCCGGACCCCAGCCGCAGCAGCAGCAGCAACTGTGCAGCCTGCCTCCCAACCTGCAGGCCGCAAGGCACCGCTACAGCTCCCGGAGGTGCCAACTGCGCTGTCCATAATCCTCTGCTGCTGCTGCTGTTGAAGGTGTTGTTGAAGGCGGGCGACGGCTGCGGCAGCCTGAACATCCCGGCTGGGAAGGCGCCCGGCCTGCCGTGGGAGGTCGTCCGCGCTCGCGTCTGCTGAACTTGCGCCTGCACCCGCCGCCGCGGCGGCTGCCAGCAGCCCAAATTCCCTTCCTGAGCGCTGCTGCTGCTGCTGTTGTTGCTGTTGCCGCTGTTGTTGTTGCTGCTGCTGTTGTTGCTGCTGCTGCTGCTGTTGCTGTTGTTGCTGTTGCTGTTGTTGCTGTTGTTGTTGCTGCTGCAGCTGCTGAGCCGGTTGAGATAGGCCCTGCACGGGCCGCTTACCCGCGATACCGTCGCCAGGCGGAGGAGGTCTCTTATTCGCTGACGCCGAAGCGCGTTCGCCCTCCCTAGTGCTGCCCGGCGGCACCGCCTCCCCAAAACACGCAGCGACCTTGCCGTCCTGGTCCGCGCTCGCACTCGCTTGTACCTGCCTTTGCTGTTGTTGCTGCAGGTGCTGTAACAAGAGCTGCTGCAGTTGTTGCTGTTGCTGCTGCTGCTGTTGTTGTTGTTGCTGCTGCTCCTGCTGCAGCTGCTCTAGTAACGCATGGACGCGTCGTACAATGGACGGTTCCAGATGGTCGTACTGCTTGGTGAGCACTTTGAGGATGACATCTTGATCCAGGATATGCCGTGAGGGAGGAGCTAGACGCGCAGCAGAGGGGCCACTGCCGCTGCTGCTGTTGTTGCCGTTGCTGCCGCCGCTGTTACCGTTACCATTGCCATGACCATGCGCGGCGGGCGCTGCTGGTGGCGCAGCCGCGACAGCAGCAGTCGCAGCGCCGTTGTTCTTGCCGTCGTTGCTACTCCTGCTTCCATTTCCACTTCCAGTATCCACGCTGCTGCGTCCGCCTAGACCAGCACCCGTGCCGGGCTCCGTGGTGGTGGCGGTGGTGTTCACGTGGACAGTGCCTGCATTGCCGACAATGTTGTTGATGGCGGTGCTACCTCCCGAATCCGCCTTGCCAGCCGCTGCCGTGTCAACAGCACCCGGAACCTCCTGAGCCCCAGAAGTAGCTAGTTGCGTTGCGCCCTTGGCGGCCTGAGGCTGTGGCTGGGTTGGGCTTGGGGCGGCGCGTTGAAATCCGGGCTGTTGTTGTTGTTGTTGTTGTTCTTGCGTTTCGGTTGTTGCGCTCCTGTTAACCTGCACCTGCGCCGGTGCCTCCTGCGGCGAGGGCGACAGCTGCGACGCTGACGCTGACGCCGAAGGCTGAGGCTGAGGTGGTGGTGTGGAGCCGGAAGAGGGTCCTGGAGATCCGCTCTGACGGTTGCGGTGCAGGACCACCACGTGCCGAACCGCTTGCTTGCTCGCAAGTCCGTTCTGCGTGAGAAGGGATTGTGGGGTTTATTCATGCAATCGAAACTGATAACCAAACTGGTGGGTAATAGGCGAGGCGAGTCTGTTCTTCGCTGGTCTCTTGGAGGGCAGCGCAGCAACGAACGATTGCGTGCACGCGGCGCGGTGGGGCCAGCGTCGGTGATTGTGTCACCCTTGGGAAGCATCAGACCCAGAACTTCCTTTTGAAATCCCTTTTGATTAAAACGACATGTACCCTAAGTTGTCGTGTTCTGGCAGCTTTCATCACTACAAATAACCAGTCTCTCTTATCTTGACAATCGTGCTCATGCCAGCTTCATTCAATTCATAAATATAGCGAGAAGCATAAGTCAGTACTGGATCATTCCCTAATTCTTTTAAGCGATGAAACAATGAAGAACAACATCACTGTTGCAGCCCCACCACCGCTCCACGACATCCACAGCTGCGTCTAGCACCACCACCAATACTGCTGCTGCTGCTGCTCGCCCAGCACACTTACAAAGTACGTCCAGTCGGGAAAGCGGGCGTGTCTGTGGTAGTACATGCCGCACCGATTGCACACCAACTTCCTGTCGATGCGTCGCCACTGCGGGGCCTCAACCACTCCGCAGAACTGCAAAGGGGGCCAGGGGGACCAGGGGGGAAGCAATTCCGGATCAGAGCCTGGGCGGCGGCGTGAGAGGGCACATTTGACCGTGGGCGGGTTTCCATGGGGGAGGCAGAGGCAGAGGGAGAGGGCGCAGGGCAGCAGGGCCGTCGGGAGCCATCTGCGGCAGCTAATTCCCGGCGGGAGATGTGCTGGAAGATGGGGGAGGGCATGGCGCTGGTGTGGTTGTGCCGCAGTTGCAGAGGAGGTGGGAGTGATAACGAAGGGCAAGCGCTAGCCGAGTTCCTCTTCCAATTCACGTTACCTCATAAAACATCCGGTATAACACATGCACACATGACACAACAAGAACGGCAACAACAACAAAAACAAGCTTTCAAGCAAGAGAAAGAGAGGAGGAGGCCCTTAACACACCCGGGGGGCACCTCTTCCCAAAAGCGGTTCTTGCTTAATGCTGCACAGACAGCAAGAAATAAGAGAGGCCGCGCTCTCTCCTCTTTCTTCATCGTCCAAGCAATACTATTTTGGACGCACACACAGACATACACACACGCACAGATCACTCGAGGTCGGGCAGGGTTCTGCCAGGTTGCCCAGTTGTCGGTGCGGGCGCTTCCCATGGAAACAAGTCATGTCCCAGTCTGGCCTCATTCTTAAGGCTGGCTTGGAGTTCTCAACCCAGACGCAAATCAATTACGCATCCAATGGCATCCAAGCATGCCGCATTGGCTTGTCCACCAAGCTATGCTTTCTAGACCAAACAGGCCTGTTCCCCAGGCCAAGACCAGCAGGAAAGCTGTGTCTTACCCGTAACCCTATAAATCCGCTTACCGGGTTCTCGCAGGGTCCTCCAGGGATGAGAGGCTTAGCGGGGGGCTTAGGTGGAATGACAAGAACTGGAGGCTTAGGTTCAGAGGGCTGCACAGAGGGCGACCGGTGCTCTGCCGGTTGGCGTGTTGCCGCGGCATCGCTCGGGCTGCTGGCCTCCGGAGGCGTGGTAGTCGCCTGCGGTTCCAGCGGCCTCTTGAGAGGAAGCACCGGTTGGCGGTCATGAGGATCCTTTGGTGATTTTGGCTGAGGTGTAAGGCTCTGCTGCTGCTGCTGTTGGGGAATGGCGACGGGCGATGGACGTGCCTGCGACTGCTGTGCGAGAAGGCCGCGAGCCAGGAGGCCTTCCAAAAGATTCGCCTGATTGCCAGCAATGATTTGCGCTAGCTGCTGGTATAAAGGAGCTTTGGTGAATATAACTGTGATGGGGACCCGGACAGCGGAGAAGCGTGACGGACCATGGAAACGCGGACGTCAGCGCAATCCGCCAAGTCAACAAACAGTACAACACCAATTAGGTGGAAAATGTAAAAAAATGCAAGAAGTAAAAAATGTCGCTTTTGGTGACAGATTGCCTCCTTGTGTAAAAGGTGCTCGGCATGCAGTGGCCTCACCTGTCCTAACAACTTCGTGGACGCCAGCCGCGTCCACGACACGTAGACGTGGATTGGATTGAAGCTCGTTGATGCATACATCAACCAGGTGTTCCCAGTCGGCCGGTCCCTGCTCGAGTAGGGAGGGAAGGGCAACGGCAGGAACGAGTCGTAGGTGTACGTGGCGCGTGTTCGGGCAGGACAATCCTCTGTCAGGCCGATGCGGCCTGCATACAGCGAAGCAAAGCTCCGAGGCTATTACCTATACCGAGCCGCTTCTGGCTGCATCGAAACGAGTAAGTCCGTACTTCTTGTAGGAGAGAGATGCACAATCCTGAATCCCAGTTGGATTCCCCAACCCACATCCTTCAAGCCTCCAGCCCGGTTGAATGTGCGCACCATTATTAAGGTAGTGCGCAAGGCAAAGAAATCGTTGCACTGTCAAAGGAGTGCCTATGACCGTCTGAAGACGGTCCACGGCCCTTCCCTGCTCAACTATCACTGCTAGTGCCCAAAGAAATGTTGTAGTTAAGGGGGCTTAACTGAAGTGTCATCCTGAGGTACTGTGCACAAACTTTGGACGCAACCGCCGCATCCGAAGGATCAGCCGTTTGAGGAAAGCTATGTCAGCGCGAGCCTGTAGAACAGCACAAACCTAGTTCTAGAGTCTTGCGTTTGTCAGTAGTTGCAATTCTCGCGCTGCGCGCGTTAGGTAATCCGAGACACCCTCGTTCCTCCGGGAGACCCTCCTGGAGCGCTGTACGTAAGACCTAATTATTGTCGATAATGATTACACGCGGCAGACTGTTCATATCTGAATCCAGATCATGAAGTAGTACAGACGGAGGTAAACGGTTAAGGTATATGGTGATCTAATTCCGCATGCGTAATCTCGTGCACGGAAATTTTTCGCATAAACGAAAGTGTACCGCTGCTTCGGGCAACACCTTCACGCAAGCCTCCAACAAGAAGTTACTTCATACGTAAAGCAGTGTGAGCTAATTTGCATGTGTACCGTATACCCAAGCGATCATTAACGAATGCTGACATCGCTCGGTTACAGTAACTGCTGCTATTAAGGCGACGAAATACAAACGCCTGTCAAAACAAGGAAAACTCCATAAACGCTAAATAAGAGAACTGGTTACTGTAGAACTGACAGGCTCTATTTCTTTGCTTCTGTTAGATTTAACAAAAAGTAACAAAGTCTTGTATGCCAAATCGCTCCTCCTTAGACTTCCGAGGCTTCTAATCGTCCGATGAGGACTCTGCTTTTCAACTTTCGATACCATTTATAGAGCCCACTCGCTTCCACTTATATTGCCCCTTCGCTTCGAAATGAAAGGATCGCATGCTTGCCGTGCAGGGCCTAGCATTCTTGCACAAAGACGGGAATCTTCAGTATCCATTTCCTCCTTCCCATGTTCAGAGAACATCGTCATAAAGTCCCGTCATTGCGTCCTGTCCCCAGATCCAACGAAACTAAAAACGCTTTAACAGGGTTCTCGCTTTCCAAGCTGGCGGCGGTCGAGTTTCCAACTTCATTTGAGCCTGTGGGCAAAACAAGTATACTGTAGGAAATGTTTTATGGACTGATAGCAACCACGAAAGCTGGTGACAACTTTCAGTCAGTGCAAGGCCCTAAACCCTTCTTCATGATCATCAGGTGGAATCCAAAAAGCTGCTCAATCTATGAATAGCTTGTACATGCCACAACCTTTACATAAGCAGAACTGATGACCAGCATAACGGAGGCTTCAAAACATTTCGTACAATCCGGAAACATATGAGCATGCCGTCCATGTAAAACACCGCTTACAAAACGATATTAATGGATGAGCCTCTATTGGGGAAATATTTAGCAGCTGCCTTTGTGAACGCAAGTGCTGAGAAATTGGGTCCGTTCTTGCACTTCTTGGCTGATTAGACTATTGGAATGGACTTGGGGAGAGTCCAAGTAGCATAACTAAATAAGGGATAAAATCTGAAATGAATTTTAATCGATAACTTATCTTTACAAGCTCAAATTTGGAAAATGTTTCAGAAGTGCTCCAGCATTTCAAGCCCTCGACGGCGGCACCACAAGTATCTGCTCAACTGAATCGAAGAAATCATTAATGCTAAGTTGATGACTGGTGCGTGCCTTGCTTGGTTGCTTGGAAGTCGAAAATCTCTAATTGTTCTAAACGATGTCACTTGAAAGAACAGCTTATAAATTCAGTGGACGTGAAGAATAATTCGTTATCACGTCCAAAATTTGAAAGAGTTGCTTATCAACACGTGCTTGCCCTCCGTTTCAGTAATCCGTACGTTACGGGCTGATTAACGTACGTCACACCTTTTACTCAGCAGTGACAAGGCAAGCAACGCTAACTCCTTCATTTCATTAAGCTATGGTGTTTTACCATTACATGAAATCTCCTTTCATTGAGCAATTCTTGTCTAACTCTTCTTACTTAACCAATCGCACACGCAATTCACGACTTCACCATATCATTAGCATACAGTATTTAACAATTTCACCTTTTTACATGAAGTCAAGATTGTGCCCAAGGAGTGAAAGACCAGACCGCTCGAGCAACCACATTCCGTTCTTAATTGCGATTCTCAGTTGTAACGTTTCTGCAAAGCACCTATCTGCTAACAATTTCAGAATCACGTTTACAAGTTGATGCCATTTCTTAATGGGATCTTAACCTTTTCGCTTACTGTATGCCTTTGTATGTTGCCCAGCTACCCCAGGCCCAACTTCTTAGTGAACCCTAAACTGATAAAAAAAATATCAAACGCAAGCTCTTGAAAGCTGTTCGTTGCAATACTAAGAGGATCCGCGGTAATGACCAAACTTTCGCAAGCAAACGCGAGAAGTTGCTGGGTGCGATGCCGCACTGTGGGGGAACCGACTGTATTGTGCTGGTGCTGACCTTTTCTAATCGCGATTATGTACGATTTTTCAATTTCTCCACCGAATACAAATGTAACGCGTGCGCAAGTTATGCCGACACACCAAGGCTACACGGCCTCGAGAGCCGATCGAGCAAGACCTCGAGCAGGCAAGATCATCCTACGCAGAACCGAAAGGTTCGACCCCTAATCCTTGTCTCGCTATATTCACATACCTCATCCGAAAGCATATATGAACCTGGCCACCAATGTACATTAATGTATGCAATCGCAAGCCTGTCGTTGCAGTTTGAAGCCATATGCGAATGCAGCAGGTCGTGCTCACGCCAGCACACAGCCGCGAGCGGTGCTTACAGCGAGCCCAGACCCTGACAGGGTAGGACCCAGACCCAGACAGCGAGCCCAGACAGGGTAGGACCAACAGGGCCCGCAACGGACCGTGGACTACACTGAAACATATGATGGAAACCTTGGGCACCTTGAACAGCAATACAGCTAACCATGAAGCTTGAGAGACTCGGTATGGGGGAACGTCTTTGCCGCCCGCTTCTCAAGATAGAAGTAACCTGAACGCCCCCCAAGATGCGGCAGAAGGGAGCGGTTCCCACAAGAGGCAACCCTTAGGGCAACAGCAAGCCGCGGCTCTAAAGAAGCTGGCATTCTTGTTCGCCATAATATGACGAAAACGAGGATGTGGAACATGGGCGCGAAAGAAATATAATGAAACTGTGCTAAAACGCTTCAATTTCACGAGTCCGCTAACTACGCAACACAACGGATTCGGTGCCGGTGCCTTCGAAGGCAAACAAATACCAGCTGCGGGGCCGTTAGGCTGACTACGTCCCTTCTACCTCTACTTCCTTCCAGTCGGCCCCATCCAGTCTCCGCGTGTCCCTCTCGCTGATGTGACTGCTTAAGACGCGGGATGATTCGTGTGACTCCGCACCTTGATCTCGTCCGCCTGAGCATTTCTCTCTCCGCATGCCGCATGTTCCACAGCGGTATGCGGGTAGACGGCGGCCTATGCTGCTGGAAACTATTTCGTTCTGGTGCCCTCTGCTGCTTAGTACTGCATGTGTACATATACAACCAAAAAACACACCAAGACGCGCTGGAAGAGCCATGCACCCATGCCGCTCACTTACAGGCCATGTGCTTCTTCTAATCAGACGCATATGCTCTCTGCACGCAGAGGGAACCACACATGCCAGACGCCTTTCTCCGCGCCTTCCTCTTCTTGTTCTTCTCCTCCTTGCCGTCCGAAGGCAGGCCCCATGCCAGTCCGTCTGTTGACCTTCCGTTTCGCACCATACCTCTAGCAGGAGGCACACAGCAGGCAAATCCCAAACCCTCACTCCGCCTGTACCGCCGCTCTCGGGTCCTCCTTGATAACACCCGCATAAGCGATACCGTTGGCCACACTCATATGTTCGGTCCTGCGGCAGTCCGGCTCTCTATACCTCCCTTCGGACGCACGCGAACACGTTTTACCGCGGTGGCCTTACCCTGCCCAGGTACCCACGCCCCCAACCATCATTCTCCAGAAAGCCCGCCCTTGGCTGAGAATCCCACGCTGCTATTCTATTCATACCGGGTCCTTATCACCTCCTTTTTGCTCATGCAACTGTCTGCCAACCTGCAAGCTCCGCCAGTGCTATGGCCTTCTCTCCTCTACTACAAATCGCAAACTAGGAAGACAGGCAGACAGATAGACAGGCGGACAGACAAACAGGATGGGTGCAACCGCAGGGATGATGAAGCAGACGGGTATCCGTGCGCCGAGGAGAAAGACACCGCACAGCCTACTACTTTGTATGCGCGTCATGCGCACATAGGCCGGCCGCAACGTTCGAGTATCCGACTAGTGAAGCACGCCCAAGCATTTCGTCCTCCACATTTTTGTCATCATCTGGTGCCTAGAGCGTACATCCTCCCACCGCCATCCGCTGCACGATGCCCCATCTCCCCCATCCCGAAGCGCCACGCCCAATACGCTCTACATACCCCCCTACAGGACTACTCCCACCCCATCACCCAGGCCGGGTTCAAATAGGCCGTCCATCCCAGACACCCTTCACACGAGGTCTCGTTCTGAACCTGGCATCACTCGTCATCCGAATCCAGCAAGCTGCCGAGGTCTTCATCATCGTCATCATCATCGCCGCCTTCGCCATCCTGGCTCCCACGACCCGTGGGTCCGTCCGCCAGCATTGCGTCAAACTCGTTCTCCTCGTCTGCGTCGTCGTCATCGCTGTCATCATCTTCCGAGCCGTCCTCGTCTGCGGAGGACAAAGCCGGCGCAAAGGGGTCTTCCGCAGCAGGCTCCTCCTCGGCGTCCAAATCGTCTTCGAACAGCACCTGCAGAGAAAGATTGCACCGCCATCACCATCACCATCACCATCACCGCCATCACCAAGAGGAGTGAAACAGAGGAAAAGGGAACACTAAAGCGAGAGCAGCAGCACAACCCGCAAACGAGAAGCGTATCCAGTGCATCGCCCCTCCCGGTAATCAACCTGAAACCCGCATCATCAACCTTCCTCCGCTTTCCTTTCGCTCTTAACCCAACCCGGATGCATGGCATGCCAAGCTGCCAATCCTCGCGCTGTCCTTACTAGCTCTTCGTCTGCAGCCGTACCATTTCCCCCTACCACGACCAAAATCCCGCCCCCACGCGCACACACAAACACATCTCACCTCGGGTACTGGACGCCGCTGCTCTGCGGGCAGCTGACCCTTGTCCCGGCTGTGGTGAAGCACCAGACCTAATCTCCCGTACAGCCGTAAGAGTGGATCTTGGAGTTTAACCCGCGCGTCAATCGCCTGCACGTATTAAAACAAAACATATGACAAAGTTGTAACGCGCACCTAACGGGCACCAGGCACTTCACAGGGTCACAGCAGTCTGTTGGCACTGTGCTGCATTGGAATTCCGTTGCGCAATCCCAATTCACAAACATTTCCAATCCCGAGATGCGTAACGCGGGTTTCCGTTGCGCTGCGCGATGTTAGTCCACATGCAAAGTCCCGAGCTGCTTAGCAGCCCCCCTTAGCCGCCATGTCTCTTGCAACATAATCTCTCCCCAACCGCCAACCAACAAATCAGCAGCACCTACCTGAAACAGGCTAGTCAAAGACGGTTGCACTCCCGGCGCGCTCATGAGGTATGCAGTGTGGTGGTGTAGTACGGCACGGATCCATGGAACTAATTGCACGGCACGGCTGGGCTTTGACACCAGCCTGTCCACGGCAGCCTGGGGATATCAACCCATGGAGGTCAAAGTCACATTTAGTAAGCCAGCTAGACGGACAGACAGACGAACAGATAGACAAAAAGCCGGTTAGGCAAAGGATGAATGTGGGACCGGTATGTTGGTTAAGTAGAACCAAAGCGCGCGGACGTGGAGGAGACAGAGCTTCACATCGAGAGATACGACCTGGCAAGCGCAAAAGCTAAATGAGCCCCTGCGAGAGGCCGCATAGGATTGCACAGGCTTCCAAACCCTATCCGCGCCCAAGGTCCTCCCCTCCCCCGACCTCCCTGATCTCCCCCAAACCCTCTCCTCCTCCTCCTCCCCCCTCGTATCTCCCGAAATTCCAGTCCTAACCGCTTTAGCCAAGCATGTTCGTCTTGCCTTTAGGAACCTCGCCGCGTCCAGGGGCACGATCCGCGCCACCGTGTTGGCAATGACAATCGAGTTGCTGGTCGCCAGGCAGCGCTCCAACAGCGCTCGGTCATTGCTGTGCAATGATTGGACCCAGAGTTGAGAGATAGGAAACGTTAGAAGAGAAAATGTTAACGCAACAATGGAATGGAAGTATCATCAACTGCCACCAGCCGCGAGCCAGGTGGGAAGGGACGATACGGGTCTTCCTAGGTTACGTATCTAGGACGCAAAAGAGTTGTTGGAGCAGGGAAAGGAAGGGCTGTGTCAAGCTCTTGATAAGATACTTCCTCTCCTCTTAACTCTTCCCCTCCCCTGCCCTCCCCCTCCCCATCCTTCCCCTACCCGCCTGAACGTTGTACACCGATCAACCGGTGGCCGCCTCGCCGACATGGACTAACCACCTTTTGCTTTAACACATACCGACACACCCACCCAAACAGAAACACACAACACCATCAGAGCCGCAGCCACATCGCACATCTCACCTCCTAATAGCCTGCGTCAGCAACACAGACAACGAGTCCGCCTTTGAGGAGCCCGCCGGCATGGGCCCCGCGCTGGGCCCAGGCTCCTCGTCCACGGGCGGCACCGTGCCCAACGACCGTGCCTCCAACTCCGCCACGCGCTCCCCTAAAGGTACCTCGCCCTCGGGGAGGTCCGGCACTTCCTCGTCATCCGCCCCTGGAGCGGCGCTCCGCGTCGCCGCAGCGGCAGCAACAGCAGCCTCCGGATCGTCGTTCTCGGCACCACGCTTCCGGCTTCCAACGGCTGCTTCCGCCGCCGCTCGAGTCACCACCGGCTGACCGATGTTATCCGTGCCGAGGACCGTGACCCCGGGACCCGAGGTCAAAACCGTGCGGGGCTTCTGCTGTGTTGATTCATCAACTTGTGCGGCAACGGCGGCGGACGATGGCTTCTTGGCGTCGGCGCCGCCGCCGCGAGGTAGCAGCACGCCGCCGACGGGACGTAGCAAAACCAGGACGTCAGCGGCCGCGTCGGGTGCCTCTGCTGGCACTGCGAGCGTTTCAAAAGCGGGCTTGGCGCTGTTCCCTCTTGCAACCAGAAGTGTAGGACCTGCGGGGTGATGACCAACCGGATGGTGTGTGAGAAAATGACGAGAAGTCGGACGACTCGAAGAGCGAGCGAGGAAGATTGAGGAGTCTTCTCTGTTATGATCACGATGGCATGCACAAACATAACATCGCGCACGGCGAGATCAAGATTAGGACAGAGGCAAGATTAAGGCAGAGCCGAGCCATAGAAAAGACAGCTAACATTTTCACGCTACTTCAAACTCAAATTAAATCACTGGGGGTCTGAGGGTCCGCGTCCTTTCTGTGCCAGGAACACAAAGCTGGAGGACATTGGGCGGAAAAGGTGCTCCCACGGTCGTGTGTTTTGTGACCATGACCAGGAATGCACACGCAGCGGTTATTCTAGAGGGAGGGAGGTTGCTTGCGTGTTTGTTGTCTTGCCGTGTGGTGTGGCCAGGAAGGTAAAAGCCCAATGGATGCCGCGCCGGCTACGAATGCGCCAGACGCATCACAGCACCCGTGCCTGCCAAATTGCTGTCGCGCCGGGTTACATCCTTCTGGGTGTTGGAAGACACTTCAACCCAAGAAGGGAAAAGAGACGGCGCTTGTCAGTGGGATTAAGAGGAGACGATGCAATGCAAAGAATTTCCAGTACTTTTTACCTAGGCTCGACGGCACACACACATGCACACATTTAAGAGACGATGATACTGATCCAGGGGATAGACACAACGGTGGAAAAACAAAAGTGGAAAAGCAGGATAGCAAAGTACAACCCATATCCGAAGATATGCAAAAGAGCCAGGACAGCCAGGGTTTTTCCCACGCTAGTGCGAAGGGGGGAAAAGAAGACGAACCACGAGCTGGTGCGAGGGGAGTTGGTCAAGACGCGACCGAGTGTACATCCTCACTCACGTTTACTCTGATTTGTAAAATATGACATTATAAACATGACATGGCTACACTTGTAAGAGCACAAGTAATGTAGCCGAGCTGTTCAAAGGCAAGCCAAGCGTCTCTGGCGTTTGATGAATTGGCGGATGGTGAAGGATTGCAAGAATCGTGTTGCGAGTAGTGCGACAAAAGCGCGTGGGCGCCGGCACCGGCATTGCTCGCAGCGCCATTAGCAGCTAACTACCCGCATCCTTGTCGCGCCGGGTTACATCCTTCTGGGTGTTGCAGGTGCATCCAAGAAGGGAAAAGAGACGGCGCAACATGCGACGGTTTACCTTCTGACTATGTGTGAGGCACATTAGGTTTCTATGTATTAACTTCAGTTGAGTGGCAAACACTGCAGCACGCATCGTACAAGAGTTTCTGTATTGAATAATGGAAGACCGAAAATATCGGATCTCTTTTTGCATGCACCCAAAAAAACCCGTCAAGGATGTTAAACGTGTTGCGGATAGTGAAACGTATCGACACCTGCACAGGGACGGCAGGGCGCCGTTATCGCCGTAATCGCGTCCCTATAGCGCCGGGTTACATCCTTCCAAGCGTGAAAACATCACCAAGAAGGGAAAAGAGGCGGCGCATGTGACGACTTTCGAACCAGAGCTTTCCTTGGCGTTACCTGACATGCGAGAAGAGTGTTTTGATGTTTCCGGGCGTTGCAGCATTGGCACATACAGCTCGTCCAATATCCAAATGTAAAACCAACCAAGATATCACCAATCAAGGTTTTGCGGTAGTTGAAAGGATTCAGAATGCGTGTGTTGCGGGAAGTGTGACAAACAAAAAGCGTGAACGCCAGCACCGGCATTGCGCGCAGCGCCATTAGCAGCTAACTACCCGCATCCTTGTCGCGCCGGGTTACATCCTTCTGGGTGTTGGAAAACACTTCAACCCAAGAAGGGAAAAGAGACGGCGCTTGTCAGTGGGATTAAGAGGAGACGATGCAATGCAAAGAGCTTCCAGTACTTTTTACCTAGGCTCGACGGCACACACGCACACAGCCATTTCCCCCAAATACTATTTCGCTAATCTCAAAGGTTATGGAACTTACGAGGCAGCATCCCTTCTCCCCTAAACGAACGGCATTTGGTTTCCAGCCACTCAAGTCACCCATAGCAGCACCCACCTACCTGAGGGCCCCTGCTGCAAGCGTATCCCCAAGATGGCCTCATCCCGGCCCGCATGTGACCTGCGTGGTGGGCGTGGCGTGGAGCGGGGGGCACAGAACAGAACGGAACTAGGCACAGCTGAACCAACATGACAATGATGGCAATTTGGGGACTCCGGGGTCATCCGCCCAGCTCCTTCACAGGTGACGGTGAGTGGATATGAATGTGGATGTGCGGCGCAGATGTGGGCGTCATTCCGGGGATAGGAATGGAGCGGGGGAGGGCTTGTGGCAAAAGGACCGCAAATTTCCCGTGCATGAAACCATTGGGCTGAGGCCAAACAGCAGCAGATGGACGACAGAAGGGACGGCCCCGGGCGGAGTGCACACGCACGAGCACGTCGAGATGATGTCAGTCAGGTACAAGCGGACCAAATAGGGAGGTGTCCGGAAGAGTGAGGGCAAGGGCGGCGCTGCTCTGGGTGTCTCTGGAACGCCCTGCAAACGATGCAGTACTTCATTCCACGACAGCCGTACATCCGACCCATCAGTACATTGACATTACCACACCAAGATGCAAAACATCCCTACATTCGTCAGCCCTGGTCTGGTGCCCACAAGGGCAAGCTTTCAAGCCGTTTTCCCGAATCGACATCCCGGCGCGGGGAGACTGGGGATGCACAGTCCGGTTGAATTGCATACGTCCTGCCTCTCCACTTCCCTCGGTTCGCGCACTCGAGTCGAATGTGCGGCGTTTCGTGACGCAATGCCTCTCGATCCTACCGAATACTCTAGAACCCCATTCCCTTCTTCTCATTTCTTTTCGGTAGCAGGCTCCCTGAAGCACCATTAGGGCCCTTTCTCTGCTCTCTCTCGTTTCTGGAAAAAGGTCTCAGTCCCCCTCAGCACCCCTTTGCCTTTTTGACCTTTGCTGCTGTATAGACTAAGACCAAATCCACATGAATCATTCTCTTGCGAGCACCTCAATCAAATCCAGGCACTAATGCTAAACTCTAAATGCTTTTCACTACACCACACCGCGGTCCCACGCGTGCGTCACGTCTAACACGGCCGACATACATATATATACATACTCAGGTTAGGCACTACTGGCAAGGCACGGACCATTGCCCCCGGGAGATCATACATGGTGGATACAAGGTAGACGATAGGTGATAGCTTATAGCCCAGCTGTCAAACCCTCAGACCCGCTCCACTCCCCACTTGTCCCAACCTCCAAGCACCAAGCCCGGCCAGCCACAGTCTGCCACAGCCCGGCTTACGTAACTCTTTTCACAATTTCGCATATTTGGGGAAGTTAAATTGGTCCAATGTAAACGCCGCTCACCCTTTGCCAGCTCCCTCGCCGACTCGAACGCGCATCACCAGCTGGCACGCAAGACCTGGCTTGCTGTCCGACGAGCCGTCCCCGGCTGCTACCGACTCCCGATGGCAAACCCAGACGAACGCCTCCCCGCCTTCCGACACCGCTGCCACGTTGAATGTCTCCCCCTCGGAAACGCATGCCGCATCCAGCTGCACTGCGGGATCCTCGAGGTTCAGCGTCGTGACGGCTGGGTGCTGCTTCTTCGACTTTTTCGCAGGAGGGACTTCCCAAACCGCCACCTGCCGCTCGCCGCTACCTGCAGAGACCGCGTGGGGCTGCCCTGGTACAAACACCACCGCGCGGACTTCATTCTGATGAGAGGTTGGGGAAGAGGGGAAAAGAGATATTGGGAACGGGGAGCGGGGAGTTGGTGGTGATGGCAACCAGCTGGGAGCGAGCAAGCCAGAAGACGGAAGGAGGCCCAAGAAGCTGATGAACTGACGCGGAAATGCTCATGAAGGAGGAGCAAGGTGCGGTAGAGAGAAGTTTTGGGATGGATGCAAGCTGGGTGCTTACCGGATGGCCTGTATACTTGGCTGACCGTGACGACTCCGATACGTCCCACAGCTGCATACTAGAGCCACCACCAAATACATGCTTCCCGTCTGCAATTAAAAGCGATTTCGCTTCAATACAACCTGAAAGACGTACAGGTAAAAGGAAGGCTGAGGACATTCTATCGGGTCTCGCACCTGGCGCGATGGCGATTGCGGTAATCGGGTACTTGCTAGCCTCATACCGCTTCTTCACTTCGCCGTCAGGAATGCTGAGCGAGACAAGCGAGCCGTTATTGCCCGTGGCAAGTAATTGTCCTTGTTCAGAGGAGAACGCCAGAGACCTGACGCCCCTGCGGCGCCGCCAAGAAATCGCCATGATTAGGCCTGGTTGCGGCATTTTGCCGGCATTAACAAGCCCAATACTTACCCCTGGACAGCATCCATGGCACGCCATTTAAGTTCGCCAAGCTGAACGTTGTAAAGCTTTACATCGCCGGCGGCGGTGCCGAGAGCGATACCCGTAGACTCAACTGACTGCTTCTTTTTCCCTTTCTCCTGCGTGGAGTAAGAGCATGGTGACAACTCTAGGAAACAGGTAGAAAGCTGTGACGGTGACGGCGCACCTTTGTCGGCACCCACACGATGCATGTGTGCGCTTCCACCAAGTGTCCGTTTGCTGTGGGGCCTCCATTTGCTTTCCCAGAGTCTGTAGGCCCCCCAAAAGTCACTAGCAGCCGTGCCGTTCCTGAATTGCCATTTGCGTGTTCGTTTAAGTATTAAATCGCAGTTAAATTTGTGCATAACCAAATTGGCCCACCGGCATCAAACACTCGGACACGACCGTCAGGTCCAGCTAAAGCAAATTTATCTCCTGCTGGACTAAAGCTACACAAAAGTTTGTCGAGAGCATTTCCCGGCAGCATCGTTCCTCGATATCAGACAATTGCAGCTCATTAAAAGGTATGAAAAATCTAACTCTTGATAGATGCCTGGAAGGCGGCCACTCAGCGATGCGAATGTAAGCCGCACGGCAGCGCCGTACCAAAGTTCAGAACTTGTTGCGAGTGCTTGGTAGTCTGCACTGACGATGGCTTAACGATAATATGTTCTTTCATACAAGCAATTCGCTTCCCTGATTACCTTTGCGTGCATGCACATGGCTTGTGCAAGGCTGTTGACAGCAAGCTACCTGCAATTCCGTGCGGGTACGTGCTCGATACCACATCTGCGGACTGTATCGCAGCTGTTGGGTTGTGCAGCTACACGGCACCTCGCGAAGAGCGACAACCGAGGCCCGTGGAGCGCGGCGAGCACGGTATACTCCTCGTAAGTAGAGGGGGGCGGGACGCGGCTGCTCAGGAGAAGAGGCGATTATTCCTACTAAGTTTTGTTATTGACATCAGCCCATGGCTTTAGAACAACAAACCGTGACGGGTAACTCTAAACCCTCCAACCGAGGGTTAACCGCTGGACGCGGGCACCATATGCCTTAACCGCTGGACGCTGGCACCACTCCTCAAACTCTTCCTGCGGCTCTGGCAGGCTTCCCATTCTATCAGTTAGCATTCAAGGACAAGGAAAACCCCTGGCCAACCCCGCTGCCATGGCCCGACACCTCATGAACGTGGCCAGCTGTCTGGATCTATATTACTCGGCTGGTACGTGGGCTGGGAGCCTTTGGCTGCGAAGGATATACATCCTAGCAGCTAGTTTAATTCTCTGGTGGATAACACTGTTCGAAGACGACTGGGTCAGGGCGGAACGGGCAGGGATGCGGGTTCGGCAAACTAGCATTGACGTCCCGCGGCGATAAATCCTACCATACCCACGCCTGATGACATCGAGCTTGCAGCTAGTACGCGGAGAGAATTACTGTGAAAGAAAGTGCTCAGTCCTGCGGACAGTGTGGAGTGCGATTGGCCATCCATGCCAGTCCCGTACCGTCATCCGTACATTTGCGAGCTTGCGCGGGTTATGCGTATGGCCTTCTTCTAGATTGACCTCATCCGCAACAAGCCGCCTTCGTGAGCTCAACCATCCACAGCAGGTCGCTGCTAGCCGGGGCTTGACACCTGCGGAAATGAAGACCTGCTGCCATAACAGCTTCGGTATTGGCCAGATTGGCCTGCGGCCCGCATCTTGGCTATGATGGAGCCACCCTTCTCGCACTGTCAGCACTTCTTAGGCAGGCTGGCTTTCGGCAGCTTCCCCCCTTACTGCGTGACAATTCCTTACTTTTGTGCGTGCGTGTACGTGCCGTTGGGAATTAGCAGGCTTGGATGAAGATTGCTGACAATATCGGAGGAGAGCTCGGGTGTGCGGCAGGGCCACACTTACCTGAGAGGACGCAGCGGGAGGCTGTCTGAAGCGACGGGAGGCTGGGATCGGGCGACGGCAAGGGATGCGGAATATGAGTGGCTATATGAGCATAAAGGAGTGGACGACGGGTATGACTATGAGGAGGAGGAAGAAGAGGGTGATGTTGGAGGAGGTCCACGGGGTATCGCACAAGGAGCAAAGAGAAATCAGGGGAGGTGGGGACTGGGGACTGGAGGAGGGGCCCTGGCTAGAAGGTTGGGTCAGAGACGGCTTAAGGTGCTAAATGGTCCGGGAGGCACAGGAGCCTCGCAAAAGAGATTGTGAGGGCCTGGACACGAAGGTCCAGGAAGCTAGAGGATGTGACCGGTCCTTGTAATCGACCCAGCTGTTGCCGGTGCTGGTACACGGCGTCGCACGCAGGCCATGATCCACAAACGCCGCAAGGGGTAATGGTACTGGTTTTGGGGAAGGCATGTGTCCTTTCTGGCGTATGGATTCCTTTCTCGCTGATTCCCTCGCGTGTTGGTTGGCTTTGCCGGTTAGCCAGCTGGCGTCCCATATGCCGCAGCTGCCAAGTATGGCAAAACTGTGTAGATTTTCTTAACGAGTGGGAGCCATCGGCCTCGCGTAGCTTGCATGGATCCTCATGGCGAAGGCGTTTCATGTTGGTTTCCGTACGGCTGTGACTGGGGCAGCATGCCCTGAGGAGACACACACACACAAAAAAAAACACAATATAGGCAGCAGCTGGCAGAAAAGCTGAGAGCCAGAGAGGCAGCATGGCTCACAAGACCAACGATACAGCGCAGAGCATGTGGGCAAAAAAGGATCTGTGGAAATCGAGAGCGTCTAAAGCTGGAGGGAACCTTGCTGCTGCAAAGAGCAACGCAACCACTCTACCTGGCAACCACTCCGCTTGAAAGGCTCGCAGTGCCATCGGCAGGCGGCGCGGTGCCAACGGCCATGAACTCCATTCAGGAACTGGCCCCAAACCCCTGGATGCGTGGATGGACGGCCTGAAGCCCTTGTACGTGCCGTTCTGGAGTGGGTAGAGAATATGGCGTATGTTTACAGGCGTATGTTTTTGTGGGGTCCCCATGTGAGTGAGGGCTTTGTTCGTCCCCCGGTTGGTCACCTTCCTTCAGCTGGATGTCAGCATGCACATACACCTGTATGGGGCTGCCGGGCTAGCTTGGGGCAATTTTTTGCAAACTTTGTGTGCTGTGGGGCAAATTCGTGTGCTACGCAGTTCTATGGGCCAAATTCATGCGCTAACGGGGCAAATTCATGTGCTCGCCAACGCCGCCGCTCGCCGCGTTAGATGCAGCGGTCTTGGACACAGAAGTTTTCTAAATGTCGCCTTGATGGGCTGGGCGCGCAAGCACCACTCATCGATCACGCAATAAAACGTTACGAGTTAGGCACCGCACAGGCGCAGCATACAGTCAATTGCAGTCTCAGCACGCCAGGCATAGCATGGAGCCCTAACATTTAACTGGAAAGACTTCATATGACAAAATGAAATATAGTTCGAGGATGCACACGAACAGAGCGTTTAGGCAAACTAACGATGCCGAACCCCGTCAGCGGCTCGAAAACATGGCTCCACCTTTGGAATAACGCGTGCCAATACTTGTAGAAAACAATGCTGGCGGCTCTCACGACTGTGTAACAAAACTGGTTTTCCGCTGCTACCGCCAGTGTAAAAGGCTTTGTACTGCGGTCGCCGTATTCGCTTCGCTCGGATGGATGTCGCAAAGACTGAGAATTCAGATATGTGTGTTGCATTCAGAGACGTTCTCGTGATAAAGTATTGCTTCTAGCATAAATTTATCGTCGCCACGAGTTTCAGGCTTTTTTCCTGTGACGCTGGATTATGCAGGTCCTAAGCCAGCGAGCCCTAGAGGGGCTGCGCACGTACGTCTATAAACCAGGCGGATATACGTGGCTCGATCATGCACATACTCCTTTTTGGAACTGTAAGTCGAGTTTGATCGCCAGCTGGTCTGGTACTGACAGCATGCATCGGTCTAATTCCTAAAGCTTTATACCACGTTGATTATTAATTACATCAGGGCTCACCGCACAGCTGCCGATGTGGCTGGCGCCTAACCTTATCACGCTTAGCGGTCTACTAGTGACTTTCGTGGCGTACTTCACCATGTGGTACGAGATTCCAGAGTTTGCGGGTGGGTTTGGTTAGAGACTGGGGCAAGTACGCAAAAATTGAGTAGACAGAAGTCGCTTCGAATCCGTACCGTTGATGCAGGTGTCGCGCCAAGGTACGCATACATCTTTGCCGGCGCATCCATTCTCATCTACACGAACTTGGATTGCATAGACGGAAAGCAGGCGCGGAGAACGAATTCCAGCTCGCCGCTGGGCCAGCTTTTCGACCATGGGTGCGACGCCATAGCACTCCATGTAATGCTCACCTTCGTCCAAGCAGCCATCAATATGCCGAGCTCCGTGCTCACGAGTGTAGCAGGCATCGCGGTACGCAGAATCAGTATTACTCTGTTTGATTCCTTGTGCGATGCCTCGGCGACTGAAGGAACCTGTCCTCCCGTACATCGGCGCCACGTGGCGTTGTGTATCTGCACATGCATAGCACGTGCGGCATTGTGAACAAGGATTCCCTCCCCACTACCTACTCTCAAAGAGGAGAACCATACCATGCAATGCATAGACCTGCCCCTGGTGTGTTCCCTGTCACAATCGATTGCTGCTATTGCCCTCACGCCTTGCCAGGTAGACCGGATATAAAGAAGTTCAGGGGGCCAACATTTTTAGTGCCTTAGCTGATGTGTATACATCTGTTACCTCCCCATCGTCCCACAAAACATTCAGTCCCTTCCAAAGACCCAAAGGCGGCGCCCCCCATTTGCCACCGTGGCCAGGTGTACCTGCCTTGGATGGTGAGCCACTGGGAGGAGTACCACACGGGCATCCTCATGTATGGTGACGGCCACTTTGGAATCCTGGAGGCGAACTACGTCTTAGCAGCTGTGACATTCGTGTCGGGGATTTTCGGCCCAGGGATATGGGATTATCGATTGACGAACCTGGTGGCTACCTGGCCGTACAAAGACATGGGTGAGTAGGGAACCAGGAAGATTTGCTGGCGCCTAGGCTGCAAACTTTTCCGGGATTGGCCGCCAAGGTCTTCATGTGGGCCAGTTTGTGCATATCCTCGGACCTTGGCGCGAACCTTTCAGCAGGGGGAAGCGCTTAACATTTTCACGCTAAAGGTTCAGTCTCCTGTCCTTCATACTTTCTGGCCCCAGGCGCGCAATCTCGCACATGTTAGATGTTTGTGCAATGGACCATCAGGGGCATGGTCTCCTCGTTATTCTGTCCCACGTAGCATGGCATGGTGTTGCTAAGCGAGCTGATTGCAATCTCGGCCGCCGTTTTTCGTTGTTTGCCATTCGCCACAGCCCCTTGGATCACCGGTGCATCCACGGTGCAGGGGCTCCACGTGAGGTAGTCATGTAGTCGGCACACAGTGAAGGCGATTCCGTAAATTGCATTCCATCTTCCACAAATACGCTGCCTCGATGACCTCCCCCAGATGATGCTTCGTTTATATGGGTTCTTCTGCACCTGGTTCGTCCCGTCCCTGCGGGTTTTCACGTGGTTGATTCTTGAAGTGGGTCGTGCGCATGTGTGAACGCACAACGCCGCGGCGGAAGCCCTGTCTTCCCTTTCCAGCGTTTTCCTCCCCTTTTTCAGGGTTGAAGCACGCGCTCATCATCTTCGCGGCGATTGTGGCGCTGGTGCAGTTTTATGGCCAGATGCGGCGAGTGTTCTTGAACCACTGGACGTCGCTACCTGCAGCGGTGAGCCTGTCGTTCCCTTATGTTGCAGGCATTACTCGCACACGCGTAAATATCCGTGTGTGTAGTTGCATGTATGATATGCTATTATTACGTGTTGAAGTAACAAATGTATAGGTGTGTGTCATTGCCTATGCACGAGTTTTGGTGTGTGGGGATGGGGATCCCCAGGGGAAATGAAAGTCAAAGGCGGTCGGCTTGGAAGTGTCGTGCAGATCAGCGAGCCTAGCTACCGGTAGGAGGCCTTGGGGCCACCAAGTATTACCGCTTCCTATACCTGGTGTATCATAGAAGTGCGTGTTACAACCTCCCCGTCATTCGACATCAACATCACCCTGGGTCCACGGATCCTGTGTGCAATCTTGCCAAGTTGGCGTTCAATCTCACAGGATCAGGTCACCGCGTGAAACGAACCCTAAGTTGATGGCTTCGCTTCTTGCGTCTTGTTTCTTGCATATAATACCTTGCCCTCCTCCCCAAAGGAGAACGCAGTCACGTAACGGATGTAAGGTTGCCGGATTGTCCTAGTCCTCATGTCGATCCTTGAACCATGTTTGTAATCCGGCATATTGTTATCGGATTTTCTGGATTCACAGGTGAATTCTCATTTGTAATTGTATTCTTGTTTCCTTGCTTATCAGGAACGGGGCCACAAGGAGCTCGGGAATGCCGCCCGCCTTAAGCACTTGGCCTATGCACTGCTGCTGATGGCCCTAGGGGCGGTTTACCTGGCGGACGACAAGCTCAAGCCGGGGCAAGCCAGGTGGGTTGCAGGAGGCCAGGTGGGTGAGCGCTTGGGTGGAAGGGCTAGACAAGCTGGTGGGCAAACGGCGCTGGTGGGCAAACGGCGTGTTGACGGCAGATTGAATATTGGTGAATCTGGTGTGTGACGATAATGGCGCTGAATAGTTGCTGGCCATGATGTGTATAAGGGATGTGTAAACAGTAATGTATGACTCTTCTTTTAAGTCACCTGTCTTCCTTTTTAAAGGTTAGATTATTTGGTGTAGATATGATATAAATCATCTACCGATAAATTTCCCTTGGGTATGAAAACTTCAGTTCCGTTTTTGTATGAGCGTGTGCTGGTGCGTTTTTGTGCATAGCTTTTTGACTACTCGGATGGCGCTGGACCCTGGCCGCTCGCGAAAGGGGCAGATCGCGCCTGCCTTGACGCAAAGACTGCAGCTTGCTGCTCTCGCATTTCGCTTTTCACAGAATCATGAAGGACAACATCAAGGACAAGCTCGATAGGTTGCCCAGCTCAAGGACAACCTTTCGAGCTGTAGCCCTTGTAGCTCGTCATTTTGGGTTACGTTTCGTAACTACTGACTACTACTCTGCCCGTCCTCGGATGCTGCTGACAGGCTGGCTACGCTACTTTACGGGCTCGTGTACGCCGTCGTGGCTACGCAACTGATCATGGACCATATGTGCAAGGAACCCTTCCGGCCGCCGCTGTTTCCCTTGTCGGTGTTGGCATGTGCGGCCGCCAACAGCCTGGCGGAGGTGGTCGACTCGCGCATGGTGGCGGTCGGCGGCGTGGCCATCATGGTTGTCTACTACGGCATCTACGTCTCTACCATTGTCAACCAAGTGTGTGCATTCCTAGGGATAAAGTGCTTCAGCATAACGCCAAAACGGGCTTAAGTTGAAATTCAGCGTTTCGGAAACCGGGACGCCTGGACACCAAGGGACGCTCCAAAACGTGACGATCAACGCGCCAAAGCGCACTAAGATGGTTGACAGAGCAGCTGGTGGTTATAGTTACTTGTGTGTGCCATCCTCGCCAGTTCTTAGCCATGTACCATTCCTCATCGGGTCATTGGACACGATACACATCATTGGAGTGGGGGAAGGAGGTAGATGGGAGGTAGGGAGGGGGGGTCTTGGGGGGTGGAGGAGGAGAGCCGGGCGACGGGCGAGGGGGCTTTGTGCAACGCGGCTTCCAAGGCCGTTGCTCCCAGGCGGCGGCTCTCTACATGGCGGCTCGGTGTGTAGAGAGTATGGCGCGGAAGTTGGGTGTCAGCGACTGGGGAGGACCCTGTAAACCTTCATGTTATGGTACCCTCATGGATTTGGATTATATTTGGGATTTGGATTGAACTCGGATTGGGTGATCCTTACATGTTGTATTGCGGCGTCGCTTTGCGTTTTTCCTTAAATGTAATCCCCGGAGCACAATTTTCCAAGGGCTCCCTCGTAGAGAAAAACCGTTGGGGACAGGGAATCTTGGCCGGACATTGCACTGTTTTTCCCTCGGGGAAAAGACTTGCGGGTGAGGAGGAGGAAGGGGGAATGGGAAGCCCGTGTTTAGAGCGAGAGGAGAGGGGCCGCACACCCCAGGCTGGCGTGGAAGGGGGGTTCGACCCGGAATGTTCGGGACGTGTTGTTTGTGTCTACCCCTATCTCCTTACACCTGCATGGCCGTGCGGTGGGGTCGTCCGTGCGATGCTATGGCTATGTACAGTGGTTGAACCGAAGTAGAAGGAGAGCTGTCAGTCGCGCCGAGGCCATGAGCTGCCCCAAGTCAGGCCCTGTTCACCCTGCGCCAGCTACTCCCCAGTCGGGCGAATGTAGCACACTGTACGCACGGCGGTGTGCACATTCCCCCGCGGCTTATGGACGCGTCGGAATCTCGACCAGGGTCCTTCTTCTTCCGGTCCAACGCTCCTCCGCCGACTGGCTTGGTAGCGTCAATGTGGCGTGGGGAGGCCGTCCCATCTCAATGGTCCCGGCTGCCGACTGGCCGGCAGGCAGGTGCTTCCCGTGATGTTGTTAAGTGGTGTTCCGCGTGTAGTGGATCGATGGGAATTGCCCATGTGAAACCGGGGAGGGAGCTGGCTTGAGCCTGCTATGCTTTGCGCCACAGGGGCGGACGGTGGGGGTGGCGTAAGGGATTGGGCCCGGGCCTTGAGGGCAGCTCCGAAGCCATCAGGGGTGGCATATCATGTGCGGGAGCTGCCTGCCGGTCCCGCCGGTGACGGGTGTTGTGGAGATGCTTCATCATGCCGATCCGTTGCACATGTACTTGGTGACATAGGTTGCTACACATATGCGCGTGGCACAAGTCCTTGAGGTACCGTATGATGGAAGTGACGCACATGAGCAGCAGAGCCCGTGCTCAGGCCATAGTATGAACGTGCTTACTTGCTCTAGCCTCTTGATTGGGACTGTTATATTTAAGGGGGGCCCCATTACCGTCATGCATTTCGTCACCTCTTTAACACCACGCAGTTCCAGGTTGCCTAAGGATGGGTACTCAAACGCTCGTGTTTACATCCGCTCATCAAGTAGGCCCCCCCAATCCAGTCATGATTGCATATCCCCATGGCTGACAACGCGTCTGCCCATGGCTGAACAGCAAAACCCTACGGCCGTAAATGGCGCATTTAAGTCGAAGACCTTCTGACCCAGGCGATACCCACTTTGCAGGCCTGTAATTTTAAAAGTTCTGCCCCTGTGGCTCATACGACGTGTCAATTGTACTGCTTCTGCATGTCCCGTACCCAGAACCAATCTAAGCCGTCGCTTGTGCGGCGTGGCGAAGAATACAGAACGTTACATAGTTTTGCACCTGTTATCTGCGCTTTCACCGTCACGCTGTCGTCGTAAGACCGTTGGCACGCTCAATAGACGGCGCGACAGCGTGACAAACTTTCAGCTTTCAATGTTCATTATTACTCAAATTGAGGACCAAATTCGAGTTTTGCCGCAGGATCTTCAGAAAACACCAGTCGACGCCGTCACAGCTGTCATCGAGCAGCGCTTTGTTGATAAAGTTATCCCAAACCTAGGCCTTGTGGTGACCATCTACGACGTCCTACATATTGAAGGTGGCTTTGTTTATCCCAACGACGGGGCAGCGTTCTTTAAGGTTCAATTTCGCGTCGTCGTCTTTCGGCCCTCCGTTGGCGAGATAATTGTTGGCAAATTAAAGTCATGCTCAAGGTAAGACGCCACCAATTTGGCCATCGCTGACTTACGCCGCCGATACTACACTTGCGTGCATTGTTCTTTAGGGAGGGGCTTCGAGTTTCGCTTGACTTTTTCGACGATGTGCTGATTCCCGAGCATGCACTACAAGATCCGTCGTTTTACGATGAATCCGAGCGGCTCTGGGTGTGGAAGTTCGACGGCAACGACATGTACATGGACCTACAGGAGCCCATCCGCTTTCGTGTCCACAGCGTGAAGTTCAACACGCCCCCAACTCCAATACAACTTCAAAACGCCACAGGTACCTTCACCTCTCCACACGGCGTCCAACACAATTCACGTATATAAATTAACAGCGCCCCCCTCGTGCTATCCTGCAGGGGACGACAAGCTCCTTGGCACTGCAGCAAAGCCCTTTTCGCCCATGGTTGTCATGGGCGACATCAACGGTGATGGGCTCGGCCTGACGACATGGTGGTCCGGCTGAAATCCCATCCCCTTAGGGGCCCAACCATTCTGCCATGAAAATTGAAGCGAGTCCACCAGACATGCGACAACACATTTTTCGTCCATATTGCAAAGCGCCGCATAACAAGATGTGAATGTATGGTGGCTGACAAACGCCGTTCGTCGCTCAGCCCCAAGCTGCTACACGCCCGCAGTAGCAAATAGTCCGCAAGTGCGAGTGGAGCAGAATTTATTCCTGCAGGAAGTTGGTTCCATCCATCCTGAAGCCCCTTGGGGAAGCCAGGATATAAACACCTCAGCTGGCGGCCATGCACATAATTGGTTGCTTACTCCAGATGTAACGCTGTTCCAACAAGCGCACCGATTTCCTGCTCAAGTTGTCTGACCAGATCTCTCCCGTCGCGGTTGTAGTTCCAGCGCCCGTTCACGTAGTCGAAGCGAAACGGGCCACTGCGGACGAACAAAGGGTGGGGCCCAGAAAGGGAGTGGGGCCACATGTGATGCCACATCGTGTAACAGCGCTATCACCACTCTTGCAAGAAAAAAGTTCTTCCCAACCCCGTTATGTGGAGCAGTAATTGACTGAATGCGAGTATGCTACTTGGAATTATCCTGTCACTTGCATCCTGTCGCGTCACGTGAAGGTAGCTTTGTGGATTCACAGCCATGCGTGCGCAACACATGCCACAAGTTTGCTTGTTTGATTAGGTAAGAAAATAGTGGAAACAACTGCAACAACAGTTCCCATCTAACCTCACGGGTGATGACAACCAAATTTGGCGGTTGGGAGTTTGCTTGTTGATGACAAACGTTCCGTACTTGCCCAGCTTGACCGTCAGCACGCCTTGCTGCAGCCGCACCGGTTATATTGGAGAAAGCGGCAGCAACAGGCCCCAGGTTGCTTCAGATGGTCTCCAGCTAAAGCATACTACGGTCCTCTCCTACAAAAGCGGCCTACCGAGTACTCTACGTCGCCGCCCTCAACATCCTTATCTTCTACATAGGCCTGCAGTGAGAAGCGAAAAGGGTGGAATTCTACGGAAAGCGTTCGCAAGTTTTGCAGGATTTGACACCTTTGGGGGCGTTGGATAATACACACCTCCAACTTCTCTACCAACGCATCCAGGGTTTCATTCGAAACCTTGTGGTATTCATCTTCACTCATGGTTGAGGTCCTGCATGAAGAATGTCAAACGCATTTAGGCTTGGTGAAGGAGGCATTGTTTGAAGGGGGAGCCCGATGCATCAAGCTGCGCCAGGCTATGGCTATGTTTGCGCAACCGCGGCAACTCCACCTACACGATCCGCAACTCTTCGCTGAACCCACGCAATGCACCCTGCCCCTGGCAGCCAGCGATTGCCTGCATCAGCGTAAATTGGATATGGGACGTCACGGTTGAACGCTCCAAGCCGGCGCGGGGATGCGGCACGTACCGCTGCGTCAATTCCTCGCGTTTCGCGGCCCATGCAGTTAAAGTTACTTATGCTTATTGCTTGAAGGAACGCTGGTAACATTCGGCACACCGTTCGTGCCCGGCTGTGAAGGGCGCAGCACAGGACCGAGGCCATTTATTCGCCTCTGGGTACAGCGCCGATACGAGGACTTAGATCTGTAAGATACAGTGAATGTTTAGGAAAGCTCCTACCGAGTTATCGCTAGATTTCTTGCTACTTAATGCCTCACACAGATGAATAAGCAATGCCGTAAAAAATGAGAGCCGGAAAGATAAGTTTGGGCATACGCTGGCTGATTGGAATGACATACAATTGTCATGAGTTCCTGAACTTCTGGAGAAAAATAGTTGTCGTACGGGGTAGGTGGTTGTGCACATCGGGTCGCTCGGACACTAGCGAATAGAGCAGCTTGCAACTCATGATGGAGACTAGATGAGGTTTTCCTCAATATACTCATTTTGTATTATGTTCCCATTGATGTTTACACATCCTCCGTCGACATGAGAGGAACGGCGTGTTCCGTACGGTATCCCAGTATCCCAGGTGCAACCGCTGAAGTGAATCCCCATGGGGCCCCACGCCCCTGCATGTGCTTTAAATCCTGCAGCTTCCGTGTTGAGGTCTCCCGCGACTTGTCCTCGAACTATAGTGCAAAGCTGAGGACTGCCGAGGATACAAAAGGTCAGGGAGAGCGCGCTGCGCAGGTCGCGCTTTCCACGTTGTCAAGCGCACCGCGCGGCAACGGCGGGAGACTCAGGACAAGAGTTCACATGCCACAGGTTGGACAAGCGGTTTTCTCCTAGCTCGGATAGCAAACATTTCAGGATACCTAATCCAAGTGTCTTACAGGACAAGATTCTGGATGTTGGGGTATATGAATGGCCATCCACACTCCCTATCCCTCGCCGATTGCGTCGTTGCACGTGACACGCGCAACTAAATGCGAAACACTACGCCACAGCCCTTTGACGCTATTGTAGAGAATTTTGTCTTCTAGTCTCAAATACCCCTTTGGTCCGCTAAGGATTGACATCGTAATGAAGTGTTATTCTGGCGGTACGGCATCACATAACGTTAACGAGAGAGGATAGACAATGTGCTCCCCATGTGCTGCCAATCAAAGACCGCAGTTAAACTTAAATACATTTTGCTCATAGGCGTTCCCAAAAAAGCAATAACTTGTTATGTTTCACGACGCTTATACGGCAGTCGTTCCTAGGTGAGCTCGGGTCAAAGCCGACGGTCCGCTTGCTTACTGCCAAGCGCATTCAATGACATACAGTTAGATAGAGGTAAAACCTGTTCATAGCTGAGGCTGTGAAGGCGTCGACCTACCACGCAGTCTTTGAGCACGGTCGATGCGATACCGCCTGGCCTTTTCATGTTTGTGCATATAAACTTAAAAAGTTCTATTTATTGCTAGATGCATTATCTAATGAAGCTTGGCGACTTCGAGTCACAACTCTTTTGGGGGACTTAGAGCCAACTTCTCCAGCTCAACAACCGGGTCAATTGTTTGTCTTTAATAAGACGATTACCATCTTGGTGGCTCTGTTCTCTGAGATTGGAGCTTGAGCGTAGCGGCCCGGCGCATTGCGGAGCTCTGGGGCGCATCCCACACCGCCTGGGGAGGCTGGTGGAGTGGTGTACATGAGATGGTACGTAACAAAAATTTTCTCGTTGCTACCTTTCCATGTGCTGTTTTGGGTTCCTGCTGACCATTTTGGTGACCTTTCACTCTCCACTTCCCGTGGCCAATACCGTTACAACATGTAAAGAACAAGTAAGTGTGGTGGCATTTGGGTTTCATGTCGCGCAATATTCCGATCAGGTTTGGGTCTCTGGGCGTTCGATGCTCCATTTTGTCTTCGCAGATACGAAATCATCTCCATTGTCGGGGAAGGGGCATACGGAGTAGTTCTCAAATGTAGAAACAAGGAGACAGGAGAAATCGTCGCCGTTAAGAAATTCAAGGAGAGCGACGGTGAGGCCGCGGATGCTTATACCCCGCGCTCCATGCTCCCTTCTCAGCTAACTTTCACTCACCCGCCACGCAGAGGATGAGATCGTGCGCAAGACTACTTTACGGGAGGTCAAAATGCTCCGCGCATTGCGCCAGGAGAACATCGTTAACCTGAAAGAGGCATTCCGACGGAAGCAGAAACTTGTGAGCCTGTCCCTTGTGCGCTGCTGGGTGTTTGCGCTCCCCGACCCTCACCTTGACTCACCTGTCACCCGCTGCAAAACCCCATTGCAGTATCTGGTCTTCGAATACGTGGAACACAACCTCCTGGAGATACTTGAGGAGCACCCGGGGGGCTTGGAGCCCGAGCAGGTGGTGCCGGTGGTTGGGGCTAAGACGAACAACTGACGATTGAAGCAGATACCAGAGATAGACGGATACTCCAGGATTAGCTCCAGGTTTATACAGCAGTCCTTGGGGGGCACCATTCAACATGCCTAAAGGGAACGCTGCCCATGTTATTACATGACACCGTTATTGGCACGTCAGGGGAAACTGTGTCTGTGTTAAACTTGGTCACAGGTGCGGAATTACGTCTACCAACTCGTAAAAGCAGTAGGCTGGTGCCACCAGCACAACATTGTACATCGGGACATCAAGCCCGAGAATTTGTTGATCAGCCCGAGTAAGTCACGTGGGGCACGTGGGGGTCTGGCACGCTTCCACAAGCGTGACGTGTGGATGACTAGGGAGGGGCTGTCTTGACCGGCGCTAGGAGGGGGAGGGAAAATCCAACACTGAATGAACCATGTTGTTGCAGGACTCCCGGGTGGGGATGGAAACATTCCAGAGGGTGCAGAGGTGGTGCGTGTGGGGGGGTTCCGTCGCGGCTTGGAAATCCTAAGGAACGGCCGGCGAGGCTTCAATCCGGGTGCATGCAATCCGGAGTTTTTCCCGCACAATCCGCTTAAACAGAACAGGTGCAAAGTCCTAGGGTTCTGGTGCAGCTACTGCGCCAGCCCGCAAGCCCCACACCCTCATGTCGTGCTGTTCCATCGAGCGAGTAGTCCGCCTTCCCGCGAGTACAGTCTGTACACGGCAGAACCCTACTATTGCCTACTACTCTCCACATGCCGCCGCCGCCGCCGCCGGGGCCTCCCCTGCATTCCCGTCGTGCTCGCTCTCTCTCTCTCGCCCAGCAGGCACCCCGGGCGGCGTTGGGAAGCTCAAGCTGTGCGATTTTGGCTTTGCCCGCCAGCTGCCCCCTCCGGATGTGTCCATTACCGACTACGTTTCCACTCGGTGGTATCGGGCCCCCGAGCTGCTGCTGGGTTCCACGCACTACGGCAAGGAGGTGGACTTGTGGGCGATAGGGTGAGAACTGAGCAGCAGCCTGGGGAGGGGGAGGGGCGGTAACCCTGTGTGCCTAGGGACCCAACACCCAAATCAGAACCTGGTGTTTCACAGGGAAGCATCCCTCGACCTGTGGTGGGTGGATGTCCGCGTGCGAAGATCGTCGATTGTCGAACAGTCGCTGACCGCGGTATCTATGGCACGCGTGTGCGCGCGCGTGTCTGTGTCTGTGTGTGTCTGTGTGTCTGTGTGTGTGTGTGTGCGTGGGGGGTTGACACCAATGTACGTGTGTGTGTCTGTGTGTGCGTGTGTGTGCGTGTCTGTGTGTGTGTGGATGTGTGTGTGGATGTGTGTGTGGATGTGTGAAGCCCGGGCTGGCCTGGGATCCGGCATGAGCACCGCGGCGGCTCTAGGAGGTGGATGGAGGTTCATCACAAATACAGGCTCTGTCCTTTCGCTCCCGGGCGGGATCCACAGCGTAAAAAATGTCTGACCTGGGAGGGGTCAGAGGGTCTCCGGGGTGTGCCCCCCTGGCAGGTTGCGTGACCGCCACATGCAGCTGCGGTGGACCCCTCTCCAGGCAGCCCTCCCATGCAGATTACGGCTCTGAATGTCCGTTTGTATCTGTATGTCTGTTTGTACCCAACCTTCTCCCGTTCCCCACCCACACTGCGCTTACATCTCCCGAGCTGCCAGTCTCTGCTACTGCTACCACTGCTGCTGCTACTGCTGTTGCTGTTGCTATTGCTGCTGTTGCCCGTCCTCAGATGTATCATGGCGGAGCTGCTTGACGGGCAGCCGCTATTCCCAGGGGAAAGCGACATCGACCAGCTGTACATCCTGCAGCGACTATTGGGTGGGTGGGTGGGTGGAAGGTCGCTGCGTGATCTTGTGCCCTGTTTCGGCGTACGGCTTAACAGCGAGCCACAGCTGTATGTATGTATGGCATTGTGTGCGCGAAATAAGGTAAGTTTTTCCCTTTTTGACCTCCGCTCCCTACCTTCCCTGCCACCCTGCCGCCCCTTCCAGGGCCCTTGACGCGCGAGCAGCACGAGCTGTTCCTCCGAAACCCGCGTTTCAACGGCCTCAAGTTCCCGGACATGCGCAATCCGGAAACGTTGGAACGCAAATATGCGGGAAGGCTGCCCCACGATGCGCTCTCGTTTATAAAGTAAGCTTGTGACGAGGAGTGGCGGCGCGGTGGCTGCTGCTGCGGGGGCTGGAGATCTAGGCTTCTAGGCTGAAGACAATAAGGGGCATGAGCAGAGGCGGCGATCCCCTTCCTCTCCTTCTCCAAAGGAGGAGAACATGTGGGGAAGAGGGGGGGTTGTTACAAGAAAGGGCCAAAATCGGGGTTGGGAAGGGTAGGGGGCGAGATAGTAAGGTTCTGCTCTTCCCTCGCCTGATCTTTTTACCGTCAGGAGCCGTCCGTCCGCGTCGCGAGTCGGGAAGGCAGCATTCAGATTCCCCCACGGCGTTGCGCGGGGCGACGATTTCCCTCTGCTGGTATGCCAAAACTTGAACCCGTTACATCCTTACAAAGGCTTCTCCCCAAATAGTAAATTCCAGGCAGCTAATTCCAAATACCAAAAGCCCAACTAAACCCAAGCTATACCCTGTCCTTGCACCACGCCATCAGGGGGCTTATGGCGGTAGACCCGGCTCAGCGCCTCACGTGCAGCCAAGCCCTGGCGCACCCCTACCTCGCGGCGCTGGAGGAGAAGCAGCTGGGGGCCGCGGCTGCGGCGGCCGCAGCCGGTGCCGGCCGGGTGACGTCGGGCGGCGCGGCGGAGACATCTTCTGGGCGGGGCCCCGGGCGTAAGGCCTCTTTGCAGATGGGGGGCAGCAGCGGGGGCGCTCCCGGAGGGGATCCCATGGATGAGGATATGCCCTCGCCGCCAGCCACCAGGTGCGATGGATAGCGGGTAGGGGGTAGGGGGTAGGGGGAGTTACATGCAGGAAAGTCAAATGGACGACACTTTTCCTTGCAAGCCGCGATCGTGGGGAAGGAGGCGTCACGGGGGTTGTAATCATTGCGCCTTTATGCGTTACCGAATCTGCGCCCGCTTCCGTGTTCCCGTGCTGCCTGTTCCCACACTCCAGCAGGCCCGAGAACATGGACCATGACATGTCCGACAATGAGAGCACCGCCAGCACAATTGCGGTCGCGCGCCGCAAAGCTGCCGCCGCAGCGGCTGCCAAGGGCGGCAGCGGCGGTAATGACGGCCGCGGCAATGCATCCTTCCGCGGCAGCGGCCGCCGCGATATTAACGAAATGCACGCCGCCGCGTCGGCGACGCTGGGTGTCATGGGCGGCGGCGGCCCCGGCGGCGGCGGCGGCGCGGAAATGTACAGCGGGCGGCTGGACAGCGCGGGGTCGCGTGCCGGTACGCCGCAAGGTGGTGGCGGCGCCGGTGGCGGTCCCGGGAGCACCGCCGGCGGCAAGTACGCGGGGCCCGGGACGCACCCACAGCCACGGCAGGGGCACCCACTCGGAGTGGCCGCGGAGCGTTTCAGTGCTTCTTCTCGCAGCACGCAGCAGGGCGGCTTGTCTAAGCAGAGTCCCGGGCGGCATAATAACAGTCCACCTCATTCCCACCTTGACAGCAGCTCGACGTACGGCGGCAGCACGACGGGGCGAACGTCAATCAGCACGAACCAGCCGGTGCTGTACCAGACCAACGCCGCGGCAGGCGCGTCGAAGCTGAGTCGCGCGCCCAGTCGCGGCGATCCTTGGCCCGGCGGCCCCGCCACCGGGCAGCCCAGCCGCGGCAATATACCCCCCTTGGCTCCGGGGGGGGGCCCACGCGTTAGTGGGCACTGGGGTGATGACGATGTCCTATCTGTGAGCAACATGCACCTACGTACGAGCGCCGATGACGTGGCCAGTTCCGGTTACGGGGGTTATGGCAGCGGGGGACGTGCTGCACCGCGGCCGGCGCCTGCGGGCGATTCTAACCCCGAGCGGCCGTACTCCCGCGGCGTGCTCAGCAGTGGCCCAGCCAGTGGCGCCTACGTGGGCAGCCAGATGTGGCCGCAGCTAAGCATGCAGCAGCAGCGTAATCGAGGTAACTACTGATTATTAAATTCCTTTAGGACGTGGCGCCACATGGCATCACATCCATTAGCACCATGGACACACTAGGGGCACCGCCATCACCGTTACCACGATTGCTCAGACGTTGGGGTACGATGCCGGTTGTAGTACTTGCGTTTTTGAACCGCTCATGGACACAGCGACACGGGTCACAAATTAAGAGGTGGTGTGTGTGATGGCGAGAATGTGTAGCGGCGGCGAGGCGGGTGGTGGAAGAAAACTAACGGGTTGATGGTTAGGGTCCGGTGGGTCTCCAGCGGCGGTGGGTGCGGGGCCATGGCGCGTGTCCTCAAAGCCGCCTGCTGAGTCCCCAGCCCGGAGTTCAGGGATGGTGATGGTAGTGTTGCTGGTGGTGGCGTGTTGCGTAAGGGAGGCAGCGGCGGCACAGTTGAACGGGGGGAGAATGGGCTGAGGTCGAGGCTGAGGCCTCAGGCCGTGGCGTGTTGTGGCGTGGCGGAGCTGGTGTTGTGGCCACAGCTGGGGCCCTTCTGAGCTGAGCGGCGATCTAGCGGCAAAGTAAGAGATGCTGCCAACTGTGTAGAATTGTGGAGGCTGGGTGGTGGAGGTGGTGGTGGAGGTGGAGGCTGGAGCTATCCGTGGTGCGGCCTTTGAGCCGTGGGTGGTGCTGAGTCTGAGGAAGATCCTCTCTGTTGAAAACAGCCTTGGTACCGCGACAGGGCACCACCCGCGTTGCGAGCGCTGTGAGGTCTGTGTGGAGGAGGGTCTACCCCCCTCTGGGGAGTGAAGCGGAGAGTTGCGACAGAAGCCCCTTCCCCTCCCAAGCGCAGCCCACACGGGCCATGATGTCGAGAGACGTTGTCAACACAGACCAAAGACCCTCTCGAACCGTGCAGATGTAAATTCCAAAGGGGTGGGTGGGGCTTCTGGGGGATCGCCGACGGGGCCGACCGCCGTCAATGTGCGCTCGTGCTGATGTGTGATGCAGCGCGCGATGAGGCTGTGAGGTGTGCGGAGGTGCGAAGGTTGAGGTTGTTGTCACGCTTTCCGTGGGGCCCCCCCTGCGGGTCTGTCTGCACTTGCTGCACTGAATGCGCCTGGATGGGGACGGGGGGAGAGGGCAGGCGGTGTGTGTGCATGGGCCATCGTGGCATCCTGGCGTGGTGCGACCTCTGCGTGCTTCGTATTGCGGGGACTTCACGGAGCCGACGAACGGCGTGTGGATGGGCGAGCATGGAGCGGCATAAGAAGGCGGCCAACAAAGAGATGTGCGCGCACCGCACGTTGGCTACATACATACATGCGTACAAATGGACAACCACACATGCGTACATACTTACATACATACGCACCGGGTGTTTGCCTGTGGACTGGGCCTTGGGAGGTGGACTGGATTGACTCGATGACTGCAGGCGGGGGTGATGTTGGGTCTAACTTAGGGTTTCAGGTCACAGCTTCCTGTACAGGACAGGGGACATGGGGCGCAATGCTCCTCTGGCGCAGACGATGAGGGGGCCCGCATTGCGCCCTGCACCGCGACATCCAGCCGAGCCGTCCGGCGGCTGGCCTCTTGCTTCAGGGAGGGGTAGAAGGGGAGAGGGTGAAAGGGGGGAAAGCCAAAGATATTTCGTGCGGCCCTTTCTACCAGCGTCAACGCCTAGTCGGCTGTCTTGACTCTTGACTGTGTGTGCGAGCGAGAGAGAAAGAGAGACACAGTGATTCGGGTTACCGGCACGCACCCGGCCTTCCCTCCTTCCCTCCCTCCTCCCTCCGCCAGCGCGAACGTGTGGTGACGTTGCTTGGGTGGCATCGCCGTTGCCATCACCGCCAACACCCACTACGCACACGACCCCTGCAACCCTGATCCACTCCCGTCACTCGACCCAATTCTCCAACTTCTGCGTTTGAAACGAGCAGATGTTCTTCAACCCAATTCCTCGTGGCTCCCTCGCGCCGCGCACAGAGACGGCTGCCCTGTGCTGTAATTTGATTCTTAGGGGTCGATTGTCTGTCTGCAGGATATCAGAAGAATGGTTACACTACGCAAATGTCAAATTGCTCACCAAGCTCACGCGACAATGCCTCTCCTCGTATGCCCACTCTCTACCTCCCGCGTGATATGCCGTGCCATGTTGGAAACATTAAGTGTGCATGTTCCCGCATCTCCTTGCCGCCTTGCGTTCCCCCCGCCCCATACTCCGCGGGTACTGCTCCTCCTCCCCCTACTACGCGGCCACCACCGAATCAGCGGCCCCGAGGATGATGGTTGGACGCTTGGATTGCCGGATGGACTGAGAACGGGCGTGTGTGTATGTATTATGTTTGTATGTACGCGTGTGTGTGCAGTGTGCTTATTTGCTCTCCAAGGGAGACGAATGCGATGCCGTCATTTCGCGCACCATATCGTTTTTGCGTCTGCATCTTGCACCGCCAGGCGGGACGACTTTGGCTTCCCTCCTCCCTCCTCCTCCCCATCCCCTTCCTCGTCCTCCTCCTCCTCCCCTTCTTCTGATTCCAGAAGAAGGAAATCAAAACAGGACAGGACAATGATTTGTTATGTTTGCGGAGTGCTTGGGTTGTGGCAGGTGAGGCTTTCCGGGGCAACTAGAGGGCTTTTCTGCCTCTTGAGTTCCCCTCCAGCTCTCTCCCCCAAAAAAGGGGCCGGCGGCTTGGGGCCGTGTGTAATCCCGTGTCCCTTGTGGGTTTCATCTTCGCATCTGCCTGGAGTGGAGTGGGTGCCGCTCCTTTAGACCTGCGTGCGTATCTGTAGCCGGATAGAAGGAGTGGGTGCTTGTGTGTGTGTGTGTCAGTGTGTGTGGATGAGACCGTGTGGGCAGGGCAGAAGGCAACAGCAGCAGCAACAGCAGCAATAACGAAATAGCAGGCGAGGAAATGGGAGAGGCTAAGGAACCCCGAAAGGGGAAGGATGTGTGGGCGGTGGGATGTGGATGCCCGAGTCCGAGATGGCGCCAGGGGTAGATGCGTCTGTTAGGGCCGTCGACGGTAACTTCTCATTTAGTCGCTCAGTATGTAAATATGTATGTAATTGTGCATGCATGCATGCATGGATGTGATAAATCTATGTATGTATCTAACAAAGCAGCTCTGCTGGACTGTTGCACTCTCCTATCGTGCTGTGTGCGTTTATGTCTGCGTGTACGTGTTTGTGAGATGACCATGAGGTACGGGTGGGCGGGGTTGGGCGCGCGCGGGTGCACGCGGTGCTGTTTCTGAATGCTCTGGCTCGTCCACACATGTAATTGCGCTCGCGCACTTGCGAGTGCGCGTGGAAAAAGCCGCGGAGGGCAGAAGGACGGGGGGGGGAAAGGGTGAGGGTCGTGGATCTTTCGTACGACGCGGTGACGGCACAGGCCATGCACATGCACTGGGCGAGGCCTCGCCTTACCGGCATCTCCGTTTCTTTACCGCATCCTATGCCTTCTTGACATGCTTGAATATGAACACATGCTTGGCGCGCGAGCACCGTAGGGTCCCGAGCAGGTCCGTCCTCCCCCTTACCCCCTTTCCCTAGCGTGAGCTTGAGCGTGGGGAAGAGTATTGATTGGCCAGCGAGAGGGCAAGGCAGCTGACTGGCAAGGTGAAGGACGGAGACAAAGCTGCTCGTGGGTTTTCTGTTTATTTTGCGATCCGTTGTGCGGTCATCCTCTGGGAGGTCGGTGCGGTTGGTGGTATGAGGGCAGGAGGAAGGGTGGGGATATGTACTGATCTGACCGCGTGCGTTCCACCTGACGATGGAGGGGTTGCTCTAGGGTGCAGTTTGCATCAGTCATTGGACCCAACCTATCTCGATTAAGAACGAACTTGTTGCTTTAGTGAAACACTCAAACGGGATACACGGTGCAGCGTGCACGATGCGACTCGCTTTTCTCAGGGAGGGCGACGGGAGGGCGCAGCCGCACCCTCGCGCACCTACGCCTCCCCTCGCGACTTCAACAGGGAGGAACAGCGGTCAGTAGAGAGCTACTAATACTAATACTAATACGCCGGCGAGGTTGATCCTCAATAAGGAAGGCCGTAGTGTGGTGTTGAGGGGTGTTTGAGGGCCCGGGCGGCGCCCGGGAGGGGTCTTTCTTCCAGGTGCAGCTGCGCAACCGGATGTTTGCGGCAGTTTTCCCCTTATAGGTTAGGTGAGGTTCAGCAGTACCGCCGTACAGCCCCGCCAGACCGGTCGCCATGCACTGGCTCTGGTCGCTCGGTTTGTAGTGCCTGCGAAGCGCAGAGGGGGGGGAATGAAGGGTTGGACGGCGGGGAGGTTTCCTAATCCTCCGGAAGAGGACGAGGAAGGCGGAAGGCGGGTTTTTTCCAAATCCCAGCCGGTTGATTCTTTCGCCCCTCCACCGCGCAGTGAAGTCGTGTCTCGTTCCTGGCGTGTTCTGCTGCTGCTGCTGCTGCTGCGACCCGTGCGAGTTCTTGCGAGTTCGTGTGTTTCAGTCCTGGGCCCTGCTGCCGCTGTGGCCGTGGCCTTTTTGGCTTGAAGGAGGGGAACGTACCCAGGTCGGCACATACCCTTTGTGTGTGTGTGTGTGTGTGTGTGCGGCTCCGGCGCTCTGCGGAGCTTCCTGTGATGGCTGCCCCGTTTTTAGGACAGTAAAGATGCCCAAACGGTTGTTAGTTTTTCCCCGTATTAGTACGGCTGGTGTACGAACGTGAACGGTGAGTTGGACGAGGTCGTGGCATTGCGCTCCCGCCGTCCTCTTCCTCGTTGAGCTTGGTTATGTTTCAACTATGTATGTCAGGCCAGTTAGCAAGGAAAAACATAAAGCATAAAGCTCCAAAGTGCCCCAAAGGGATTTAAAGAAGTATGGAAAGCTTAGGAAGGGATTGCACGCGCTGCAGCGTCGTGCCATGATGAGTGAGAGAAATGCCTTTGCCAGGGGCCTACGTATTCCCTGGGTGTTTTCCCTGCGTGTGCTTCTGGATACGCTCCCCTGCCTGACGATTTTGACTTGGTGGTGGCTTCGTATTCCTTTGTTTAATATGTGAACGTACGTATGTGCATGTGCAAGTGTGTGTAAGGATGTGTTGCAGTCTGCATAAAGGGATGGTGGCGGCCGAGCACGTGTCAGATGTTGTTCGGACTTTTGCACGCACCCAGTAAGTTTTTTCATGGCGGAGTGCTGTTCCACGTGGGCCAAGGTTGCAATGCAGCTATACTTCCAGTACCAGTGTACCAGTACCTGTAGCAGGGTACCGAATGCGGGGGTGTCCGTCAACCAGTACTAGTGTACCAGTGTAGCAGTACCAGCAACAATATCAGCACCAGTACCAGCACCAGTGTCACCGCCACCAGCCGACGAGGACCACCCGCACCGACATCTGATGAGGGCCTCACCGCGTGTCGACCGTCGTTAGTTGACCCTTGGGGTGGGGTAGAGAGAGAGAGGGGGGGGGGAAGACTGGACAGGGACAGGCAGCCGCTTCGGCCCTTTCCCCCACAACACCTATGTGATTAAATCGTACTCGTCCATAGCACCTGAGCTTGTCAGGATGCCTGCTATATCGCCTGTGGTGAGCGCTGGTGGTGGTGGCTGGGGCCCCCTACCTAGGTCTTTCAGCTCCCCTCTGATTCCCGGGGCTCGCTCCTGCATTAGGGCGCTGAGATGTACCACACACCCACATACGGGCGCTACAACGTATCAAAGACCGGGGACAGGGCCAGGATTAGGGAGGGCTGGCAACTCGATGGCAGCTATCATAAAACTTACGGTAAGGTAAGGGATTGCTGAACCTGGTAAGAAGGCTGTGGGACCCGAGAAGTTGTATAAAGACGGCAATTATAACCCATAGCGACATGTGAGCCCCAGGAGCAGCAATACTAGGAGTGGCTGCAAGTGTGCGTCGATAGATTTTGGGAGGTGGCTGCCAGCATGAATATCTTTGAAACCTTCATGGGATCCCTCCAACACAAAAGTGTGCGCATCATTGGAAGTGATAAGTTGTGGAGGAGGAAGAGGAATGTGCCCCCCGTTGAAATCCGTCTTTCTTCACACATACATATAAAAAAACAGTTCCTGTGGGCCCGCTCTGCAGCAAACAGTTAATGATGTCGGTTGACAGTTATGGCATAGTTGGTGCCACGTGGGCTGTAGCGAACGAATCCTCGCAAGTCATTTTCAACGACCTGTCTGTCGGCTGGTTGGTCCATCACTTCAAAAGCCTCTCTCCTCACATCAAATGACTTGACGGGCTCTCAAGTACGACAACCATCCGCCAATTTCCGTACACCTCCGCCCATTTCAGCCAACATATAACCGGGGTTGCTGCTCTGGTTAAACACACAGCAATCCAAGCCTACACAGGGTTGTCAAACATCTTCAAAGCAACCAACCAACCAACCAACCGACCAACCCCATCTCTTAAAGCGCCTGCACGATAAACATCGTTTCGGCAGCTTCTCCTGTCACGCAACATACAACATCAACCGAGATTACCTACGAAATGGACCGCACTGCCTTTACCCGCCTCCACTCGCGCACCGCCCAGAGCGGCAGCAGGACCCCCGCCGTCCTCGTCCTAATGGCTCAGATGGCATGTGTGCTGGTGCTGTCGCCCGCCCCTGCAAGGGCTGAGAACGGCCCAATGTCGGGCGCTCTTGGATCCCTCGGGCTGGGAGGCATGGGCGGCGGCGGCATGGGCGGTGGCGAAATGGCAAGCCGCTTGGCAAGCGGCATGGGTGGCGGCGGCATGGGCAGCGGCATGGCAAGCCGCATGGCTAGCGGCTTGGGCAGCGGCGGCATGGGCGGTGGCGAAGTGGCAAGCCGCTTGGCAAGCGGCATGGGTGGCGGCGGCATGGGCAGCGGCATGGCAAGCCGCATGGCTAGCGGCTTGGGCGGCGGCAGCATGGCCGGTGGCGAGATGGCGAGCCGCTTGGCCAACACCATGGGCAGTGGCGCCGCGGCCATGAGGACCACTGCTGCTCGTCTGGCCGGTAGCGGTGGTCTCGGCGGCCGTCGTCTGTTGGCTGCGGGCGGAAACGATGTTTAGATCCTGGCCATGTACGGCAAGTACGGCACCAGGTGGGTGTTTGTCGGCAGCGACTCACGAAAGGGGTCCAGTTTGTCCATCGGTCGTCCTTTCCGCCTTTCCGCGGCCCCGAAGTGGGATAGGATGGGGAACGTGAGGTGGGACATCTCTTCCTAGGTTTTCAGGCCAGGCCCCAATGTCAATGCTCATCTGGTAAGCGTGACGACGCCGCGCTGAGCCAAACCTTGAAGTCCGTGTGTGCAGCACTATTTATATAACACACAACTGGTGCAGTGTGAACCATATTGGCGCGCTGAGCGTGCTGCGATCCGCCCCCTTCGCCGCCCCGATTCGCCCCCTTTCACCTCCCTCGCCACCACCACGAACAACAACACCCGAGGTTGAAAGAAGGGGCTAAAAAGACCCCACAGGCCTGCGCTGACATATCCCACGTGCAACTACAGGTATCGCAATGAGCGCCGCAATGGAAAAACACCATCCTGCTGCGACCTGCCCTGTCCTTTTTTACCCCCTATCACCCCGTCCCCTATGCTGATGGCAGGCTTCCGATGCAGACAAGCCGCGACAGACCAATGCAACACCCGCCAGCGGGTGGTGGGCCGGAGGAGGGCGGTACAATGCTGGGCGGTTGCTGGGCGGTTGCTGGGTGGTTACTGGCAGTAGCGGGTTGAAGCTGTGATGTAAACATGGCTGACGGTACCTGGGCGGCAACGTAATGGATGGCTTTAATAATAATGATGCAAATAATGCAAATAATGTTAAGCCAAGATTGCGCCACTGTTTTTCGTCGCTGTCGACGTTGCCTGCGTTGCCGCTGTCCGCCGCCGCCACCGCCGCCGGTGCAGCTGCTGTCGACGTTGGTGGGTGCGTCATATGTTGCTGCGGGGGACAGGAATGTGGTGGCTGTTAGGCTTCTTAATAATTGGATCTAGTTGCCCCGACATCGAGTCGTACATTTCCAGGCGGCTCCGAGTGTCGAAGCCCCTCATGCGCCTTGAAAGAACCCGAGGGAAGGGATCAGGGCCCGGGAGCTTCTTCAGGACTCAATTTTAAATAAATTGTAACTGTACGGCTGGTTATCCCACCGGCAGGTAGTCACTACCACACGAATAGGACAACACCAAGGCGCCCGCTTGTCCTTAGCTCCTTAATACTTGTGATGACCTTCGAACAGTGCCCTGACAACACGCCGCAGCCGCCGCCGCCATCGGTCCCTCCGCCGCCGCTGTCGCCGTCTGTCGCTCACCACCCCGCCTCCGCCTCCAACACACCCAGCCTGCCCACCACGAAACCGTGTCTGCCAGTCCCCCGGCGGGATGTTGAGGTATAAATAACCATGAGGTAACCAAGTGGCCGCATAAAAAGGAAGCAATGCCGTACACAAGGCGGCTGGCATCGCGCTCTGCGCTTCGTGCATGCATAGAACCCAAAAACGTGAACAGGATCAGGGCACCCCTACACTGACTAGCGCAGCAGCAGACCTCGTGAATGAGGGTTCTACCTTCTTCTTCTTCCACAAGGCTTAGGACCGAAGAGCTGCGTACATCAAAGATTCCCAGGCGCCTGTTGCCATCGTCTCACTGTCCAACAGAACTCCCCTTCACGAGGCAAATCACCAAAACCGCGAGCTGTCCAGGACGCAAGGATGTGCACCATCATAACTCATGTGGGATTCAACCCAAGAACGCCACCACGAGGCAGGTAGGGAGCATGCGCGAACTCTAATCATTTTTCCGTGCCGATAACAATTTACTCCTTCCTCGCCCTGCACCACGTTTTTCCGACTCCTCACGCTTCGCCGCGTACTTGGCCATTCCCTCCCTTGCCCTGCACCAAGCGCTGCGTTTAACCGCCTCTTTTCCATGACCCGGGGGCCCGGGGACCCACCAACTCCAGCCCACCGGGAGCAACCAGCTACCAGATGGCTCAGTTCCAGCCCTATCCTCCGTGTCATCGCCACCTCGCGGCCTCTGCCTCCAGAGCCTTGTGCATGTCCTGAAAAAGCGCACCTCGCCAAGAGAGCTCGAGCGAGGCACGCAAGGGGTAAAGGCAAAGTGAGGGTTAGGCACATGTCGTACGCAGTACATACGCAACCTCACTGTCTCCGTTCGCTCCACAAAAACGCCCCGTTCCAGTCCCCATCCCGCCGAACAAGCATATGCAAAGACTCGTAACACACTAACGATGACGAACAATGATGCAAAATGCCATACAGGAAGCAGACCAGACGCCGTGCGCGCCTGAGCCCTCTCATCAGATGCCATATGAGTGCATGTGCGTAAGGGTATGCAGATGGATTGCATCTCAATGTGGCTGATGACAGGGCAAGGGCGGCAGCGCACTGTACAGTCACACAAGTTGAATAGACAACACATCACGAGACAAAGATGAACTGAGGCTGTGTTGTGCTTGGCTTCGCTGAGCTGTGCTGGGCAGGTTTTGGAGCTGATCTGGTGCTGAGTTGGCGCTGACCTGGTCCTTTGCTGTCTGGCTGCGGCTTCGGCTGGGTTGTTTGGGGTTTTGATGCAGTGATGCAGGGCACAGCACAAGGCGACGGCAATACGGACTTGGGGCGCAGCAGGTCCCTCCCTACAATAGGCAACGGGGAGAGGCAAAGCGCACGCAGGATCATAGGCGAGCAGTAGCATATTCACTGATGTCCCCGTCAATAAAATCCAAATTCCAGCTTCACCTCTTGAAGGACAGTGTAGCGTTTGATTGCAATCCTCCGGGATATTATCCGCGAGGGTCGCTTCGCGCAAACGGTTAATGCACCTTAAAACTATTGCATGGGGTTGGAATGAACCCCAGGGGTCGGGAGATTGAGACATATGCGTGACCGCACTTCGGTCTTACTACCTGCTCGTTCTTCGGCCCCGCGCTGGGTCGACCTTTGCGCCTACGATGGCATCGGGTAGGATAAAGTGGGGAATAACACATTGGAGGGGTTTTAACGTACGCGAGTGAGATGAGGTGCAAGCAGGGATATAGATCGATATAGATGGAACCAGTGGGGTTCTAGCACGTTTGGGCCTTTTGCCGGGGAGTTCAGCGTACTGCATGTTCGTACGGGGGACAAGGTGGACGAACAATTTAAAGCTTTCCTGTAAGAACAGACAATATTATTGTGTACTTGGGTGTAGGTATTTACAATTCCAATGCTTCAGCATCATTGTACCAGTATTACGGACGTCGGCTATCAAGATCAAACTGTGTGCCCTTGTATGCAGGGCCTTTTCACTCCGCCAGTCTTGGTCGCTCTTCAATAGATCTGGTAATTACCATGCATGCAGCAATGGAGGCGGTGGCGACGCAGGCGCGCCAAATCGCAGCAAGTCATGTAGGACCGCTCCTTCACGACCTAGAGCCATACACACAGCAGATATATAAAGGGCATCTCTATTTCCAAGAGCTCTTGTCCACTGAACACAACATAATTCCGCATATGGCCTGGGAGGAACAGCTGTCGAGCGCAACCGGGCTAAGTCTCTCTCAATTTCGTTTCACGCTTGCGCTATTTGCATCGGTGCTCTTGGTTGCTGGAATTCGGCTACTCAGAAATACGACGTGTAAGCAGCGAAGTACTGTTGATGCAACGTTACGCCCTTGAGCTTGATGTGCAGACGACTCCTCAGCTCACTCTACTGTGATATCTTTGTCCTTGTTTACACAGTGCGACACCTTTATGCTCTGGTAACGGGCGTAGCCATTATCTATTACCCGTTTGGCAGTGGCATCATACACGTTCTGCCGATGGCAGTCGCCGCCTATCTCGCATTACACCTTGCGCCGCGACGAGCCGGTGCCGTAGCGTGGTGCACGGTGTTTCCCTACCTCATCTACCTGTAAGTACATTAAATTGGGACACGGATGCTAGTCCGGCCTAACAACTGCTGTACGCACTGCGGGACTGCTGGTGGGGTCTACCAAGGGGCCCGGATGCCCGTGTCGTCATTTTTCGGCCACGATTGCTGGAGCATACGGAGGGAACTAAGCTGCCCCGCACCGCTCTGCCTCCTATTGGGTGCTCCTGACAGACACGTAGTGAATGCAAGCGGGGAGTCCTGGAAGACAGGCAACATGGACTTCACAGGTGGGAACTTGGCCGCTCTCAGCTACATGATGGGCGCCGGGTTCATGCCGTTCCGGTCTTGCTGTGTTTGTCTAAGGGGGCACAATACGCTACAGTACGACCAAAACGCCAAACAAGCGTGGCCCCTGTAGGTGGCGCCATGGTTGCTGTGCTCAAGCTGGTGTCCATCTGCGTCTGCCGACAGGACAGCTTCCGTAAGAACAAGGAGGTACGCTGCCGGGAGCTACCATGGAATCCGCTGGAATCCGACGCTGGCAGCTTATCTTTTGCCACACTGTCTCGGGCTTTCCACTGTTGTTCGGTGCATCCCCCTCAAATTGCTGTTGTACGGTTATGAGGTTAAGGGTGCCTGTGTCGCTTGTCCCTTGGCAAGCACGCCACGCCCTCCTTCGCGTTCCAACCTTCATGGAGGACCCACCCCCGGGGTTAACCCGCAAAGCTGGCGTCCTACTTGCACAAATAATGGTTACACCTTCGTTGTGAGTTTGTGTAAGCCAGAACTGAAAGAAGGAAGAAGTCACGACTCGTTTCGCACCTTCCCTTTTACTAGGACTTGAGCGCCTACCAGGCCGCCCATCAGCTGGTCTCCACTCCAACTCTCCTGGAGTTCCTGTCGTACCTCTTCGGCCTGGGGAATCTGCTGGCGGGGCCGTTCTTTGAATTCAGCGAATACAAGGAGTTTATTGAGCTCAAAGGGGTGAGTCCAAATTTAGCCTTGCGTCCCTGGCGCTCTCTGCCTCGTCACGCGTGTAGGGCATTACGGATCTGAATCCGTCTGCTAACAGTTGGCAGGGCCGCCCACAGGCGCGTAAAGGTTTCCAGCCTCATCCCGGCACATGCGAGCTTGTGCGCAAACCCGCACGGTCAGACGCGATGTATGCATGGGTTCCCGTGGTGCTACCATGGTGTTGGCGGTTTCCGCGCTGTACATTCTAAGAGACAACGGATAGCAGCGATGCTTGTGTCCTGTACGGGTCGTTGTGCGCTTTGCCTGGTGTTGTTTTGTTTTGTACTTGCAAAGAGGCTTGCTCCGGATAACGTTACCCGCACCCGAAGCTCACATACTTGGCGAGCGGGAGTAGTAGGAGCGCACAGCAGCTTGCTAGGCAACCCAGACCAAAACGGCACGGCCAGTTGCATTTTTTGCGTGGGCCTTTGCTAGCCCGTTCCACTGGGACATTGCTGTGCATGCGGAGGGTTGGACCTTCCTATCTAACGGCATTCCTGCTACGTTTTTCACTCCAGAGTTGCATATTTTCCATAGCTCAAACCTTTCGGAAGGGAAATATGGGTTACCGGTGCGGAAATCGAATGTTTGCTTTTGGAATGTTCTGGCTTGCTGCCAATCACACCAAAAGGCCTCATTTGCAGTGCTCCAAATAACGTTACCCGCACCCGCGATTCCGATATGCGGTGGGCGGGAGTAGTAGGAGCGCACAGCACCTGACAGGAACCCAGACCAAAACGGCACGACCAGACGCTTCGTGGGTCGTTGCTAGCCCGTTCCACTGGGACAGACGCGCACAGAGCCAGCCACCTCACCCTGTCCGTCCCTGGTCCTCGATGCAAACTTTGGCGTCGGCGCGTCAAGACCCAAGTCCGCGCATAAGGTCACGCATCTGCAGCGGCGTTAACTGTTGCTTGCTCCAAATTACGTTACTCGCGCCTAGAGATATTAATCCACTCAGGAGCCGGGAGTAGTAGGAGCGCACAGCAGCTTGCTTGGCAATCCAGACCAAAACGGCACGGCCAGTTGCATTTTTTGCGTGGGCCTTTGCTAGCCCGTTTCACTGGGACACAGCTGTGCACTAAGACACTCGCTTTCCGACTGTCGCCAGTGCACACGCCACGCAGTTTACTACTACATGCTCAACACATGAGCTTATGTGTACGTGGGCATTTGTGTCCCAGACTTGTTGCAATCCAGACTGTTGCACCGCTCCACACCATTCAGCTTCAGTCTAAACACGGTCGAAACGGTGCGTGCAACCTATCTGTGTGCTGTGCCCGCTGCCGTCCACTGCGCTGTGTTGTCCTGGGTCGCGCGCAGCCTTGGGCTCCTAACGCCGGCCGATCTGCGCCAAACTATTTGGGTCACGGGTTTTTGGCTCTGCTGGAGGGTCTCTGGCACATGGGCGTGTACCTGGGCCTCACGCTGAGCGGCTGGGACATGGATCACTACCACAGCGCCTGGTACTACGGCCAGCCGCTGATCATCAAGTGTGCCGCCATCTGCGTCATCGGCCTCGTATACCAGCTGCGCTACTACTTCAGCTGGAAGATTACGGAAGCGTCGTACGTGTTTGCGGGCCTGGACTTCATGGGCTATGACCCGGCGACCGGTGAAGCGCAGTGGTGAGTCTGGGCGGGATGAGATGGGCCCGGCTGAGGGGCGGACATTGCGGGTTGGCGCAGGCGTGCAAATATACGTGTGCACATACGTGTATTGGCGGAACGTGGGGGCTTTACTTGTTCCACTGTCAGGTTTATGGTCAGGTTCGCTGTAAGCAGGCAATCGGCCAACCCGAGTCTATGACATCTATGGCTTCATACCCCTGCGGCTTCATACCCCTGTGGCCAGAGCCCCAGCCTGAACCTAGTCTGGAACAACCGCCTTGGTGTGCTGATTGGCTCGCAGGGGGAGATGTCGCAACTGCAGCTTCTTGGGCGTGTGGCTGGCGGACAGCGCCCGCAACGTGCCCCTCAATTGGAACATTTGCACAGGGAACTTCCTGCGACGGTGCGCAGGGCCAAATATAATTTCTGTGGAGTTTCTCATTAGGACATGTTGGCTTGCTATGGACAACAGCTGCTTGCCTGAACGATGGTTAGAAGTCAACTATCCAGGGAGCAACAACGTTGCCGTGGGTGGAAACGCGTCTCCTTGTCTATCCTGGGTTCACTTCTATCCGGCTATTTCTGAATCTGGGTTCACCTTTGCGCGGAGACCCAGACCTGAAGACACCGTTGGCGAGCAACGACGGGGGACCATGCAAGTATTGTGCTTTCCTGGCCATCCTATCACACTCAGGCAAAGTGTCTCTGTCACCACAGGTACGTGTACGAGCGGGTGGCTCCCCGCAACAGGAAGCCCGGCTTCCAGTCGCTCCTCTTCACACAGCTCGTCAGCGCCATATGGCACGGGCTTTACCCGGGCTACCTCATGTTCTTCGTGGGTACGGCAGTCTGGATTTTCTTCTCGCAGGTACGTCTCGGCGACCGGCGCGGATTTTAAGCACATGACTGCATGAGGGCTTGTGGGTTTGGGGCGCAATTGCGTGAGAGTGTTGTGCACAGTAGGGCGGGGGCCCCACGCGTTTGTGCAGGTATCGTCGTTGCTCATTGCCGTGTTTTATCCTTCTTCGACTCTTGTTGTCACTCTGGGTTAACGGGTCATCCTGGTAATGCTATAATAAGAACTGGGAAACAGTCATGTCCGCGGCACTGATTTCTCGCAGATTGTCTACAAGACGGAGGCCTATTTGCCGGCCGTTGTTCGCAAACATCTTCTATACCGAGCAATCAAGATTATCTGGACCGTATTCGTGCTCAACTACATGGCTTGTGCCTTCCAGGTGACATTCTGTTCTGGGGTGTGGGATTGCTATCTTTCCCTCCCGTTGCGGCCGCTATTACATAGGTGGATCATCTGGTTCCGAGACCCTCGTGACCTCGACAGCGATCTTGTCGGTAATGCCCGTTTTAATTGAACTTAGAAGTAACCAATCGTCTCGACATTACCGAGGGGCTCCTGCTGATTCAGTCCGCCTTTTCTGTGGCTCCAGCCTCAACCCATACCCATCACGTGTGCCGTCACACCCTGCATATTGCCCTACCCCATCCCGATCAGCTCCTGGACTACAAGTCAAGTATGGAAGCGTACGCATCTGTGAACTACTTTCCCTTCATCGTCATGGTGGTGGTCAACGTGCTGGGCTCCTTTGTCAAGCAGAAGCGCCCAGCCAAGCCGCCCACGGGACCTGGAGGCGCAACGCCCATGGCGGTGAACGGCAAGAACGGAGGCAACAAGACGGAGTGAGCAGGATCGCAAGGCACGGTGGCGCGCTAAGGGGGAGCGTTGTCAATAGGAAGGCACCGAGTGTGTTGCCACTCTGGCCACGCATTGCCCCGAAGAGGCGAAATGTAGCAGCTGACCATCTGCGTGTGTATGTATGTCTCCTCATGCGCAAGGAGACGAGAACGTGAGGAGTGAACCTAGTGGAGTCGGTTGCATGATGGCCGATGAGGTACAAGAGCAACCTCGGATATGTGATCCTAGTACGGGTTCCATGTTCCTGAGCAGCAGGGGCATTACTTGGGAGCGAGTGTGCTCATGGCAGCTTGATGGGCGATTGCTTGGACAAGAATGCTTCCAAAATGTGTGTTGTCTGGTGCGAGCAAAAGTTTTGCAAGTTACGTTGGTAGTTGACCGTTGGATGGACAGCTAGCAGTATCACAGGTAGCGCTTGAGGGGCCGCGTTGCATAGATAGTGTGGCAGAGAGCATTGGACTTTCCCTGAAGAAATGAAAAGTATTGACACAGAAGAAATGCTTCATGTTTCCACAGGATGTTTCATTTCAACGAAATACATCCCAGGTGCTGTCAGCTGTGCAGGCGGGGCCTTTCATCTAAATCTAAGTGTGGAGATTTCATTGCCTCTAGTGTGTGCTATTTCGTGCGGAAGTATAGACGTTTACATGCTCTGTCCTGTCCTGGTCGTGCATGAAAGCCAGTGATGGAAGGTGGAGGAGCTGCTGTGCTGGCATTTTTAAGGTGTTTTAGGGTTCGCGCGTCGGGAAGCACGAGACGCGAACCCAGCACAACCGGGAGCAGGGGCGTTAGTAGTGGCCAGGCAGTAGGGACACGTTATCCCGTGCAGGGGTTTAAAACGTGTTAAGCTTGTGAATGAGGCTGAATCGACGCAGACGGATCGCTGCGAGTTCCGTCGCAATTCGACACTCGGTTAACTCGCTACTCCCATCAGGCATCGGAACACGCTTCGGGATTTTCGTGTCGTCCTCAAACCCAGTGCTAGAGGGATACCGTTTCCTGAACCAGGATCAGCAAGCAGGTCACATGTCTGCTGATTGATGCTCAGGGTTGGCCCATTGCTCGCAAGCTTGACCATTACTGACTTGTCCATGATCCCATTCATTACAGGAATCATCCTTGAAATATCCTCAATTCATTACCGTGATTTACTCCCAGGTGAAAATTTATTTGCAGTTTGGACTAACGCTGGATTCATGCACCAGTCCAAAACAGAGGTCGGCAAATCCGGTGGGTCCTGCGGGTCCGTACCCAGTGTACGGGCCGAAACCTTACTGCCAATGCCGAAATAGTTTCCGTTTTTTGGACCCTTCTGCGAAACCTGCCGGAACCTGCCGAAACCCTGAAAATGCTGTATTTTATGACGTCCATGGTATGCAAACGTTGTTCGTGGGCCCTATGTGCCTTTGCGCCTCATGGGACCTGCTCATGTGTGTCCGAAGGCACTCCGGGGCACCATAATGTTACTAATCTGCGATTAAAGCTTGAATTCACTGACATTTTTCTTATGTAACTGGCGTCTGATGTTGGGATGCGCAAAGGGAAACTTTTACATGAAGCTGCTGGTGGTTGGGGGCCGCTGAACCAGGTTGAAGATCTGCCCTCCATACCACTGCTCACAGCCATCTTGGGTGGACGGGTCCCGCGCACTTTTGCGCGATATGGACGCGCATCTCCTGAAGGCGCCCTTGCTTGGACTCGGTCCGGCAGTACTTGCAGATGATAGTCCAGTTCTTACACTTTGCATTATATTTTTTCTTCTCAAAGTGAGCCCAAACGGTCTGATCAGCGGTCCTTCCGCCCTTGTTTTTGACCGAATCTGTGTCTGCACTGACAACGGAAGTTGTCTGAGACATTGATAAGATAAACTCAACATTCGCAGAGTTTCGCAGCCTTGCACAACGCGCCTACACTTTGAAACTATTCAAAGTAGGTTCCGCCGTACGGCGCTAGCCGAAAGGGGCCGAAACTAGTTTCGGCATTTCCGCAGAACCAGGACCTCTTCGCCGGAATCACCGAAACTAGTTTCGGCAGGTTTCCGTTTCGGCAGGTTTCCGTTTCGGCCCGAACACTGTCCGTACCACAGTACCCGCAGCCGAAATTCGGCTTAAGGCCCCGGCTGCGGGACCCAAATGACCAAAATTCGACCAAAAGACGTGATTTGCAGCCTCTATTGCGGCCCGTAGGGCCGCGCGCTGGACTCGAACTCTGTGTTTGACTTTGTAAAAGAATGTCACGACCACCTCTACACAATTCGGTGACGGTTATCACTGATAAATTATTACATTTCTAGCGTCTGTACCCATGACTTGCAGCTGCCGCAGCGCTTGACTTGGTCAATTGTGGACTTTGGCATACCAGATATTGGTCCTATGTGGCCTATCCTATACATAATCTTCATCATATTGCTTGTATTTTCAGCATACTTTTAACTGCTGACCGCGGCATGTCGGCGGCATCTCGCCGGGGAACGAAGGAAACGCGTGCAGAAATCTCCAGCGGTCGACAACGCACGTTTTCCGGCATGCTGACCGGTCGTAAAGCCACTGCTGAGCTCCCAGCAACATATATTGAGGCGGAAGAGCCGTTACTTGGGCCATCGGGCAGCGCCGGTGAAGCTCCAGGTCTACTTTTCCCAGCACCACCACCTCCCACCTCCGGAAACGCCAGCACCGTGGCCCTTCCTCCACAGAAGAAAAGGCGCACTCCAGCCAACACCGCCGCCACCGGTCCCACTCAGAAACCAGCACCCCTCCTGCCCGCCACCCCCAACACCACCGCTCCCAAACAGCAGCCGGCAACACGCCTGCCCCCCGCCAACCCCCAATGCCATCGCCATGCCGCAACGGAAGCGCACCAAGTCCACCAATAAGATCGATGCCGTTGGTATCCCCCCGGGGTTTGAGCGGCCCAATGAGGACATTGTTTGGCTGACTGACGCTTGTGGTGGTGATTTCAAGAGCTGGGCCTATGTACTTCAGGGCTCGACGACGGTCATCTGCTTTTTTTGCGACACACATAAGGAGAGTAACGCCACCATTTCCCGCACGAACTGGGATCGCTCAACTCGCTTCAACCGCATGCGGTCGGCTTTGTGAGGATGAATAGCTCGGGGGCGACACTAACTTCATGGCACAAGAACTTGCTTGGCAACGAACCCTTGTCCCCCCCCTGTAAAACGATCGGCCTGCAATGTGTACGGAACGTGGAGCTCTGAAATGCTGTCTCTTTTGGCGCCGGAAGGCGCCAAATTTTTTTTTAGGTTTATTGACCGAAATTATGCCCTCCCGCAGCCGTAGAAACCGATTTGCCGACCTCTGGTCCAAAACCCATGTACCATCACAGCGAGGTCCTTATGCGTATACAAAATGCCGAATAATATAACAGTTTTAGCAGTATTGAGAGTAATATACATGAAAGCTGGGGCTTCGCGCGCGGACTTCTGCACGCACAGTTAGTCATGACCGTTATAGCAGTTAATTCTGATGAACATACTGTAACATGGTTTTAAAGTCGGTGATCAATGCTGAAAGTGTTTAGAATTTGCTGTCCTAGGTTGTGGCTCTGGCTTAGATGTGACGTATTGTTACCATCGAACGACTTGAAGTGCCGGCCCCTAGGAAAGAAGTTAGTTTCCTCAATTTCCTCAATTGCGCTACATTGAATTCCTCTTGTTGCCACATAGCCAATATGCCTGGGATCTGAATATTTACTTAAAACCAAAGTTGCATGCAGGCGTGTGATGTCTGCATCATTGGTGCTGGCCTCTCGGGTCTCGCCTGCGCAAAAAAGCTGCACGAAATCCACCGGGAATCCACCATACTGATCCTGGAGGCACGGGACAGGGTAGGCGGCCGAACGCTGTCTGTGCCATTTCACGGCGATGCGGTAGATTTGGGCGGCCAATGGGTGGGCCCTGCGCAGCATCGCGCGCTGACGCTTCTTCACGAACTCGGACTCAAAACTGTCAGACAAACATGGTTTGGAGAATCCCAATCATCATCTGGGCCCAACCTTACAGACCTCGTCGGGTTGGGATACCGGTCCGTGTCGTCCAGCACGACCATGCTCAACTCCGGCAGCTCGCTGCCGCTTACCGACCAAGAGGCTCGTGAACTTGCCGACATCTCCGCCCAGCTGGATGCCTGGGCTGCTGGCGTCAGAGACCCTGGCTCCTGGTCTCGAGCTGATGCGGTTGCCTGGGACCGACTGAGCGTCCAGGACTTCTTCGACGCCCACGTGGCGCTACCTGGAGTACGACGGGAGCTGGATCTGCTCGTACGCACCGTCACCGCCTCCGAACCCGCACACCTCTCCTTCCTGTATTTTCTTGCCTTCCTGGGCATGTGTGGCGGCCTGACGGCAGTGGGTGACGGCGACGGCGGCGCACAGAGCTTCAAGGTAGCGGGCGGCGCGCAGCAGCTGGCGTGTCGACTCGCCTGCGACCTGCAGGCGCGTGGTGGCGTGGAGGTGCGTCTCAACACCGCCGTCACGCACATCGCTTGGCAGTCTGACCGCGACACCAGTGGCGGCAGCTTTGGGCGGGGCTCCATCATCACGATTAACGCACCCAGGTCGTCACCGCCGCCACCAAGTCCGCTACTACTCGATGCCACAGCAGCAGGTGTGGCTTATCGTACGGGAGTTAGTGCATGTACGACACGAATTCAGGCTTCAAAAGTCGTGCTGGCTATCTCGCCGCCGCTGTGGGGGACCATCGAATGGAGTCCGCCGCTGCCTCTAGACAAGGCTGCCGTCGCCAGCCGGATGTACATGGGCAGCGCCGTCAAGACGATTGCTGTATACAAGACGCGCTTCTGGGATTCTGGCCGCGGCGGTGTCGCCGCCGCGCCAGCGGCAGCAGTACGGCAGCTCTATTTGGAAGATCTAGGGCCTGTAGCGAATCTGTTCCCCAGCACTGTCGCCGGCGCCCCGGCACTGATTGGGCTGATCACGGCCGCCAGCGCCGCCACATTCGCAAGCCTGCGCGAGCATGAGCGCCGAGCCCAAGTGCTGCGCCAGTACGAGCATTACTTTGGCACCGCCGCCGCCAGGACTGAATGTACGGATTTCATTAGTAAGGACTGGATACGGGAGCCGTATAGCCGCGGCTGTTTCGCAGCGCTGATGCCTCCCGGGCTTGCGACGTGCAGTGGTGGTGCGGCGGCTCGGAGGCCACTAGGCGTGGGTGATGGGAATCACGTTTGCGGCGGCAGGCGGAAGGGAAGTAGGAACGTGTTTTTCGCCGGGACAGAGCTTGCAAGTGAGTGGGCCGGATATATTGAGGGTGCCATTGAGGCCGGGTACCGGGCAGCGGAGGAAGTGGCGACGGCGTTGGGGGGGGGCGGGACGTCGCCCGAGTTGCTTACTGGGTTGGTGCAAGCGCTGTGCCCTAGGCCCAGCTCCATGCTCTAGCGTAAACAAGTGGCAGCTGACTTAAACTGCTTTATTTACGTGACGGGGTCGCCTCTCTCTCTCTGGGTTATGGACGTAGACAAAGCCCTTCATTGGAAGGGCCCTGTCCTGGCAGAGCGTGTGTGAGTGTGTGAGTGCGTATCGTCCACACGTGTGTATCTTACCCTCAGGATGGCTAAATCACCCGGAAGATCACCAGACACCATTCTGGGGTACGACCACCACCAGGCGGGTTGGGTATAACCTATCCCGTTAACCTTGACATTGAAGTTGGGTGGTTGAGTGGGGGGGTGCTGCTACTGCTGTGGCTGCTGCTGCTGCTGCTGCTATTGCTATGGCTGCTGCTACTGCTATCGCTATGGCTGCTGCAACTGCTATGGCTGCTGCCGCTGCTGCTGTTGGCACGGTGAGATCGACCAACGGCTCGTCTACTGCCGCTGCCGGGGAAGGGTAATGACAAGCGAAAATCAGCAGGCAGAGAGCCGCGGCTGCAGCGGCGAGTGGCCACGGTAAGCTTCACGTACAGCGAACAACAGATGGTGGGGCGTACGCAATCAGTGCATCCTTCCTCATGTGCATGGTTCCTAGGGTCATCAAGGCCATGCTGGCTGTCCTACACGGTGTTCCTTTCACGGTCGACGGCATGGGGACTCCCTCCCCCCTCCCCTGGACACCACACGCATACATACGGTTGCTTGCCAGCCGCAGATCGAGAGCGCTCTCTCGAACAGTTGTACGTTTCATCATACTGGTACTTCTACGTAATGGATGTTGCGTTGCGTCGCAGTCAGTGCGCGGAAGATGAGCACGGCCGGTCCGTGCGGGTCGTGTGGTGATAACGGTAGACGTATGTATGACGACGGTTTGGCTGACATGGAACCATCGACAAATCGGCAGCGAAAGCTACGGTGCGGGTCTTGTGAGAGACCAACTCGGTGTCTCCTCATCGCTTCCTTTGTTGTTGTTTTCAGGACATTTCACCAGGACACCACCATCATCTATCTAACCGGCTGCTGGCTGACCGCCATTCTACTGTGCAGCCCCACGGGTGCGTGTGCGCTGTAAAGCATGGGAAGTTAAATCACCCGCCGGCGCCTCGTGGCACGGACCGTGCGTGCGTATTCTTTCGTACTGGCTTCCTCTCGCATTCTTTGGCTATGAGAACATGGAAATGTAACCGGCTTGCATGCCGCAACATTTTCTTTTCAGCTGCCGTATATGCGCTAGTAGGGTGATTCCAGTAGTTGTGAGTGCGAGCACACAACTGCTGTCATGTTTACCATCATCGCTTACTGCTGAGTGGTGTCGCTGGTGTGGTTGGATTCTTATGGCAGCTTAGCCGCGCTCTGCCTGCTGTTGTGACTTTGACGAAACCTGTCACTGCTTCATCAGGCTTCACTATTCACTCGCCTACATCGCTGTGCGAGTCGCACAGTGCGGCACAACGTGCGTGCCACTCAGTTGGCGGCTTTCCCAGGCCGCGAGCCAGGTCTCCCAGCGCGAGAGGCAGCATTGTACTCTGCTGGGGTATGATGCGGCCGTTGGTTGCGTGGCGGCGGCCGCTTCCGTACACAATCTACGTTAACATGGATAACATGTGAGACGCACTCATACCCGTCTATGGATTGCTAGCGAGTAAACCTCACCCATGAAGAAAGAAGGAACACCAAACCATGGGAGTAATTAACGAAGACGCCCGGAAATGCAACGACCACCGCGTGCATGACCTGAAGTACTGTTCAAATTTGCCGTGATAAGCCCTTACAAGGTCGCAAGGATTGATGCAACAGTATTATCCTGTAATAAACCTGCAGCTTGCGTGACCGACGCAAGGATTGAAAACCACCACCACCCCTTCCACGCAAGGAGACGCGAAGGGCCTAAATGCATTGCCAGAGCGAGGCAGCCCCTGTGGCACTATAATAGAAGGGGCGCCGGCTGCAGGGCAGGGTAGAGGCCCACAACATACACACACACACACACAAAATGCAGAAACACGCATGGCTGTTGAAACATGGACCACGACAACACGGACAGCGCACACAACAAATCCATCAGCCCAGTTTGCAACTCTTCCACCTATATATGTATGTGTTGCTTACGCGGAAGATTTCATCCGTTAGGGCAGTATGTACGTATGTATGTACGTACGCGCCTTCCTGGCGTCTACAACAACAACACTTCATTCTCTGTCAACGTTATGTGCAGAGTCAAGCCAAGGCAAAGCACAACAACTTATTTCAGTAAAGCAACACGCAGCTTTTGCCCTTGCCGCCACCGACATGTCTCGCCACCTCGAGGCTTAAGGGCCTATCTAAGGAGCAAAAGCTGCTGCAAGCATGCCGCGGTACTTTCACCCACCCACACCTTCAAAACCTTCGCCAGCAAAACACAGCGGCAGTGCTACACGCGCACACGAGGAGCGAAGTGTTTCCTACGATCCATCAGTTATCGGTTTGTGTCAGCCGTATCCTGGACACCCAGTGACCACTTCCAGGTCCCACTCTTCCCCCTGGAATTATGCATGCTTTTGCACACACAAGGATAAAAGACGTACAAGGTCTAAGAGGCAAAAGTGTACGTGTGGGCAGTGACTGCTTGCCTGCCTGCCTGCCTGCCTGAAGCGCCCCCCATAACCAGCACACCTCAAACAGCACATGCCCACCGCAGCGGTTCTCACACGGTGCACACGACAACGCGTTTCACGTTACACAGACACACAACCGAAAGAGCAAACGAACGGAGGGTACACTCGGCACGCGCAGAAGACAAACGTGACACGCAACAAGCTCTTTACACACCATCAGGCTGCACGGATTGTCAGAACGTGAGATGAGAGGCAAGAAGCGAAAAGACCTCTCGGCACACGGTGTGCATCATAAACGACGTAGAGGGTCCCGGCGGCGGGACCGCTGCGGCCGTTGTTGCCGCAGTTGCTGTTGCAAGGCGAATGCGCCAAAGACGAAGATACGGTCTAGAAAACAACTACCCGCTGACGGAGGCCTCTACGGGCTCCCGGGCACTTAGCAGGAGGAGCCCCCGTGCGGCGGCTTTCTGCAAACAAGCCGCGTGCGTGCTAATGTACTGCAGAGAAAACCATAGTAAGGCAATGGCTATCCAGCAGATGTCCCGCCCCTAAAGCCAGCCGGCGCACCAACCTCAGTCACACACTGGTTAGTTCGCTCCAGTTGTTAAAAGGCGCCCTTTGTCCATGCTGCTGCTGCTACTGCTGCTGCAGCTGCCACTGCTACTCCGCAGTCCCAAAAGACGCCTTGCTTCCGTGTCCAGCGATGTATATCCTGGTGGGTCCAGGACGGTCCCAACTCCAACGACACACTTCTTGGGGGATAAGCCAGCACAGTTTGCTTGCGCGCTCCTAGTGCGGTCGCCCGTCGGCCTAACGGAGGCCGTCCAAAGCCCCTGTTACGATTCCCCCGGTGTCAACAACAGTGGCCCCACAGTGGCCCAAATCGTGCGCGCGCGTGCGCCAATCCTCAAGAAGCCCCTGCCACACTTGCATCCATGGCCGCTGTGCCCTGGCCCGTCTGCCCTTGCAGCTGTTGCTGCTGTGCCTGCACTTGCTGTTGCTGTTGTTGCTGCTGCTGGAGCTGCTGCTGGTACAGCGCCGCATGCTGTGCGTAAAGCGCTTCCATGCCAGCTTGCCCCTGCGCCGCCACGGCTGCCACAGCCTGCTGCGCCTGCACCTGTGCCTGCGCCTGTTGCTGCTGCCATTGGTAAGCGGCAACTAAAGCAGCTGGATCACTTCCAGCGGCGTAAGCTGCCGCAGGGTAACCCGCCGCTGCTGCCGCCTGCCCGCCGTATGCAGCCATAGCTGCCATGTGCGCCGCCACCTGCCCACCGTACCCCGCGGTACCATAGCCTTGGCCAGCAGCGGCCGCCGCCGCCGCCGCAACGGCCGCATACGTCGCTTGGTCGTACCCGTACGGCGCGCGCGGCTGTGTCGTCGCCATGCCCGGCGCCGCCGCCATGGCGGCAGCGGCCTGTATGTTGGCGGTATACGGCAAGGTCATGGCGGCCAGCTGGGCTGCATACTGCTGCTGATATTGTAGCTGTTGGAGCTGCTGTGACTGCACCGCTGCCGCCGCCGCTGCATCGGCTGACTGGGCGGGTTTGACCGCCGGTGCCGCTGCGGCCGTCCCCGCCTGCACTACACCCTGCTGCTGCTGCTGCGACGGCAGGGAAGGCGACACCTGCTGCTGCTGCTGCTGCTGCTGCTGCAGCACAGCGCTCGCCTGATGACCCTGTGCAGCCTGCAGGTACTGCTGCTCATACTGCTGGTATTGCAGCAGCTGTTGATGCTGTGGATCGACCTGCGTGGATACGGCTACACTGGGGTTCGACGAAGCCCTAGACTCGCGTTGCTGCGTGAGCAACGGTGCCTCCTGACCTTCTGCCTCCGTCGCCCCTAACCCCGACTCGTGCTGCTGCGGCGGCGGCGGCAGCGGCTGCGTGTACACCGTTTGGTGAGCCGCCGCCACAGTCGCCATAGCCGCCGCTGCAGACAGTTGCAACGCCTCTCGCGTAGGAGACTGCGCAGCCACAGCGAGCTCTTTAGACCCCGCCATGGCAGCTGACACGCCCTGCAGAGACGAGTCCTGAAGATCCCCTCTGAAAGCTGAGTTAGCACCACCGTCGGCGGCTACGTAACCCGCAGCGGGGACCGCATCAATCGCTGGGTGCTGTTGCGGCGGCGATGAGGCGTGGCTGAGCAGCTGGCTGGCCCCGTTAACCACCACCTGCTGCTGCTGTTGCTGCTGCTCCTGTGCTGCCGCCTCCGTGGTTGCGTCCTGATGCTCCGTGATGGCTTGGGTGGCTGTGCCGTCCTGCACTTGGTGGTGGTGGTGCGACAACACCGCGGCTGCGGATGCTGTGTGGTCGTAAGCCGCCTGCATAACGGCCACCGCCGCTGCAACGCCATCCATGGCGGCGTCGGCAGCCATCGGTGCCTCTGTTGCTGCTGTTGCTGCCGCTACCGGAGGTCCCGTAGGTACCGTCGACTCGATTGCAGGGTGAGCCAGGAGCACTGGGCTGCTGGACGGCCGAGGGTCATGGTACTGGGCCGCTAGCCCCGCGCTCGCTACCTGGGCCGCCGCCGCTGCTGGCGATGGGTCTTGCAGCTCAGTCGAGATGACCAACTGCCGCTCTGGAGAGACCGCAGCGACGGTCACCGACGGTTCTGGAGCAAAAAGCTGTGACAGGGTCTGCGTAGCTTTGGCCGTCCATTGCCGCGGGTGGTACGTACGGCATAGCTGCCTGAGCTGCCGGTATAGCAGCCGGTATAGCGTCGCTCAGGTACTTTTGAACCGGCTCCTTCTGCAGCGGCGGATGCCGCCGTAGCCCGGCCGTGTTGAGTTGCGCGACCACTCCCGCATGGACCATTGCATCGGGGACAGTTGCGGTGTGTACAGACGATGCAGTTGCTGTCGCTGCCGGTGCCAGGGCTTGGCTCGACGTTTCTTGTGCGGACCCAACCGAACCCTGGCCTGCGTAACCAGCCAAGGACTGCGCGCGGCTGCTAGACGTGTGATGCTGCAGCGGGTGCGAGACTCTGTGAGCAAAGCTGGGTTCGGCGTCCGTGTCTGTGGCACCCTGCCTGTAGCCCGCTGCCTCCGTCACCGCCTCCACTGCACCGCCGTATAGCGCGGTGCTGTGCAGATGTTGCACGGCAGCAGTGTGCGCCTGTGGCACTGCGCATGCAGGACTGCTCGCCCGGGACACGTGTCCTGAACCCAAACCTGAATGAACGGACTGCACATGCACATGCATCTGTTGTTGCTGCTGCTGCTGCTGCTGCACTGCCATCTCATGTGTCGCAGCTGCAGCGGCAGCCGCCGAAGCAGCAGAAGCCGTGTGGGCCTGCGTCCCCGCGGACAAAGCTGCGTGGTACTGTTGCGTGGAGGAGGCATCTAACAGTTGCTGCGTCTGCGCGACCGTCGCTGTCACCGGCGATATGCTGCGCACATCGCCTCCAGCTGCACCCCCAGATGAAGCCCCCCCACGCGGCCGTAGTGCTCCAAGTTCCACCGCCGGTGGCGAGGCGCTGCCAGCACGCGGTACAGGCACAGAACGCTGTTGCCATGCTCCAGTGGCAATCGCCAGGGGAACCTCCGTCGGCCCTGCTGCGGTGCCGTCGTCAGCAGCCGGCTGTGCCGCAGGGGAAGATACGGAAGCAGGAGTCGGCGCCCCTGTTGTGGTGGTGGTGGCCGCGATGACTGCGGCCGCGGGCGCAGCACGAGGCACGTTGGGCATGCCCGGGGGCGGAGGGCCCAGTGCGCGTTGCATTGCGTGGTGCTGCTGTGCTAGCAGCTGCTGGTACGATGACGATGCCGAAATGATCCCGGACTGCTGGTGCATCCCGTATTGCATCGCTGCTGGGGCCACTGTGCCGGTGGCGTGGTGGTTATGCTCCTGAGCAGCTGCACTCGCGTGGGGATGCGGTTGCTGCGGTTGCTGTGCAGCGGCGGCGGACGGTGGCGGCGCAGGCTGCGGTTGCTGGGCAGCCAGCGCTTGCTTCAGCGGCGCCCCGGCCGAGGACGTCGACGGAGAGATGGACAGCGCAGCAGGGCCGCCATGGGACGCAACAGCTCCTGGCAGAGGAGGCCGGCATGAGCTGCCGCCGCTGAGGGAGCGGCGGGCGACCGGCTGCTGCTGGAGCAAAGTCGCACCGGCTGGCAGACCCACAACAGCCGCCTGGAGGCCCGCGGCCGTGATGGCTGCCGCCGTTGCCGCTGCCCCCGGGGACGGCGCCTTGCTGCTGGACCCTGGCGTGACCGCCGTGGTTAGCTGGGGTCCATTGGCTGTTGGAGTTGAGGCAGCGGCGGCGGGGGTCGCGGCTCTGCCGCCGCTGCTGCTGCTGGATCCACGGTACATGCCGCCGCCAGAGGCAGCTGCCGCCGCGGTGGCGGCGGCTACAGCTGCAGCTACCGCCGCCATGGTGTTGCTTTGGCCTCCGGCCGCTGCTAGCTGCTCGAGGTAGCCCTGGATGGGTCTGCCGCCGGTTAATGCTGACAGTTGGTTTCGGATCTGTTCAGGGATCTGGTCCACAGAGATGCGGTTGGCAGCGAGTGCCGCTAACAGGTGCTCGGACTGAGGCGAGGCAGCTGCCGCTGCCGCCAGCGCCGCCGCTGTACGCGGGTCCAGCAGCGCCTGCGCCAGCTGCTGTTGCTGAGTTTGATGCGGCTGTTGCTGAGCGTGTGGGGAATGAGGGGGAGCCACCACTGCAGCTGCCGGCACTGCAGCCAGGTGCGGCTGTGATGGCGCCGCAGCCGCCACAGCTGCGGAAGGCGGCGGAGCTGCCTGCGTGGCCAGCACTTGTTGTTGCTGCTGCTGCTGCTGCTGCGCTGTCGGCGGCACGTGGGCCTGCAACTGCTGCTGCTGTGCTGGGACTGCAGAGGCAGGCACCGCCGACGCGTTCTGCTGCTGCTGCTGTTGCTGAACCACGTTGGCAGTGGGGCTCGCCGCCGTTGCTGCCGGCGCCACGGTGTTAGTATCGGCCATGGCAGTATCCGTGCCGCCAGGCGGTGTCGCAGTTGCCGGTGCTGCTGGGTACGTCGCCGCTGGGTTTGCTGCCGTTGCCGCCGCAGCAGCTGCTGCTGCCGCTGCGGCGGCAGCCGCACCCGTGGTGCCGGCGCCAGACGACATATCCAGCGCACCCAGTGGGCCAAGGCCCATAAGGCTGGCCATAGCCGCCGCGCTGCTGCCACCAGCTGCCATGCCTTGCATGGCAGCAGCGATAGCCGCTAGCGCAGTCGCCGTGTCCAGGTGACCCATCAACGCCGAGGCCTTGTCCGCCGCAGGCGCAGCAGACGTCGCATTTTGTTGCTGCTGTGTTGCCTGCTGTGCCTGCTGTGCGGTGCGCTGCAGCTGCTGCGCCATCTCTGTCAACCGCTGTAGCGGAAGCTGGGATTGCAAATACTCCACGTAAAGGTTCATGCGCTGCGTCAGCGTCGCCTTTTGGTGCTGATAGTCGCGGTTGGCGGCATCGATCGCGCCCTGCGCCTTGCTGCGCACCTTCTCCATAAAGTCCTGGTACTCTTTCTGGATCTGCTGTACCTGCGGGGCGGTCAAACGCAAGCAAAGCTGTCAGGCAGCTGGTAGTAAAGCTGCAAGCTTAATGAAAGTCGATCGGTTGGCTGAGCTGCTACAAGGGCCGCACGCCAGGCCCCAAAACCATTAAATTCGATTGGTCTGTTCTTACCCTAAAGGGAATCCCTTTATGCCACATCCCTCTCGTCCTCCCCCCGGATACACAGGGGGGGTTGAAAGCCCCTACAAGTGGCAGGGGGTCCCGCCAATTGTAGGATAAGAATCTTTACCGCATCTGACATGCAATGCGGCAGGGTCCCCTTTCCCGCGCCTCGGTACCCCGGCCTTTCCGGCGCCTTGATCCCACTTCAACCCCCACCACAGCCTCACTAAATCTGCGTCCAGAGCCCAGTCCCTCTTCAGAGAGCCTAAGACGCGAGAAGAATTGTTACCTGTCAGATAACAGCTAGTCCACCTAAGCTTACCTTGATGCTGTGCGACCTGTCCAACACCACCAGATGCTCCTGGCACTCGCGAGTGCTCTTGAGCAGCGTCTTCATGCCCTGGTCGTTCAGCACCCCGGCCATCTGCAGCAGTGGCATCAAGGTCGCCAGCGGCCCCAGCGGAATGTTCTCCTGGCTCACCTGCGCGTAAACCACCTGCGATGTGTTGGCGAGAGTGGAAGGGAAGACGAGGTAAAGTGAGGCGGGCACAGGAGGGATGTGGTAAAGGCAGGACCTTGGCAGATATGAAGCGAAGAAAGGTTGGTCATGCGGTGCCAAAGAACGACACATGATGACGAAGGGCTTCAAGTACGGGAGGGGCCCGGGTCTGACGTAACCTTTGTCACAGCGGAAGTCACAGATGAGTACCCACCAAACCGGGTTTCAGTCGGTTTGGTGAAACCCTTAGACTGAAACCCCAAGACGATAATCAAAATGCCTATTGCACAGGGGCCCCCTCCGCCGCAGCCCACCTCGTCCACGCTACCTATTCATCCACCCTGCCTGCATCAACACGTCCAGCCGTCATGTCATGTCACCGGAGACAGCACTCACCGGAGAGACATCCGACTGGAGGATGGCTTGCAACCGCATCGCGAATGAGTCCACCTCCGAAACCACCTGCGCCTGAGTGCCAATCCCTGCCGCAGTCGCAGCAGCGGCACCGGCTGCCCCACCGCCGCCCCCACCACTGGACTCCCCTTGCCGACCGCCACCGCCCACCGACGTGTCCCCTCCTCCTCCTCCTCCTCCTCCTCCCCGACCTCCAACGCGGTCCCCGCCGGCGCCGCCCGTCGCTGCGCCACCGCCACCGCCGGCTGCCGCCAGCAGCGCAGCCGCCTCTCCCGGCGAGAACCCCCCATCCGCTGCCATCTGGGAGCTGCGAACGTGCAGCTCCCGGTAGTAGCTGAGCCGCGTCAAGATGTGCCAAAACACCTGTAGGAAAGCGGCCACGCGAGCCAGCCCAAGCAGAGATGGTTCGCATCGGTAAATGATCCCGCAATCGCACGCATATCGATATCTTTGTGATACGGACGGCTGGAAAGTGACACCAGTAACGGAGTAGGAGAAAATATAAGCTACATGTTAATAACTACATCGAAGCACATAAAAAGTAAAGAAAGGAAACCCGGCCTTACATTAACATGTAGATGTTTATATTCTGGACAGATACATGCTTGTTTCACTTGGACGATTTGGACTTGGATAGCCCAGCAGGCTTACACTGGTTTGAACGATTGCCTGTAAGCCTGATGCGTATGAGCCGTGCACCTAAAACTAAAAGCGCAACCAGCTCAGAACCCAAAAGCCCGACAACATCCACCCAACCACCATCCACCTGGTCCAACGCAGCGAGGTCGTGTCCATAGCGTTCGCCGAGCCGCCTGAGGCCATAATCCTCCCCGAGCTGCACCTTGACCAGGTGAGCCGCCACGGCGATGATGGCCACTAGCGTGTAGTCCTGGAAGTCCGAGGGAGCCTCGTCCTCCTGTCGCATCATGACCAGGATGTCCGCGACCTGCACAACCGGTGGCGGCGGCGGAGGCACAACGACAATAACGCACGATAGCCGACCCACGCGAGGGGGTCTCCAATGGGATGAGATCGGTCAAGAAAGGGGTTGCACATAGGATAGATACGTCGGGCGATACTGTGCACCCGAGCTGCAACCCAAGCTTGGGCGTGCATGCGTCTATATGTCTCAATGCCGGCGAGGAGGCCGATCCGATGGTTTCACGGCTGGGGGGAGAAACAGAAACAGTCGACTAGTCGCCGTGACGTGATGCCATCATGCCGCCACACTGCGAGACAGATTAACTGACAACAAGCAGAAAGCACCGCAGCGGCGGCCGTCCCCCGTGAAGAACACTGACACACAACGTGAACAACGTGTTGGAACTATGTGGGCAGCCGCAACCCACCGCACCGACCTGCATCTCGCCTTACCTGGCATGCCATGTCGCTTATGGCCGCCGCCGAGTCGGCGTGCAGCTCCAGCTCCTGCGCCACCTCCTTGAGCCGTGCATACGACCGCTGAGCCACCGCATACTCCGGCGAGCTAACGTCGCTAATCGCCTTCTTGACCGCCTCCATCCTGGAGACCTCCCGCAGGAGCACCTCGCGCACGCGGGCCTGCGCTGCGGTGTCTCCGATGCCAGCGCCCCCATCATCCGCACCGCCAACGCCGCCCAAGCCTCTCTTACGCCGCTTAAAAGGCCGGTCGTCCGCCAAATAGCCACCAGCCATTACGTTCCCACCAGCATTGCCCGGCATGCCGCCAGGGCCGGGGCCGTAAAGCCCGCCTTCGTCCAGGTCGTGGTCGACGCGGCGGCGGCCCCCGCGGCCGCGGCCGCCCCGGCCGCCACCGGTGAGCAGGCCGCCGCGACCGCGGCCGCGGCCACGGCCGCGGCCGCTGGGCCGCGGCCCGTCGTCATAGCTGTCCTGCAGGCCGTAGGAACCGCTTCCCGGTCCGCGGCCCGGGCGGTACGTTTCGTCTTCCGCCTCGTCATCCTCGTGGGCCAAGTCACCGAGGTCATCGCCATCATCCCGACTGGTGAGAAGAAGAGAGGAGCAGGCAGCACGATCAACGAGCAAATTGCAACGGCAGAAGGAAAGGATGACACAAATTTTGAGAAAAGCCAATGCGCGCGCAGGAGCGTCGTCGCAACGGCAGATTTCAGCGACAAAAGGTCGCACTAGTTCTCAATGCTGCATGAGTGACAAAATGGTGGCAACCACTTCCACCCCGTGGCTTCATGAACCTCTGTAAATAAGTAGTTCTTCCCCGAGACACCCACACACATCTAGAACCAAGTTGATGTCCCTACCTGTCCATGTCCAAGACGCTGCTCCTGCGGCCACCCGCGGCCACGTGGTGCGGCTCCTCCTGAGCGTCGTCTTCCTTCCGCATCGCCTCATACCGGTCTCGCAACAGCACCGACCAGTAGGCCGCATTCCCGGCGCCGCCGCCTCCACCAGCACCGGATTCGGAGCGGCCAAGCGCCAGCAGGCCATTGGGGTAGGCACCCAGGCCATTGCCTTCGGCGCTGCCGTATACCGCCGCGCCGGCGGCAACGGCGTCAGCGCCAACGCCATGTGGATCGTCCTCTGCCATGCCCTCCAAGTCGTCAGGGAGATCCTCGTCCGCCTCATCTGCGTCGCAATGATCAGGGAACACAGCAGGGAGTGAACGCTCTGAGGAGGAATGAAACCAACAAACAGGCAGTGTCCCACCACGCTGCTTGAAAGCCACGAGCCACTGCTACACAACGCAAAACATTGGTGACGAGAGCGTTAGTGGTTGCAAGTACTACTCCCTGCTATGGACGCCCAAAAGTGCGGCTCGTTCAGTGTCCAGTGTCCGTCCCTGTCCCGTACCTGAAGCAGCCGGCAGGTCACCCTCCAGTCGCTTGTCCACGTCTGCCCACGTCCGTACCGCCACCGCCTCCAAACCCGGACTCAGCGGCACACCTCCGCCATCGCCACCACCGCAAGCAACCGTGGTCACGCCACTGCCGTCCGCCGCCATGTCGACCTCTGCTGCGGCAGCGGCAGCAGCCGCAGCAGCGTCCGCTGCGCCTCCAGCTCCGCTCCCATTGCAGCATGCCGCCTGGCCTAGCTCCAGAATCTCACGGACCTGCTCCTTTGAATACGTGCTGCGCTCGTGACCACGCCGAACCGTCGTTGTGGCTCCGAAACCACCCCCGACACCTGCTCCCTCAGATCCTGCACCAGCATCTGTCTCCGACGGCGCAGCAGCCGCGTCCGGCACGCCTGCGGGGTCCGCTGTCGCCGCTACACCTTCACCGGCCTGCTTGAACAGCTGCGGAGTGCCCCACTTCAGCACTTCGTCCAAGGCCTTGAGGCCGAGGGCGGTACCTGATGCACTGCCGGCGGCGGCGGCGGCGCCGCCAGCACCACCGCGGCCAGCCACTGCGGCGGCGGTGCCGCCATGTTGGAAAGCCTGCTCCAGGCCTCTCCGCCGGTCCACCAGCTGCAACAACCGCTCCTCCACCGTGCCCCGCACATATAGCCGGAATACTGCCAGCTGGCCGGGCTCTCCCAGGCGGAAGGCGCGGCGTAGAGCCTGCATGTCTAGCCGCGGGTGCCAGTCGCTGTCGAAAATGATCACAGAGCGAACGCTAGGCAAGTTGGTACCCAGTCCCAGGATGCGCGACGTGGCGAGGACGATGAACGGCGCGGTAGATGCGGTAGTGGCAGAGGAGGGTGAGGAGGGTGAGGCCGCCGCTGATGGGGTCAGCCGAGGAGCTGCGCCGCCATGGGACACTGTGGGCGAGGCCGCTGACGCTGGTGAAACTGCCGCCGTCGCTGCATGGTCTGCGGCGGCGTTAAACGAGGCGATGTTGGCGTGGCGCACCGCTGAAGGCGTGGAGCTGTCGATGCGTACGGCGGCAGTCGGGCCGAACGTCCGCTGGGTGTACGACTCCAGGATGTCCAAGGTCTGTGGCAGTGTTCACACATTTACGAGGACGACGACAATATGTTTAAGCTCTCCAAATTATATCCCCAGCCCTCCAGCCCTCCTGAAGAGTGCCCGTTGCCCCCGTGCCGGTTGCGCCTTGCGTTCGGAATCCAACTGCTTGTCCGTCCTACACGCCCCAACCTTCCTCATTTCTTAACGGTCTTACCTTTGCCGATTGTGACAGAACCAACACGCTGCGCCGACGGCGCCGCAGCTCCTGCAGCAATTGGTCCAGCACCGCCATTTTGCCGCTGGCCGCCAGAAGTACCTCTGCCGCCTGAGCCGATGCGGTGGGGACAGCCCCGTTGCCCCGGCTCGTGGGTTGGGTCAGGCTGGCGCGAGAAAGGAGCCCCCCGCCGGCCGCGGTGGCGGCGGCGGCGTCAGCGCCCCCGGCGGCCAGCGCACCGTCGGAACAGCCCTGATGGCCGCCAACCGGCTGAAGCGCCTCCTCCGCAGCCTCCGTACGGAACTCATCCAGCATGTACGGATGCTGACATACCTGAGCCAAACACGAAAGAAACAAGCAACAGAGAAAGGTCTCTCAGGGTGAAGTAGAGGCCAGAAACCATGCAGAGGTACCCACTAGCCCGCCTAGCCCACTCGCCCGCCTCAGGGAAAAGCCGCGTACAAGCCCCAAGGCACTCATAACCAAACAAACCTCCCAGCACAGTAGGGTAAGCCTATGCCCCCTGCTAGCACATAAGACCGGCTGCGCCCGCCCCAAACTACCTTGCGCAGCTCGTTGCAGATGTGTCGCAGCATAGCCGCCCGGTGCCCGCTGTGGCGGGGCGGCCGCGGGTCCGCCAGTACCTCAAAGTGGCGGGCCAGAACGGTGCGGTAGCACTCGGCCTGCAGCTCGCTGAGCTCCACAGGTATCTGTGGCGACCCCGGCCGGCAACAAAGAACACGTAAACTGCTCAACGCTCATGCTCATATGACAAAAGGTAGCGGCGCGGCCGATGAGAAAGGGCAGTAGCTCACCAATCGCGGCGCGGCAAAGGGAGAGGAGGGAAAGGGGGCTGCTAGGTCATTATGTGTTGACAAGTGTTGACACTCAAATGGTCAAGAAACACGGCACCCGCGCGCTCGCGCCGTGCTGCCGATAGCCCTGTGGCAATCACTTGTTGCATTCCTTGTAATTGCCTTTTTCCTCCTGCTAGGATTCCAAGGGACCTTTACGTGGAACAGCCCTTTACAGGGTCCTCAAGGCACTCATCCCGCTGCCGGATGCCGCACCCATTATATGCCCGGCCCCTCGTTCCCTACAGAAACACGCACACAACGCCCATGCAGGGTCGCACCTGCACCTCCCGCCGTGCCGTGACGTGGCGCACCAGCTCGCGGCCCATCCGTCTGCAACATCGAGCTTCTAACGCGTCCGTCAACCGGATGCGTGCGGCCTCAGCGGCGCCCTCACTGGCCAAGTAATCACTGGGCTCGTAGGCCTGAAACGGCGAAATGCACAAGGACATGCAAAATGCACTAAAAATCTGCCGCAACTTCGGGTGTATAGGAAAAATCAGCACGAGCACACCGCGGCCGAATTTGGCCGCGAGGAAGGTTGGCGTAGTATCTTAGCCAGGGCTGGCGCACATGCAAGGGGACTCAGAGCTTGGCTGTGGCACATGTCTAGCAGAAGCCAATTCACGAATAGCGACCCTGTGCTATCGCCCGCCCGATCTCTCACCCATGCCACGCGATTCCCTGGGGAGCTGCCATGGAAAGGCCCTGCAGCAGCGACCCAGCCTAAAACCCTCCTCCTAGCGGATCGACCCTTCGACAACAGCCAGCAGCGAATTTCACGGAGATTCTTGGCTCCAGAACCATGACCATGTTATATTCTGGGGACCCCCTGGCCCAGATCAACCCAATCCGGTGCTCACCTGCACATCCGGGCGTATGAGCTGCGCAAAGCCCACAACTTCCTCCAGGGGTGCCGCTGCTGGGTTGCTGCCCATCAGCAGCACCCGGTGGCGACCGCCCAGCTCAGACAGCGTCCCGGTGTTGCGCGCCGTGATGCCACGTCCACGCTGCCGCACATCAACGACTACCACCTCCCAGGGAACCGCCTAAATTGCAGTGCGAGGACGGGAGGACCCGAGGGAAATTACAGTAGAAACAGAAACAGGACAGTAGGAACAGAAACAGGAAGTAAAGCAAGCTAGGTTGGTTGGAGATGGGTCGAACCGCGCCCAACCTTAGCCGCGCCCGGTTATTATACCTGGCCAATTGAGCTATGGAAGTGGCTGGGTGAAGATGGAGAGACTGACAAACACTTTTGATGCGGCAGCAAGCGTTGTGGAGATGGTCAGTGCATTGGTGTAGGTACAAGCACGGTGCTCCACCAGTATATTGTATGTGGTACATGGTGTGTGCTTGCGTGTGTATGTGTGTGTGTTTTTGCTACACCTCGGTTGCGTTTCCCAGAGAGGTGCAACGTATATGGTGCTCTAGTGTATGTAGAGTTTGCGACGGCAGGTGGCTGCATGATGACAGCCATGTTTGCACGGAAGCATGTTCCTACCTTGAGCACTGCAAGGTCGGACAGGACGTGCTCGTAGCCCGCTATCACCACATCGGCCTTGGGCACCTGAAAGGCGGAAGTAAGCGGACGGGACCAAGAATCACACCATCAGGACACAGCGGAGGTATATCAATTACCATGACCGCCCTCCTTCCGGTTAATTCTGCCGGTTGGGGTGAACCGTGTGCAGGCAAAGAGCCGCGTCCGGGGAAGCTCTCCAAAGCATGGAACAGCAAACGTCCTGGAGATCCTTGCATCGCACACAAGCTCCGCTGGCCCCCTCCATCTTACCGCCAGGGCCTCCTCAACAGGGGGCCCCCCAGGGCGTAGCAGCACTTGCCTTTGTGGGACAGTCCTCTCGACCGCGGCCCATGGAGCCCTTCCGGTCGAGGGAGGAGGGAGACAGCCAGAGCTCCTGCTCGTGCAGCAGTGTGCGCGCCATCGCCGAGCCTGTGTACACCACCATATTTATGGAGCTGCCTGGAGCCGTCCCCAGCACCGCCTCCTTGTTGCCGTCGGCAGGTAACGACGCCCCATGTGCGGGGGGGGGTTCCGCTGCGACGCCAGCAACCCAGAAGTTCCAGTCGCCCTCCCAGAAGTCCAGCATAGCCTACAGGAAGACGCCATTATGGAAAAAATGGATTTGTGACAAAAAGACAGACGCGTCAGGCGTTAAGCGTCAGCCTTTGCCTTTCAAGCCCCAAGCCCAGGTCTGCATTGGGCGGGATAGGAATGGGCTTTGATTGTGGCTTGGGGTTATGGTAGGTTGGGCGAGATTTGAAAGCCTTGAGACCAGCATAAAACATCGTGCCCAAGATGTCTTCACGCGGCATTCCCTGCCAATCTCCTCGCAGGCTCTCTACTTGAACTCCAACCTCCTTACACCCCATGACATCTAGAAAGCCACCCCCAAAAATGCTGATGCGGGACTTGCTCACCTGGGGTGTGACCACCAGCAGAGGCCCTGTAACTTTGAAGTCATGGCTGCAGTGCAGGAAAAGCAATTGGTGCAACGGAAGCACTTTCAGAGAGGAACACTTCCTGAAGGCCCAAAACGCTCCGCGCACAAAAGCCATGAAAGCCTAGGAAGCACAACATGGTTCACCCGTAGGTCAACGAGCGCTGCTCGCACACCCATAGCCGATAGCTGAAAGGAAACGGGCAGAGCGCTCGGGGCTCCGCGCATGCCACAACATTCCAATACTGAGCAGCGTTTTCCGTCCCCATGGTCTCTTGGCTTTTGGAGATGACCAGTTTCCCTCCTCAATTTTCAGATTTAGACCTCGCCTTCCACCACGTGACCCTGCCTGCTACACGTGATCCTAAACAAAAGGGGTGAGAGCACGATCCATGTCACCGTCAATTCTGTGCCTGTCCACTAGCTGAATGCTTAAGCTCGCCCTATCCCCTCTCTGGACTCCAGTCGCAGTTTTTAGCGGCTTTGGACATGTCGGCCATTGGTGGCTTGCTTCTTGCATACAAGCCCCCGTTTTCAAGGACGCCAGGGTGCGTGTCTTTGCAGCCATGCCTCCCAACTTCAACCTCCTTCCCAAGTAACCCCGGCCCACGCAAGGCTCCCCAACGCACATGAGGCCTTGCAGGAACGTGGCCACCGTGGCCGTCTTGCCCAGGCCCATGTCATCCGCCAGCACGGCGTGCTTCCCCGCAGCCCACATACGGCGCAGCCAGCTGAGCGCCTGAAGCTGATGCGGGTATAGCCGTGCGCCCATAACGTAGTTCGGCTGCTCTGAGAGGTCCGCAAGCGCGCGTGACTCGTACACCGTGGCTTCGGCCAGGGCCTCTGCCGCGGCCTCGACTGCAGCGCGAGAGGCCTTGTGTAGTGCCCGCTTGCATCGGGCCCACATAGCCGTGTGAAGCGCCACGTACTCAGGTAGCAGCAGCAGCTTGGTGCCTTCGGCCTAAGGCAGTGCGACAAGGCGAATGGCAGAAGCCGAGTGCCGGGAATTGATGGCCACGGAAGCGTGCGACATGGAAGAGTGGCAACACTATAATAGCACGCCGGTTTCGTACAACGTTTCTGCCCCTGACATTCTTTATCCCTAATACCATAAAATATCGAAGCAATCCCCGAATAGAACGTCCCTGTAAGCAGCCCGGAAGGCCCTAACGAGCTCTGAATACACATTATGATCTGTGATCCTGTGCCCAGCGCCTCTTGTGCACGTGTGTCCTTACCTCCCATGTAGCGTGCTCGTACCCCAGGCCGCACCACTTGACCAGCAGCTCCCAGCCAGGCCCAGTCGGAGACGGCCGCCTCGACACAAACCGTTCGGGCCGCGTCCATGTCTCATCGACGGCATTGCACGGCCGGTCGCCGTGACGCTTCTTAAAGTTGAGCAATTTCCGGCGCGCCATCCCCATCAGCACACTCTCCTTCACCCACTCGTTATGGATATGGCTGCGATGCGCCCATTTCACCAGGTACTCCGGCTCCCGGTCCGTCGCCAGCGCACCCAACATGTCTCCACCGTCGACGCCCTCCAGACCTCCGGGGCCTCCCACCGCATTGTCAGCCTCGTCTCCGAACCCCAAAAGTGCAGCCGCCGCGTCAGCCTCGTCCGTGGCCATGCGGTCGGTTTGGTGGCCGCCGGCGCCACCGCCGGAAACGGCCGCGCCGGTGGCGAGGATGTTGCTGGGGATGGCCGCCGCGGCGGCAGCCTTGCTTGCGGCAGCGGCCGCCGCGGCAAGGGCATTCGCCGCCGCCACCGCATCGGCAATGGCCTCTGCGTTGGGGGATCCGGCCGCGGAGCTCTTCCTCAGGCGGTGCAGGATGCGATGCCGCTCCAGCTCCAACTGGCGCTGGCGATCCCTGCAAACAGGGTGTGACATGTAAGCCTATCGTACTGTGCATGCGTTAAACATCAGCAATGCACAGGGAGTAGCGGGGCCATCCAGAAGATTCCTACCCCTTCCCTGCCCAACATCTGCATCTGCATCGCCCCACCTCTCCTGCGCCTTCTCCAGCTCCGAGAGCGGGAAGCGCCACCCGTAAATGGCTTCTACAAAATTCTTCTGCACGGGCGCCACGCCAGTGGTGACCCCCACGGCAAATTGATCCGCGGTGTTAACCAGCAACGGCTCCAGCGGAAGTTCATCAAGGAAATCGTCTTCCTCATCGCTGGGTCTGGGGGTTCAAAGACGGTCATGTCATGTCACGTCATGTCAGGCACGGCGCAAGAGCCTCCGTAACGCGCTGGAAGGACGCTTTACTGAAAACCGAAAAGCCAGGCCGGTATGCAGGAGCGCGTGCGAGTGAGTGAAATGCACAGCCACAAGACGTAATCAGGCCTGGGCGCTTGCTTTTCAGCTAACAACCCGGAAGACTGCAAACCTGCACTATCCTGGTACACAGGAATAAGAGAAAGAGCGCCCGATGTCCTTTACTGTTGTGCTTGCTCTAGGGCGCCGTTCATCTGGCCGACTATGCACACTCCCTCTGCGGGGGACCAACCATAACTGCTGCGCGCCCACTCTAACGGCTGCTCATCACCGCTGTGGATGTTTGATGGGTTCACTCCTGCCACTATGGCAACAGCAAGACGCCGTCGCCAGCCAGCCTTGCAACCCGGACACCGCCCACGGCCCCGGGCCCTTCCACTTGCAGTGCCAGAGAGCCAGACGCACTCAAGTATTCATTACCCTAGTATTGAATATTGAAGAAACGCACCTCGGCATGATGCCTCGCCTGCCACGGCCCCGCCTGCCGCCGCGGCCGCGGCCCCTACCGCGCCGGCCACCGCGACCGCCACCGCCGCGGCCGCGGAAGCCCCGGGCAACTGCAGCCTGGAAATGTGCTGGGGCACCCCAGCCACCGTCTGAGTCACTCTGAAAGTCCTCCTCGGTGAGCCCTGCCCGCGCGGCGCCCCCAAGCAGCAAATCGTCGTCCAGGCTGGCGCCCTCCAGCTTGGGCGCCACTCCACCACCGTTTCCGTCCGGTGCCAGCAGGCTGGCAGCATTAGCCGGCTGCTCAGCATGGCGCATGGCCGCCTCAGCATGGGCGATTGAGGTGCGCAGGTTGGGGTCGATAATGGGGCCAGATTCCCCACCGTTGCCGCTGATGTCGCCCACTTTGAAGGGTTTCAGGCAGTCCAGGGGCAGCCACGCGTACTCAGCTTCCTCATCATCATCATCCTCGCCTGCGAGCAGGGCAGAAAAGACACGGCTCCCTAACTCAGCCGCCACACTCCAGAACCCATCCAATCGGCCACTTGAGTAGCCTCTTCTTCCCGCCACCACTTACACGCATTTCCCGTCGTCCCGCGGGCCATACCAGAACGCGGTTCTTTGGATGTTGCTTGATCGCAAAATAAACAGTCCTACATCCTTGAGCTCGGCAATCCTTATTAAACTTATACCTAGACCCGCTCCACCGACACCCTTGCTGGACGAGCTTGGCTAGCTGCCGCAATCGCAGTCCAAACCTAGCGCTACCAAACCACTAAGGCAAAGCTAGGGAGGAAAAGTGGCTATGCAGCTACAGGGGTCTTGCTCCTGAAAGCTGGACTATCTATCGTTCATGGCCAGGACTATCCATCGTTGATACATAGTTCCCATCGGCGCAGACGTTTTTTCCTTCACGCGCGCGCACACACGCACAAGCAGCAGGTGCCCCTTCCAGGTACCCCTCCTCCTTCGGGACCCGGTCCCTCTCCGCCAATGCCTTCCGAACCTCCCGGACCCCGTGCCGTTCGGAGAAGCCCTTCCTCTTGCATGCTGCCTCACCAACGCCCAGCGCCCGCATGCTGGCGGCCACGATACCCTGTGCCGTGTCCAGGCGCTCCTCCACCTCTCCGGGGATCCCCTTGTTGGTGAAAAACACCACAGGGATGTAGAGGAGGACTGAGCTATGACCGCCGGGCGGCGGACCGACCTGCAGAGAGCAGGAAACGTCTATAAGTCATGCTAGCCTCAGGTGGCTAAGGGTGTCAATGCTCATCCCCGCTGCAATTCCCGTGTGGATCCCGACATCAGGAGGAGCTATCCGTAGATGCGAACAGCGTGCTGGTGATGGAGAGAACCTAAGTTTGTTCAAAATGTAATTGGATTCCCCAAAACGGACGCAGCGCCAGATCAGAGGAGCAGACCAAGGTGGACATGCGCGCCCACGTCGAGCCGCTTCACCAAGCGCAGTTCACTTCACCGCAACCCACAGCCGATTGGCCTAGGCTCATTTGCTTTCCCCAACACACCAGACACATCAGGCCTTTGTAAAACTGATCAAGATGCTATAACCATACTGAATCGCATGTATATCACAGCTTTGCATTTCTAACGGCTGCTGCTGGTGGTGCTACGGGAGCCCTACCTCCCGGGGAACCGCACGCCGCCGGACGATCTTCGCCGGCCACCAGTCGTGGCCCTCCACCTTCGCCCAAACAACCCGCCCCGGTCGCAGCGTGTCCCGTGGGTAAGGAAATTCTGGGCGCTGCAGCAGCACGTGTTCTGCCGGGTCCATCATCATGGGGTTGACCTGGTGGGACGAGGTACGGAATACGTACATTTTACGTACCAAGTAACGGTAGGTACGGCCATGCTTTTCCCAATCGGCAAGGTATCGGGGCAGCCCACGCTGGGCAACTCTATTGCGGCAAGAATGGGGGCGGGTGACCCGCGAAGCAAGCATGCGACTCCGGGGCACCCGAGCTTTTACCAAGCAGTACATGGGTTGTGGCGGCACTGCACGTGCGCGGGTGACAGGGCGAGGAGAGGAGATCATGGCCTGGCGAGAGGAGCGATCACGCGGATGGATTGTTCGGGCTCATGCACGCCAACGGACGTAATCCACCCCGCAGGCAGGGGAAACACACACCTCTGTATCGTACATGTCTCCCTCGCCCGCTACGCCCATCCCAAGCAGCGCCTCCGCGGCTTCACTGACGCCGCGCAGGCCCCTGGCGAATGCGCGCCCTCCGGAGCGGCTCCGGGCCAGGGCCCCAGCCGTGGCGCGTGCCCCCCGTCCACCGCGGCTGGCTCCCCGCCCCCCGCGGCCCCCACGCCCGCCGCGCGGCGTCAGTCCACGCCCACGAGCACCGCTGACGCGCCCGCCTCGCCCGCCACGCCTGGCAGGGCTGGGGATGCCAGGAGGCAAAACATCCGATCCCGCACGGCGGACCTTCGGGCGGTTTCCAAACTTTGCCCGCATGCGCTTGCCGCCTTCGAGGTCGTCTTCGGCACCGTCGCCGATATCGTCATCGCCGTCGACATAGTCATCCTCACCCCTGACATACGACCACGGATGTGCAATTCAAGAAATAAACTATGTCCGAATTCAAATTTTAAGAATAATTCGGGTCAAATAAGTGCAGAGGAACGAACCCGCCTTACCCTTCACCGTCATAGTACTCCGGCTCCGCCTCCTCGAAAGGAGGCTCCTCGTACTGCATCTCGTGTTGCTGATTCTCATGTTGCTGTTCTTGTTGCTGTAAAGCAGCAAACGGCATACAACCTGATAACCATGCGCACAACGAAAGCTGAACATACACCGACAAAGACTCAAAAGCAAGCCGAACCTGGAGCGCCAGTATATGATCAATCTCCTCGTTTGATAGCGCTTGCGGAGTCATGCACGATGCGTGTCGCATGTCCCAGACGTTGTGCTTGCACTCCCAGTCTTCGGGCAGCTCGTCATCCTTTAGGTTGTAAGGCACCTGTTACGTTGGAAGCCATATGCAAGAGCAGTGAAAGATGTCAAACTTTCATGCATGCAAACACAAGCTTTAATAACCGCTGCACGTCATGCGCACCTTGCGCCATTTTTGACATTTATTGCATTGCACCCATTTTTGCATCTCAGGTCGCTGAATAAATCGCTGCCTGCTTTGACCGAGCGCCAGACTTTCCGGTGCGCACGACAGGCCCTGGGTCGGTCGCGACGGAGAACCTCCTCGCAACTCCTCACGGCTGCAATCGGCAATTTCATGAGAGAAAAGGTGCATATCAATTGGAAGAAGTCAACCTCGGAAGCATGCCAGGATGCACGTGAACAAGGGCCGCACAGGTTCACCTTGCCGCTGCCACAGAAGCAAGCGCCCCGAGAGCATCTGCAACATCGGCCATTTCATGCATCTCTTCATCAGCCTCCGCGACTGACATTTCACAAGCTTCCTGCGGTGCATTGTAAAATTGAGGCCCAAATGATTTGCAGAAGACATAATCAGGAAGAAATATATGAAATATATTGAGAGCATGCATTAGCGATTGAGTTCAGCTGCGGTCCACGCCCTAAGCCTCTGACTGAGCCACCGCCACCTTGAACGAGCTGGCTTCCCAGGCTGGTTGTAAACAACAAATCAGGCATAATACACGTTACCGCATTGCATGAACTGAATCTATTGCTATAAAAAGAACACTCCGGGAACCACGAGTCAATTGTTTTACATATATGCCCTCACTACCAGGTTACAAGATGCTTCCAGTAATTCATTAACTTAACCACAGCATATACAACATCAAAGTACCTAATGTTATCACGCCTGAAGCTAGGACGCCAAGCAACCCCAAACAAGTCATCTTTGCATACCTTATCGAATGCAACCTCAAAGCCTAGCTCCTTTCCAGTGCTTTAACACAGACATTGCTGTGCTAAAATTGACACGAAGATGTTCTGAGTTTGGGGCATTTTTTCACAGTACAAGAGAAGGTCATGCTGAGTAAACGTCAAAGAAAGCAGGGCATAAGCAGTATGTTGGTTAGAGTCATTGAAAGAGAACGAGCCCTTGCAGTTGAGAATTTTTTGTTCGGTGACGCCGTACAAGTGTCTTCCGTGTAGGTGGTTCTCTGCGTGCGCCTAGCGTAGCTATGGAAACGCACGCATCGCATTAAAGCCTTTGTGTTAGGTACTGCACGTTGGGGCTAGTAACGGACGCACAGGGCTCATTTGCCGCCTAGACGCTTTATTGAGGGAACGTTTGACAAACGTCTTCATCATAAATACGATTGTGTGTATTGCAGCGACTGTAGGGCCTTGGTTTGAGCAGGGAGCCTGCGTTTCAGAAAGGCATGTCTCAGAACTTCTCAGTATGTCCTCGACCCGCGTGGACGATTATGCTGGGGCATGAGGAAAGCTATCTCGTCCTACGGAACACCTGCAATTGGGAACCCATTGAAAAGGCCCCTCCTGCCCAAGGATTATGCGCTGTCAACAGCTGTCACGTGCACCTTTCCCCCCTTGCATCTGGTATCGGATTATCTCCCCCCGGCAAATGCCAGATCGTGCACTCGTAATGCTAACTTGCATTTAAGTATTTCTAACGATGAGGGTTCCGCCGTGTAACCATGACGCTGATCGAATGTGGCACACCGGTTGGTCTCGAGGGGTCTAGCCAACTCGGTAGATCCGGACGTATAATAGAACCTCATGCCGCCCGGCAGATCGTGGTTATGTTCCACAAACTGTACTCGCTAGGGTGCCCCCTGCCTTTCCTCCTAGGTTCCCATGAAAATTGCCGAGGACGCGTTGCCGGGGAAAGCCAGGCACCAGAAGCTTGCTTTCGACGCCTCTTTTCCTGATCTACAAAAGCCACCCTACCTCCAGTTGCAACGTCGTCCACCATCAGGGGAGCTCCTCTCTGCAGCATTGGCCTGCGGTACACCTGTCCTTCGGGCGACTTTGCCTTATGGGGACGGTACGGAATTCCGCGCCTCTTCACTTTCCATTTCCACACGAGACATGGCTTGCCGCACTTCGTAGCAGAAATAGGTGCAACGATTGAGTCGTCTGCCTTCACTCGATTTTCCTTGTTACGGCAGTTCAAGTTAAAATTGCTTACGTGGGGTGACCATGCCATCATCCAACAGCTAGCTCATGGGATCTGTAAAGCTCAGACCCAGATTATCCCTTGCAAAAGATGCGCCACCATCTGCTGGCGCGGGTTGCTTACCTTGTGTTGCCACGTTACCACCTGTAACGAGGTCACACTCCTGTCCGTAGGAAGAGTGCCATCCTACACGGTTGCACGGTCCGCCTGCACCATTTTTCTGCGGCTTCCCACAATTTTAAGCTCACTTTTTCAGGCTCGCTCCAACGCAAAAGCGAACTCACAAATCTGATAGAAATGCGCACATGCATGCACACACACACACACACACACACACAACCCCCTAAGCACTTCCACCTCGCGGCGGCTCGGTCCAACAAAAACACACCGACGTACGAACACCCTACGCGAATGGCCTCGAGATTGTGATTTTCTTCTGCCGCAAGTGACACCCCTGGCCGCGCTACCGCCATCAGGGATCGAGGCATTTCCAGCAAGGTCGCAGTCTGCACCAGCGGAGTTCCCCTCAGGCTCGTTCGTGTGCACGTCGGTCGTTAACTTCTCAACCCTAAGCCAACACAAGTGCTGTCCATATTCAAAGAAACAATATACAAGGTCTGGCAGACCTTGCTGCCCCGATAATCTCAATATACATCACCCAACTGCCGAGTTTGATGGAAATCACCCTGCACCAAAAGGCCCAACATCGCCCCTGTCAGTAACTGTCACTGCCACCGCCAACACAAGTTAGAAGCACCGGGGAGCGTCATATTTACTCCGGTACCAGCGCCGACGCAGCAAGGCCACTACCACAGCTTCCCCGCCCTTGCCAACGTCAGCAATCTTCACCATCACCGCTACAACTTGTCTAACAACATGTATCACCATACGCACTCACACACTTGCACCACTACTACATGTTCACCTCTGCACCGCTCCCGACGCTTCCCACAACACCTGCGAATGCCCGAGCCGGAGCACTTTGCAGTGGCAGGCAGCAGCACTCCCATCCCCCATGCATGAGCATCCACACCGAAATGCGGTTACGAGCCCTATGGCGGCGTGTAAGGCGGTAACGCAAAAAGTCACCAATCTTCCCGCTCTGAAACTACGGCGGTACTACTGCGCGTCATCGCAGATCACCACCCGTGCCGGTGACAAAGGCGAACAGGCACATGTCCACAGGCACGTCGACCATCCGTTTGGTCAGGCGCGCTCTGGGTAGGTAGCTGCCACAGCGACTACATGCCAAAGAGCAGACACCCATCAGATCGGGGACTCCCACGGTGAACGAGGACTAAATAATTATTGGCGGGCTAGCCTGCCGAGCTAAAAAGGTGGTCCGACGCGCCTGCCAAAAACGCCGCCACTTGCCAAGCCAGCGTCGTCCGCCAGGAAGGAGCAAAACCCAATAAGGGGGTCATCGTGGGGGATAAGGGGACCGCAACCTCCGAGGCGTCATTGCGTCCGTGCCAGCTGCGCCAGCAGGGCGTCTCGTCGACGCCGCAGCGCCGCTACCGTCGCCTCGCCCGCCACCGCTTGTCCACACAGCTCATGCAACCCACTCAACAACGCGTCGCAGTGCTGCTTCATCGCAGCAACCTGACCCCGCGCGCCCGCCGCCAGTACCGCCAACGCCGCCGCGTCGGCTCCCGGCAAGGCCGTTGCCGCCGCCGCCGCCGCTGCCGTTGCAGACGACGTCGGCGACGACATGGAGACGTGTTGTACGGGCAGTTGCTGCGGTCTGGTGCCCTGGCTGGTCGAGGCCATGATTGAAGCAGCGGCACTAAGCTCCTGGTAGGCAGTGTGCCCTATATGGCCCCCCAGGTTGAGGACGTGTAGCTCTACGGGCTCCATCAGCATCTCCCCGGTGGCCTTGACAAGACGGGCCTGGTAACATCTGCATACAAATAAGACGTAAGACATTACAAGTCGAACTAGAGACAATCAGCTGCTGCCATGGGAGCCCTTTCACCAAATGGAAGTCCTTTTCCAAAGTTAAGATGAGCAGCAGACGGGCCCAAGTGTGTATGATGTGTGCAACAGGGGGGTATATCTTGGTAGCTACCCTGCGAAACCCTGCCTCCCCCGGTATTTCGGGGCACCCTCATCCAGTCACCCTAGTCAACTTCTCAGTGGATCGCTCAGGTTCCGCACCCACCACCAGCATCCAACGGAATCTGCCGGATCGACGGCGGCCCATCTCCATTCCTGGTCGGCGCGCAAGTCAACTTTATCCCAGGTCACCACCGTCCATCCACTAGGGGGACAATACCTTCCACCATCGGAAGGATTTTCGACCCTGACAGGTCTCGATCCCGGAATCTCCCGGGGGCAATGGTCGTGCGTTACCAGTAGTGCCTAACCTAGTATAAAGTATGTATGTATGCAGCTGGCGCACCTGAATTGCCACGTTAGCGTGGCGCCGTTGTGGTCGGAAGACGTTGTGACCAGGAGCAGCAGCACCGCCTGCTGACTGTCGTGCCGCCGTCGCAGCTGCCGTCGCAGTAGCGCCAGCGTCACAGCGCTCTCACGCATGGACGGCCGTAAGAACCCGCTGGTGCCGGATGACGCAGCAACGGCGGCAGCGGACGCGGGCGCGGGCCTGTACGACAGCCACCCCAGCAGCGGCGCCGTTTGCTGCGAAGTCAAGCCATCCAATGCCGACTCTGCACACAACAGTCAGTTTGCAAGTGCAACAGCAACCCCGGTCGGAGACGGGGCCGCGCGTGTGTGTGTGTGCTCTTAAATAAACTGAGGCGCGAGGCGTATGTGAGTATGCGGGTATGTGTGTCTGTCTGTGTGTCTGCCTGCATGTCTGTCTGTCTATCTGTCTGCGTGTCTGTCTGTGTGTCTGTCTTTGTGCATGTGTTGATATGCGGCTGTGGCAGCTGTGGGGTATGATGTTTTTAAAGGTTCCCAGGCCAGGCGACAGGAAATCACGTAATCCATGCCCTTGCCGGGCAGCGGCACCACGATCACCATGCCCAACTTCGTCCCGCCACACACACACACACACACACACACACAAACACAGACACACACACCGGTCCCCTTTCTCGCGGCTCGTATAAAAACTACTACGTATTAAAACACTCACGACCCACCGGATAGCTCCCCGACCTCGTCGTAGAAGCTGCACATCGTCGCGCAACACATGGCTGCGGTGACTGCGGCACGGGACTCAGTAACGGTGGCCATATCTGCAGGTGGGTGGGGGGCCGTGGCGTGGCGTGGCGAAGACCGTGTTAATAAACCGCAAATCAATCCGTAGATCAAACGCAGTGTTGAGAGGTTGCTAAGACCGTCCGTGTGGATGGTCGCCTTGGCCTAATAATGGGTTTGGATTGCGGGGCCCTTGCTACGCAGATGTGCGGCTGAGCTCTCGTTGAAGGTGGGTGGTTTGCAGGAGGATGTCAGCAGGCAGGCTGTCTAGCAGCGGCAGACCGGGATGCGGGGAACGCCGACTGTATGCCACGAGGGATGGGGCATACTTCACGTGGAGGTGAAAGCCGTGTGATGTGGGTTCATTCATATGGAGATAGGGCGACAGGCCGGTCAACGCTGTGCTAGGCTACGGCTCAGGGCCCCGACGTGCCCTCGGCGATAAATACGTATGCGTGCATGTTGATGAAAAGACGGGCTAGATAAAGAAGAAAATGGGTAGAGCCGCTGGGGTATCATGGATGTCTATTAACAACAGGTGAATCTTGCAGGTTGGGTGTGTGGGCCGGTGTAATGTTTGAAAGTTAAAGCCTGGGCTGGTCTCTGTGGCCCTAAATAAAATAGTCTCTATCCTAAAAAAATCAGCAACCCAGCCTCACCGTCGTAGTCCCGTAGGTGCTGCGTTGTCGTCGTGACCGTTTCCCCTGCGCACCTCCCCAACAGCGTTTCGGCGATTATCGCTGAGCTTCCTTTGGTTGTTATGCGGCTCATGTGACTTTTCCTCATGACGTCTTACCAAAAAGCAAGCCATCACATGGCGCTCCGCCAGTCGTCACCGTGTATAGTGTTGTTGCAATGTTGGCCCCATGCATGGTGACTTTCACTAGCTTATCAGGTGTAATGTGTTGATCCATGGTCTAACTAAGCAAGCGACCAAAACTCGCCGCTAGACGCTGTGCTTGACAAAGTTTACCACGGCGTGCGGCAACCTTGAAAGTAAAACTAGTGCGGAAAATAGACTCTAAATTCTATCATTTGCTATAATTGTTGACGGTTGGTGCGAGCCCGTACGACGTCTTTTCAGTTACTTTGGAGCTCTCGGCGCTGCAGCTCCGCCGTAGCAAGCCAGCGGGAAATATGGATAGTAAGTCGCATGTGATAACCTCACATTAGCATTCGTGACGGTGCCACGCCAGCTCAGCCAAGCGGCCGCATTCCTGTGGCCCTTTGCACCTAGCTCCTTTAGCTTCAAATTCTTACTCTCTCTACGATAATTTACTATTAGCCTGCCATAATGAATCAGGGTGCCCGCCTTGTAAGTGCTGAACCCTAATGCCTGGGCCCCATGGCGCACATATCTAACGGAGTAGAATTTTTTTCGGGGTTCCCTCAGGTAAGCGCTTTCTAAAAGCCTTGAAGATATCAAGATAATGGTTTCCTTTAATGCGCCCTTTGCATGTCCCCAAATTGTCCAACCCAAGCTTTCAACAGCCAGCGCTGCTTAAGTATAGCATGCGTGTCGTTGCCGCGATGCAGGTCTACCCCGGCACCATGCTGAAAGTCGAGGAAGGCCAAATGTGTGCGGTCCTTTGCGCAGCAGACGACAGGCCGGCCAACGACTCGGCCACGGCAGCAGGGTGCGTGCGCCCGTCTGCATCCAGAAGCAGTGTACCAGCGCACGTCACTCGCGGGCTCCCCCCCCCCTTATCGTTTCCCAGCCCGCGACCCCCGCCTTCCCCCCAAAACGCCCGTGCCTCCTGAATCCCAGCCCATCACACTTGCGCTCCCTTTCCTCCCCCCCCCTTTCCTCCTTCCATCTCCCACCATCCCTCCCTCATGACCTCCCACCTCAAAAACCATCTTCCCAAACCGCCGACCAACTTCCAACTTCTTCAACTCCTTGGGTCCCCACCGCACCGCACCGCACCGCAGGCGACCCAGTCTGCGGCAAAACCAACACCGTTTCCAGCGGCCAGCAGCTCGTCCGGGCTCCAAGGACACCTCAGCTATTGCCGGCGGGTTTGCCGAAACCCCCTGCCCCGCCATTGCCACCGCCTCTGGCAACACCAACTCTTATGAAAAGAGGTCCCCGGGGCCCCGTGGGTCCACCAGCCGTGGGGACGAATACCTTGGTGATGATGATGATGATGATGAAGAGGAGGAGGTCGAAGAGCAGGACGACTTTGCGGATGGGGCCACAGCGACTGCCGGAGACGGCAGCAGCAGCAACGGCGATGATGAGACTGAGGAGACGTTTTCGGAGCTGTCCGATCCGGGTGGGACAGAGGTACGCGGGTATGTGTGTGGGGGGGTTATGTGGTGGGGGGTGTGTGTTGGCGTGTGTTGGCGTGTGTGGCGTGTGTCCTTTCAGTGGTCACAGATACTGGGGTGGGACAAGAACTGGCGAGGAGAATGTCATGTCGATAGAGCAACTGCATGTGTGTGTGTGTTTGTAACTGCATTTGGGGGGGCCCGTAGCGGGGAGAAGGATGTGTGTGTGTGGGGGGGGGTCCGGACCAGGAAGGGTGTGGGATCATGAAACTCACAAGCTTAAAGCCTTTTCCCCTCACGTACCGTTACATGTTGACGACACTGTGCGTGCCGACGGTGCTGCTGCTGCTACTGCTACTGCTACTGCTACTGCTACTGCTGGTGTTTGTGTTGGTGCTGCTGCCGGCATGTTCCTTTCCTTTCAGGTCGTATTCGTGCGGGAGGGTGTAGCTGTCTGGCCGGGTGCTCGTTCAGAGCGCATACTGGGCCGCCTCTCCTTAGTCAAGCAATGCAATGTGCTTTTCATGGCGTGGCTGCCGTACAGCCGCGGCGTACTGCACGAGGACGGCACGTTCCGGGTAGCTGCCGCCGTCGAGGCGGGCGCGGCGGTGGCGGCGGCGCCGTCGTCCAACGCCGCCGCCGCTGCTGCTCCGACCGCCGCCGCCAGCGGATGTGGCGGGGTTGTTGGGGATGGAAGCAGCGGTACGACAGGTATCGGCGATTGCTACGGGGCTGGTGATGTCGTACGGATGTGGAGGCGGGGATGCATGGGGCGGGCAGGGGTGGGTGTACCTAGGTTTGGGTTCTTATTCCTCCTAAGCGACATTGTGTGGGGTGGGTGGGTGGGGGGTTGAGGGGTTGGCAATATGTGGCGGTGGTCCTGGTTGTGTTGCGGTGCTGATGATGGTGCTGTTGAAAATGATGATTATAATGAGGGGAGGGGGAGGGGGAGGAGGAGGGGGAGGGGGAGGGGGAGGAGGAGGAGGGGCAAAAGCAACCCCACCGGCAATGCACGTATGCGCAATAAGGGAGACAAGCACTATTATTTGGGACTGGGGGATGGCGGCTGATGACCCCTCGGGGGTGGGGTGTCTCGCATTCGCGGACACCATGCCGGAGAACTGCGAGGGGAAGGGGTGAAGGGAAGGGGTGAAGGGAAGGGGTGAAGGGAAGGGGTGAAGGGAAGGGGTGAAGGGAAGGGGTGAAGGGAAGGGGTGAAGGGAAGGGGTGAAGGGAAGGGGTGAAGGGAAACAAAGCTACCTGGCGCGCGCGTGTGTGTGTGTGTGTGTGTGTGTGCGTATTGGGTATTGATTGTGTGTATTTTGGGGGCAGGGGAGGGCTGCCGTGTCGGCAACCTCATCACCTCATCCCTCCTCCTTGCACTCGCTCTTTCCCCCCCCTCCCTTCTACTACCACTGCTCTCGATCAACCCCCTCATTCATTCCTGAGATATGATTCCCCCTTCTCTCCACCTTTGCCGCAGACCGCACTCAGTACGCGGTGCACCCCATCCCCCTGTCCGAGGTACGAGCACTCCGCCGCCGTACACCCCCTCTCGGCCTGGGCTGCCCCTCGCTGGTAGTGGTGCTGACCTGCGGAGTCGCCCTGCCGCCCCTCTACTTTCAGAAAGGGGGGATGAAGGCATTCCTAAACACACTTAAGCAGGTGTGTACGGCTGTACGGCAATGGGGGCTGTACTGCCGCGATGCACTGCTGATTTCTCTCCATCCTCCGCACCGCGATGCTGCCGGCCCGCTGCTGCCCTACTTCTTGTACACTCTTTCCTTGGCAGCAGCAGCTTCATTCGTTCGTGGTTCGTCTTCCCCTCACCTCACCTCTCCCCCACCTCCTCACCTCCCTCCCTCGTGGTTCGTCTTTCCCCCCTCCCCCCCCGCCGCAGCACGTGATGTTGCTAAGGTCCGCAGGTGACGCGGACACCTACCTGGTTAACGACACCGCCGACCCCCTCAGCCGCAGCCTCACCGCCCTGCAGCTAGCTGAAGTGCTCATTGGCGGCCCGCCGCCGGGCGCATCCGCGACTTTCAAGCCGGGAGAAGGAGTGGTGGCGCCGGCGGCAGCCGACGGCGGCACTGGTGCCGCCGCCGCCGCCACCTGGGTTACAACGCCAACGGCGGGGCTGGGACTGGCGGCGGCGGCGGGGCTCGACGGCGGCGCCGGCGGTGGCGGCGGCGGGGGGTTTGCGGAGGCAGTTGGGGGTTGGGGGATGGGTTGGGGGATGGGGGGGTTTGGGAGTGGGGTTTTTTGGAGCTGGGCGGATAGACCCGTGGCGGTGGCGGCGGCGGGGGAATCAGTGGTGGGAGGTACGGCAGCAGCGGCGGCGACGGCGGTCGGCCTCGGCGGGTTCGAGGCCGTTGACGGGGGCAACAGCGACGCTGACGATGGCGACGCGGAGGTTGGCGGCGGCGGCGGCGGCGCTTCCCTCCACGGCAGCAGCAACGGGCTGCGTCAGGCCAACGCATGGGCGTACGGCATTGTGGAGGCTATCAACAGGTTCGTACAAAATGTACGGGGTACGGCTTCCGGCTGGATTAATGCTCTGGATGACCTGGACGAGGAGGACGATGATCTGTATGACAACGACTACACCGCGCCGCCGCACGATCACGGTGTCGCATCGCCCCCGCCACCGTCGCCGCCGTTGCCCCACGCAGCGGCGGCGGCAACATCAGCTGTGCACGGAGAGGGGCCAACCGCTGAGGCAATGCGGCAAGGCCGGACGGACCCCGGCGCAAGTGTCCAGCCTCTGCCGTACGGCGGCGGCGGTAACCGTACGGCGGCAGCGGACCACGCAAGCTTATCGGCTGTGGCGTCGTCCTCACTAACCGCTACCGCCGCCGCTGACGGCGCCGTCAGCGGCATCGGGGCCTCTTCAGAGGTCAATACCGCCGTCGGCGATTTCGAGCTGGTAGATGGCGGCAGCTTTTGGGGCGAGGCAGCGGCGCACCCGCCGTGCCGCCGCCGGCAGCGGCCGCCGCCGCTGTCGCCTGAGGAGTGGGCGGCCATGTTCGACGCGGGTACGGCGCGTGATTGTATCCCTGTTGACGTTGACCAAGAGGACCTAGGATTTCGGGGCGGGGGGTATTCCCCTGGAGCGAGGACGCGTCCTTCCCGTTCGATACATGGCCCATATCTTACAGGGCCCGGGGGTGTGGGGGCCCGCCAAGGGGGTTGGGGGGGGGCCGAGGGTCTCAACATGGCATTGCCACCATCCCAACAATACACCAATACTTGTCGGAAGCAGGTCTCCGCTTACACGTCGCACATCTCCGCATGTTAGGACATACATACATGCATACATACGCGTTTCGGCGTAAGGGGATGTTGGCGCATAGCGCAACATGTTTTCCGAGCTGCGCGCGTCGTACTTGTGTCGTACACGAGTGCTAAATGTTTTTTTATTATTTTTCCGCGGTCCCACTGCCTGTCGGGTCTGTCTGTCTGTCTGTCTGTCCCGCAGAGGGCCGGCTGGTGGGTGAGAACGCGCTCCGAGACCGGGTCTGTCTGTCGGGTTGTGTTCCGGAGCTGCGGAGGGAGGTTTGGAAACACCTGCTGGGGCTGTACCCGCGGGGCAGTACGGCAGCGGAGAGGGCGGCGCTGGCACAGGTACGAATGCTAATGGCTCGTGTGTGTGTGTGTGTGTGTGTGTGTGTGTGTGTGTGTGTGTGTGTGTGTGTGTGTGTGTGTGTGTGCGTCAGCACCGCGCAGATTGGATGCGTGTGTGGCTTCGTTGGGGTCGGGATGCGAGGGAGAAGTATTTTGAGGGCAGCGTGTTGTGCGTGTATTTTTGTGTGTTTGTACGTATGTGTGTATGTATGTGTATGAGGTGAGTGCATTAGCGAGTGCGTTTGTGGCATTCGCAGTTGAGGCCTTAAGGGCGCTTAGGAAGGGTTTTAGGGTTTGGAGGTTTGGACCCACCATCGCTCAGCTCCTCGCTTGCAGGGATGTCCCTCGCAGCTCATACACACACACACACACACACACGCACACACGTATTCCGCTTCCCGGCCTTTTTTCAGTTGGGGCTCTTAGCCGATTGGTTCGCTGTTGTTGTCGCTTTCCCAGTTAGCTGTCTTCTTTCTTTTACTTGTGCACCCTTGTCCTCCCCCCACCATCACCACCACCACCACCACCACCACACAGAAATGGCAGTCGGACTACAGGACGTTACGTCAGCAGTGGCAATCCATGGTGCCCGCGCAGGTACGTGCTGCCTGTGCGTGCGTTTGTATGTTTGTGTGCATGTGCGTTTGGGGGCCCCGAGTGGTGGCCGCCAACTGCAAAGATGCGCTGCAGTTTCTCAATTTTTTTTCCTTCGTCTCCGTCTCTCTGTGGGGGAAATATCCCACCTGTGTGTGTGTGTGTGTGTGTGTGTGTGTGTGTGTTCACCACAACCACCTCTACAGGAGGCGCGATGCGGCTCCTGGCGTTGCCACCGTACGGCAGTGGATAAAGATGTACGACGTACGGATCGCGGCCACGCGTTCTTCTCCAGGGAGGGTTCTGCGGGGCTGCGGGCGTTACGCAATGTGCTGCTGACACACGTGGTGTACGACAGGGATTTGGGTTACTGTCAGGTGCGTCTGTGTGTATGTGAGTCTATGTATGCATGTGTACATGTATGCATGTGTACATGTATATGCTCGTGTCTAGGTTCCCTGCTTACCTAATTCCCCCGAAAAAAACCCAACCCCAGTCCCATCCCATCTTCATCCCCATCCCATCTTCATCCCCATCCCCATCTCTTTAATTTAAAATTAAACACCGAAACCTGCTCTGATCCCAGAGGCACGTTTCGCTCTCCGTTGCCATTGTTCTCCTTGTGTTGAATCGTTCTCTTAATTTTTTGGCATTTTTAATTCCACACGAATGGATTCGTGGATTTCATTCTTAGGTGTATTTACAAGCTTAGCTACCTCAGTGCTTTGGGATTGCGGCCGTGCCGTGTATTGCCGTGCCGTGTATTGCCGTGTCTGTGCATTTTACTTTTTGTCCGTGTGCGACATCACACAGGGTATGAGTGACCTTGCTGCGCCCTTGCTGGTGGTGATGCGCGACGAGGCTGAGGCTTTTTGGGCGTTCGCGGCGCTGATGGAGCGGCTGGGGTGCAACTTCCACACCGATCTGCAGGGCATGACGTTGCAGCTGGGCGCGCTGAGGCAGCTGGTGCAGGTGCGACCTGCGAAGGGGCCGGTGGTGAAGGCGGCAATCATCGCGTCGTTCATGCGCTGTTGGTGGTGTTGGGCGTAATGATAAGGAAGGAATTGATACTTGCAGTCGTCCACTTTTTGCTTTTTGCATATCATTTTCTAGCCGCTCTCCCCCCCCTTCAAATGGCTACCTGGGTGATGGAGCCTGAGGGCCTGCGCGCTCCTGGCCACCTCTTACCACCATTTCCCCCACCTCCCACCCGCACCCCAGGTGTTGCATCTTTCCTCCTCCTTTCCTCGCAGCTTTCTCCGCACATTCATTCGTCTACTCCCGCCGCCATGTCTTGCCTTCCCGCCCTTCCCCCCCACACCTTTGATTTAGCTTGTGGACCCGCCGCTACACGCCTACCTTGAAAGACGCGACTGCCTCAGCTACTACTTCGCATTTCGGTGGCTGCTCATACTTTTCAAGCGCGAATTCAAGTAAGACCGGCTTGTATTATCGACCTTGGCGCGGGGATGGATGCATGCTTTTCCAAATGAATGTGGTCTGATCTGTTCATGGAGATGAAATTGTATTAGAAGCGAAGACAGTCATCCTCACGCTCTTATCCATGTTTTTTTTATTTTTCACGCAAAAAAATCTAATGGATGCCTGTTTCTTACTAGTTTGTCTGGAAGTTTTGCAATTTTAGTTAACGAAACTTGCATTTTGTTTTCCATGCCTTCCCCGCATCTCCGCGCGCGCGCACGATATCTGCCGCGGCGCAATCCTGTCCTACATCCTGCAACCTACATCACCAGGTTTGACGAGGTGTTGTCCCTGTGGGAGGCCTGTTGGGCGTGTCGCCGCACCCGCCACCTTCACCTCTACCTGGCCGCGGCAGTGCTGGTGCACCACCGGTGAGCAGAAAACCGCCCCACCCGCGCCCACGCCCACGCCCGCAGGCGTATTCTTATGCTTATGCGTGTGCGTGCGGAAGTTAAGCCAATAGCGAATAAATCCATCGCTTACGCACCGCACCGCACCGCACCGCATCGGTTGTTCCCCTCCACACATAGGCGGTTCGTCTTACCCCCTCCACACACAGCACCACACACACTCTCGCCTTGTCGCCGCCCTCATATCTGCCCCACCCAACAAACAAACATTTAAGCCCTCCCCTCCCCTCCCCCCCGGCAACCTGCTTCATTGCTCAGCCGTGTCATCCTGTCCTCCGATCTGGACTTTGACGGCCTTCTACGGCTGTCCATCGCCCTGGCGGGTAGGCTGGAGCTGCAGCCGCTGCTGGAGACGGCGGAGGCGTTGGTAGGGTATGCGGGCGAGGCGGGGCGGGAGGTGACTGCGGGGCTGCCTTGAAGTGGCTGCCGGGTGGTGGATGGCGGCGTAGGTAGGAGCTGCGGACCTGGGAAAGTCAGGTTAGGGGTGTGGCAGGAGAGGTTATGGGTAGCCTGGCTTGGAATCTATGGTACGTGTGTGTTTGCGTCTGTGTTTGTGGGTGTGGGTACGTGTGTTTTGATCTGTGGTATGTGTGTGTGTGGTGTGGAGGGGTATAGATGTTTAGTTGTGGGTTGGTTTGGGTGATGGTCAGGGTGGGGGTGGTCGTGGAGGGGAGAAGGCAGGATGAAGAGGGAGAGTGAGGTGTAGAAGTAGGGTGTTGTGTGTGTGCTGCTGGATGAGGTCGGCTGTCTTTGGGCTGTTTTTTTCTCTTTTCCTTACTCGACTCTTTCGTGGTTTTGAACTCGCGCCTTCTCGGTGCTCTCTTCTCTTCACATCTTTTTTGTTTTGTTGGAAAATAACTCATCTTTCCTGCGGCCTGGGTTCATCACAAAGGTGGGCGTGATGAGATTCCAAGCCGTCTGTTCGGACTTCGACCTGGCAGTAGTGGCAAGCCACGGGGAACAGTACTGCAGGGAGCGGCTGTCGGGATGTCGTACACTGGCGCGTTTATCGTACACCATCGATGGTTACGGTGCATGCAAGTGCAGATGGGTCTAAACTGGCGACAAAGTAGAGAGGTATAAACGCATACGTGGCACTGATTACGTGACGAAAGAAGCATACATGTTTGAGAGGATTTTCGTAATGTCCTAGTGGTCTGGTTCATATGCGCGGTGTTTCCTTTGTCGGAGGCGAGGAGGGAAACGCAAGGAGAGTTTTGGATGTTTTGCAGGGCGTTGAAGTTGACTTCAAACTTGGCTTCGGGGCAGCGGCATTGCTGCCAGTCACTAGCTAGGGCCCCTGCTCGACTGCTGATTGCAGACAGGATGCGGGAGGTCCGGAGAGGCCGACAGGTGTTGGAGCAAAGGTTTAAAAGGATAAAACCCGTCCCAATCTTTTAAGGCCGTCGTGGGCGGTTTCGGAGCCACGGACTCGCGCTGGCATTCAACTGTAGGTCTTCCAGTTGGCCCTACCCAACTGTTTCTTGTTCATAAGCTGTGCTTTTAGCGTGGGATGGAATTGACGTGCTGCAAAATGCCGTGTCCGGGTGTCTTTTTGTGCGTGCAGGTTTGGCCGCGTTTGCCGTTGCAACTCGCGTGCACGATCGGAATGGTGGTTTTGGGGGTTTTCTTTTGAGGAGGGGGGCTATCATTATGTGTTGGCATGCTGTATAGAATATTATGCAGCTGCCTGGAATCTGAGCTTCGGCCGTGTATATTGTTAGAAAATTGTGGGGCCGCAAAGGGAAAATGTATGGGATAACGTGCGAAGTTTTGGAGCACCCAGCTTTACATTCTAGTGTATTTCGTATCGTTTATGCCGTTAATGGCTTAGCTGCTATTGCGCAATCTTCGTTGGATTTCCCCCCTTTCGTCGTCGTTTTTTGGCCCTGGTAAGTGGCCGGTCGGCTTGCGTGTAGGTTGGTTGGCCGATGGCTGAGATAATGTAAAGACGTAATAACCTCTCTCAGCTGCGTCAGCGTCTCGAAGCCGACCAAATTCGTCAACCTGAGCAGTTAGTGACGTCGTAGACCGAATTTGCTACCTTACACCAGCACGTCGCTTAGCTGAAAACCAGGCGCAGTTATATAGCATGCTTGGACAACCATTCCCTGCCCGCGCATTGTTGAGTAAGCTAGGTTGATTGGTGGAATATGACTGAGAGGAGCTGCAAAAGGACTCGGAGCAAACGCTGTGCCGTTCCTAGACAGTGCGTGGGCGCATTCTTTAATTTGAACACATACAGGTTATAGCAGGAGTTATGTAGCAGCTTTATAATACAGGTTTATTGCGGGACCGACGTTTTCTGTGCATGGTTTCGGGGCATCCCTGGGCCTTGTGTCCTTGCAGCCTGAATTGTTGCACGGTTCCCGCATCATGTCTCTTTCCTGCAGACTGGCACCATGTCGACCGTAGTGCCAGAGCTCCTTGCTAAGAAGCGCAAGCGGGACGAGCAGGCTGCCGCCGAGCGGGCAGCGGCTGCTCTGGAGTCTCGCAAGAAGTCCCGGGCCACTCGCAAGGAAATCTTCAAGCGTGCTGAGAAGTATGTGTCCGAGTACCGTTCCCAGGTATAGCACAGGCTAAAGGCTTTTGTGTTGAGTAGGCAGTAATTGTTCACGGCATTCCCGTATTGAGCGCCCAGCCTGAGCCTAATGGCTCGCCATCAATGTATCTGGTGGACCCAGCGGCTAATGGAGCTTCAGCAGCGCGGAGTTTGCAGCGGTAGCCGCCCGTGGCGGCTGGCAGGCGAGGTTGCTTCAGCACAGTGTCTTCAGCGACCCTTAAAGATGAAAGGGGCCACATGGCATTTGGCTTTTCATGGAACACACTACCGCAGCGGCAGCTCCTACCTGACGAATGTCTTCTCCTGCGTCGCAATGTTCACAGGAGAAGGACATCGTCCGCCTGAAGCGCGCTGCCAAGGCAAAGGGTGGCTTCTATGTTCCCCCTGAGGCTAAGGTTATCTTCGTTGTGCGCATTCGGGGTCTCAACAAGATTGCCCCCAAGGTAATTGGGCACAGCCAGTACACAGTCGCCAGAGTGAAAATTAATGACAGCTCATGATGTCAGGTCCTTTCGGCAGCGATAGCTATTTGGGTGCTATATGCGACCTCTGCTCTCAGGCTTCTCGTGCTGAGCAGCTTTGTTGCGAGGTTCTTAACGAAACTTAGCAAAGACGGATTATGCTGTATTCGGGTGGGGACGGGATACTCCAAGCTCGTTGTTGTGTGCATGGATGAGACCTGCTCCCTTACCCCTCCAGCGCTGCCGCTGCACTATGCCCCTTCGCGCATCTTAGCAACTTAAGGCGTATCGTGCACTCCTTGCTTTCCGTCGTGCAGACGAAGAAGATCCTTCAGCTACTCCGCTTGAAGCAGCTGAACATGGGCGTCTTCCTGAAGGTAGGGCTATTGTTGCGATATGTGCTTGGGCTGGAGCCGTGCAGTGCTGCTAGGGGGTTACCATTGACTGTAATCACCACCTGGTTGGGCTATGACCGAGTCTCGCTTTGCAACCTCTTCTCGACGCTTTGCAATTGAAGGTCAGCAAGCCGGTGCTGAACATGCTTCAGCGCGTGGAGCCCTACGTGGCCTTCGGCTACCCGAACCTGAAGTCCGTTCGGGAGCTTATCTACAAGCGTGGGTACGCTAAGGTGCGTCCTTGGCTGTATGTATCGGGGGGGGGTTGCCGGGTAGTTGTAGTGTCGTGAGCTGACAAGTACATCCACTTGCGGTTGAAGGCTGGCATATTTGATTTTCGTTAGCTGGGGCAAATCATGGTGTAAATTGTTATATATGCTTTTTTGGCTCTGGTTTATACGGATGCCTCGAGGATTTCAAAATCCATGCTGTGTCACGGGTAGGATTTAGGTAGAGACTTTGCGCGGCCTGAAACGCGACCGTACATTTGGTGTCCAAGGAACTTGGCAAGCGGGAAAACATTGGGAAATGGCAACAAATCATGCAAAGAGACTCACTGCATGTGCTTTGGACCACTCCCAAACTGTGGCAAAGACCGTCATGGGATCTCTGGAGGGCGTTTTGTACCCACGTGTGCCCCCACACGTGGCGGGATGATTGAAAGGTGCGCTTGTCCTGCGCGTACTAACGGCATTGCTTACACCATCCCACGCCATTGTGCACGATGATGCCACGCAGATCAAGGGCAACCGAATCCCCCTGACGGACAACAGGATCATCGAGGAGGTGAGCTGCTGGGGTGACCGGGTGTTTCTTGGTGGTACTCCGGGGGGTGCTTTGCCGACTGCCAAATGGGACTGGTGCACTTTTCTTGGGGTTACCCCTTCGCTTTACACAGGCGTTGCATGCGAATCATGGAAAGGGATGCATGAAGGACGGTGGAGCCCCAGACTTTGTGTTGAATTAAAATCTTTGTGTTGAAATGCAATGGGACACGGACACAATAAGAGGAGCTCAGAGACCCTTCCTGGCCCTGTGATGGGAATTTGGTATGGGTTTGGCACGGTGTCTTCCTGTGTGGGTTGGCTTGTGCAATCAGGTATCGTTTCACACAGCAATCTAAACGACTGCACGCTTCTTTAGCGTACAGCATTTCCTTGTGTGAATTTACGCTTTATCGCCTAATACACTTCTTGGACTTGTGCCCCCGGATCCGGTTCCAGTCGGACACGTTTGTTTCGCAGCATGTGTTGGTAAAGGAGTTGTCATTGCTATTGTATTGCATGCTCGGAAACGAAACGTATTTATCCGTCTTGTTTCTTTCCATCTGCAGCACCTGGGCAAGCACGGCCTTATCTGCGTGGAGGACTTGGTGCACGAGATCTACACGTGCGGTCCGAAGTTCAAGGAGGTCAGCACGTTCCTGTGGCCCTTCAAGCTGTCGTCGCCCAAGGGCGGCATGGACAAGAAGCGCCTGCACTACGTGGAGGGCGGTCAGGCCGGCAACCGCGAGGACAAGATCAACGCTTTCATCCGCAAGATGAACTAAGTGCAGCGTTGCAGCAGCAGCAGCAACACCTGAAGCTGGCATCTGCAGCGGTGGGCTTGCTACCGCAGCTATCATGGTGGCGTTTGCTGGTGCAGCTGGGGGAACTGTGTCTATGCTGTTCTCACGCTCTTGTAAGGAGTGCTTGTGTGCTCTGGAGGTCTGCGCCGCGTTACGTGACAGCTGCGCTTGTTGGCGATGCGGTGATCCTCGCGATGTGACTTGGTCTTTCGGCGGGGAAGCTTGTAATGGATTTAACGGCGCGTCAGGCGTTTGGACTGGGCTGGATTTGAATGTGCAGAGCTAAAACAGGGTGAAAACATAAATCCCATAACAGAAACTCATTCTTGCGAGCTGAAAGTACTCCTGGCAGCCGCTACGCTTATCGCAACCGTCTGTGCAAATTACAAGAGGATGCTATGTCTGCATAGCAACTCGTAAGCATCCATTAGCAACGCATCAGCCAGTTCCACGCCATCCAGAGTTGACTCCTCATAAAAAGGCGGCCAGTTTGTCTGCCACCGCTGCGACCCACTCTCGCTCACGTTCCGTAAACGCCCTGTACGCACGTTCAGCACAAGTTGGTTGACGTTTTCAGCAACGCGCGCAGGCTGTAACAAGTCTTCTGCAATGTCCGAAATCAATTTTGTCAATATCGTGGGTTTCCCCAAGGAAACAACAGACGAGTAGCTGCTGGCAGCATTCCTTCGGACAAGGAAGACCATAGTCCTAGCTTCGCCCTAGATTTGAATCCGGCTCCGGAAGGTGCCTTCACCTACCTGGGTCGCTCCGAAAACACGAGCAGCACCCCCGACTGCCCTGCCGAGCCGCCGATGTGCTGCGCCAGAAGACACTGCGCGCCCGCGGGTAGCCCCGCCATTGCCTGCAACTCCGCGGAGCCGAAACCAGATCGTTCCGGCAGCCATAGTTGCGGCATGCCCCCGGAGGCGACCTTGCCCAGTTCGTCACCGCCATGGGCTGCCAGGTCCTACGCATGGCGGGCAGGGCGCCAGGCATGATTTACCACCACCACACGCGGCTTTCCACACCTGGCTTAAGATACGTCAGCTATGCACTTATGAGATATGTATCTTGGTCCCTAATTGTTTCCTGATGAGGCCATTTGAAGTCTGCATCACTTCATACACTCCCCCTTGTAGCCCTTTGCGGCCCTTTGTTGCCCTTTGCGCAAGTCCTAAATTGGGCTTGTCAGCACGGCATTCGGCTGGCCAGCACGGCATTGCACGGTGCATTGGGCTGATCAGTACTGCGGCCACACGCAATGGATTAGAGACAACCTCCACAGCTAACAACAAAATGACAAAAAAAATTCCGTGTGTGCGCAGGGTTAGCAACTCGCCTTCGAAAGGGCCTCCAGGGAGGCGGCTGCATCCCCCGGGCTGACAACCCGGGAGCCCACGGCTCCACGTGCCATGACCACCCGGCCCCCCGCTGCCGCAATCAGGCCGCAGCAGTTCGTGTTCTTCAATAGCGAGAACGAACCCCAGGCCAGCTCCTACCAGGAAACGAAAATAAAACAGGAGAGTAGATGCGCGGGATCGTGGTAAAAAAAAGCGCAGGGCGGATGAGACCCTAATTGAGGTGCTGGTGCTGGTTCCAAACACCAATCCCGAGTCTGTCTTTATCACATGGTGGCTCAAGGGGCGCGCTCGCGAGGACTGGGACCGCATTCAAGTAGCCCATGGTGGTGGGCCGCGGGGTGGGGGTCACATGCCCACGGAGATCGCCACATGCACACACAGACCTTCTTGGTGGCTTCAGGCAGATTGGGGTCGAGGAAGAAACAGTTCGTGGCCCCCTCGATGTTCTCCGCGGTCTTCTGGCGGCCGCGGCCCGGCATGGCTTCCCTCAGGCGCTCCTCAATGTCAGGCACGAAGAAACTTAACGTCGCCAACAACGCTCCTAACCATTCCGACCTCAGCTGGGCGTTGCAAGGCATGCAGCGACAAGGCACCGCCGAGGTGACACAAATCAAATTGACAACGTGAAGGAATGGGGAGAAATATTCGATGGTTAAGAGAGTCGGTGAGGATGGGAAAGACGACCCAAGTGACAGCCAGCGATGGCATGGACGCACCTGCGCGTCAGGCGTGGGCTGCGCCCCTGCGAGGTGGTTCACCAGCAACAACGCCCCAAGCGCAGACCCCACAACGCGAGGAATCAGTCGGTCATCGAATCCGGGAATGCCCAGCGTGAAACGGAACACGGCCACGTCGATGTCCTCGTCGCCAAGTCCGCCTGCTGGAGGTCAGGTCAGGAACTCATGCCGCCCACAGCCACGAATACCAGTCGTCGGCACAAAGAATCAAATCGCCTACCTCGCCGCTGTGACTCGGCGTAAAGGCGAGTGGGTCTACGAGCAAGCCGTATTGTCCTAATTGCTGTAGACGCTCGCGTCGTCCACAAGAAGTGCCGCCGCGCATAAGGACAAGTGAAAGTGAGGTTTCTAATAACTAACTTTGCCATGATGTCCTTCAGCGAGGTGTTCGAACTTAAGCATCCAACGCTGATTCCTGACAAATCAAATGCCTCTCATTTTAACTCCGTTATAGGCGAAACGTCCCTATCATAGTAAAATCCAAATCAAGACATGCATCGCTCCATCGCTGGTTGCACTTGCGTACGGCGTACGGCATACGGCTGTGTAAAACCCCGGATCGGAACGTAGTCTGCACTACTGAAGTAATAATTCATATGTTTAGGACGATCCTTATTTTGCTTCTTGAATCTATTAACCATAAACGACCACAAATAAAACTGCCTGGTGAGTCTCTTGGGGAGTACCTGGAGGGGAGATTACATGGTGCAGCCACTAGGACTTTGGGCTAACAAGGCCGCCGTCCGATGTGCTCGTGGCAAAATTATGTACCTACGTGATCCCTTCTCAGCCCTGGTCATCCACATGAACCCCTGACCACACGACACCGCTCTTGCCCGCTCAACAAAATTTCCTTCCCCAACAATTTGCATTGACTGATAGTGCCAGACCACGAAATCAATCTCACAAGTGATCGACCAGTTCACCAGCATGTCAATGGAAGAAGGGCGTGTTGGACGACGCCTCCAAAGTTAATACTTAGATTAGTCCGCCTGCATCATTCAGTACGCAGCAGTTTGCTTGCCCCTGCTGTTTCAATATGCAAATCTTGTCAGAACTTCATGCTCCTGCTGTCTTAACATTCAAACGAACGCATTCCTCCCCAGATCAAGCACAAAATTATGGTGCATACCATAGAAAATTATGTAAGCTTCAGATCAGAACCAGTGAGCGCATCATCAGTTAACAGGTTGCAGTGCACCGTTGCAAGCCACAATGCCTTAGGCAGCTCTGCCTGGAACATCATCGCACATCATCGCACGCATTTTGTCCATGACGATGTAGACCAGACGCTCTGCGGCAGCAGCAGCCGTTCTGCTATTGTGTGTTAAGGAACACTACCTAGTGTGTCTTGCGCCATGCTTGTACACATCCACACACCCCTACTTGTCCATCCAAACCCTCCCTTGCTTTCTCTGTACGTCCTTGCGTACTTCTGTCATCTTTGTATTTCGCAATGTGCAACAGAAAGGAAAGCAGGTGCAGCAGAGACCAGAACAGCGACGACGGAAACCATACGAGAAGCGTGCTGCGGGACAAGCACAGATAGGTACATGTGCTTGCCAACTACGGCACATATCATACAGCACACAGAAGGAACATCACAAGCAAGTATTATGACTTACCCAAAAGCGCAGTCTCGCAGTCCTTGCAGACGAAGATCCGCTCCATACCAGCTGCATCCACCAGCATGGTGCGGTTGGGCAAGTCCGCTTCCAGCCGCATACAGTACGGCACTTCCACGCATGCAGAGTCTGCGAGGCATGGCTGTGGCAGCACGCATGGTGGCTTGGGCTGCAGCTCGGGCGGCAGCTGTTGTGGCGGCGCCTCCGGTGCAGCCTGCCCTGCCTCATCTCCTTCACAGGCGCTATCATGGGCGCCCCTGATGTCACATGCTAAGGTTTTTATTCCTCGCTTAGCACATCGTAAGCTAATGCAGTTTCGTTTATGTTGCTGGGCTTTGGAGGCAAACAGAGCACGAAGGGGCAAGTACCATGTCCCCAGGGGGCAGCGGTTTTGCCGCTGTTGTGGTACTAATAGCCGAATCGAGGATGAAAAACACGTGTTATTCGAATGGCCAGCCTATAATGATATTCGTGCTGAAGAGGGATTCGATCATCAACAGAGCATGCTGGAGGCCATGAAATGGGAACCCGTACGTCTTGCGAGGATGTTGGAACGTATGTGGGCTCATCGAAACTCAGTTACCCCTTTTGGACGCTAGTCTGGGCTGATGTGCGGTGTTTCCTGTTCTTCGTGGCTTTTAGGCGTTGAAGTATTGCCCTTGGGCCTTCGGCTCGTATGGGTAGTTTTACAGGTATGGGTACAGGTATGGGGGTCACGCACCCCCAACCATGTAACACACACACACATACACATACACATACACACACATACATACATACACACACATACACACATACACACACACATCGCTGTCGGCCGCAACCTGGCGCATCACCTAGTGTAAGTGTAGGTATTAGACTCTATCAATCACGCAATGTGGTTGGCTTGCTAAGGAAAAAATTTAATCAGCTAATTCTAGCTAGAAGCCTCGTAACGTTCTATTCCGTTCAATGATACGTATGCGTTGCCGTACGCTATCCATCCTGCTTCCTAACCAATATACATCACGCAGCCACCGGCAATGACACCACGGCACCGGCCGTGCGCTTAAGACAGCAAAGTCAACTCAATGTGACCAGGTGAAGCTGTGGTATTGCTTGCAGCGCGCTACAACTCCTGCTTATCTCAGCAGCAGCCTAACTCACCACGATCTGCCACAGGGATGCACAGGGATGGGATGCATGCGGCTCGATCGCTGCTACACGGCCCTACCTATCGGCGCCTGCCAAGCGTCACGAATGAGCCGATCGGGCAGCAATCCTTGTCCTCCGAAAACATGGAATACGTGCAGGCACCCAGGCCTCCCTTAGCACAGAAGGTAGCCAGGGTGGGACATGTGGACGCCGACAAGAGCTCCAGACACACCTGCCGGCCCTGGAGGGGAACCGAGCTGGGGGCCATGTTCAGCTGGGGGATCTTGAACGTCCCATTGACGCCCCACTGCGAGTCTATCTTGATCCCGTCTAGGTACACGGCCCGTACGGACCCTCGACAGCTCTCCCTGGACCACCATTCCACTTTGGAGAGCGCCTGGTCGCAACAGGGGCTGCTAGGGTCCGCGCACGGCACTGTACGGAGTGTCAGGCAGTACCGGCGGTTGCCTCCGTTCAGGCTGAGCGACGGTGTCTTGTCGAAGTTGAAGGGGACCAGACCAGGCAGGGTGCGATTGCAACTGCGTGTGGGTAGTGGGTGGGCCCGTGGCCATTAGGGGATGACGTCTTATGCACTGAAGCCCCAATCGACATGAAATGAGCGCTTCTAGGTAAGCGGCAAACGTGAACGACCTATCCTGCAAAGGACGGCTGTAGATCTGTAAGCAACCAATGGGCGTTGAAGGCTCACCCAGCCATTGTGAAACTAACATGAATTCATGGTGCTAGACGGGGCCGTCAAACAAGACGTAGGCAGTAGGTTTCAAAAGCTGTATTTACCTCAGTGGCCGTAAGGCGACATAAAAATTCGCACGAAGGCAACATGACTTACGCGCAGAATGGAAACGGCGACCGAATCTTCACAGGAGTGAAGGGAGCGAGCGGAGGTGGTGGTGACGGCGGCGGCGGGGGTGGCGGCGGCGGTGGAGGCGGTGGTGAAGGGCTGGGTGGGCGGGGGCTGGGAGGGCGAGGGCTTGGTGGAGAAGGGCTGGGTGGCAGCGGACTGGGGGGCCTGGGCGATGGTGGCAACGGAGACGGCGGGCGAGGGCTGGGTGGCAGTGGGCTTGGAGGAGAGGGGCTTGGAGGAAGCGGAGATGGAGGCAGCGGGCTGGGAGGCTTAGGCGACGGTGGCAACGGGCTGGGTGGCAGCGGACTGGGTGGCAAGGGGCTGGGTGGCAGCGGGCTGGGTGGCAGCGGGCTGGGTGGCAGCGGGCTGGGTGGCAACGGTGATGGAGGGCGAGGGCTAGGTGGCAGCGGAGACGGAGGGAGCGGGCTGGGAGGCTTGGGCGATGGTGGCAGCGGGCTGGGTGGTAGGGGGCTGGGTGGCAGCGGGCTGGGTGGTAGGGGGCTCGGTGGCAGCGGGCTCGGTGGCAGCGGGCTCGGTGGCAGGGGCTCGGTGGCAGCGGGCTGGGTGGCAGCGGGCTGGGAGGCAGCGGGCTGGGAGGCATTGGGCTGGGTGGCAGCGGGCTGAGTGGCAGTGGGCTGGGAGGCTTGGGCGGGTGGCAGCGGGCTGGGAGGTAAGGGGCTGGGTGGCAGCGGGCTGGGTGGCAGCGGTGATGGAGGGCGAGGGCTAGGTGGCAGCGGAGACGGAGGGAGCGGGCTGGGAGGCTTGGGCGATGGTGGCAGCGGGCTGGGTGGTAGGGGGCTGGGTGGCAGCGGGCTGGGTGGTAGGGGGCTCGGTGGCAGCGGGCTCGGTGGCAGCGGGCTCGGTGGCAGGGGCTCGGTGGCAGCGGGCTGGGTGGCAGCGGGCTGGGAGGCAGCGGGCTGGGAGGCATTGGGCTGGGTGGCAGCGGGCTGAGTGGCAGTGGGCTGGGTGGCTTGGGCTGGGTGGCAGCGGGCTGGGAGGTAAGGGGCTGGGTGGCAGCGGGCT